CCAGATCGCCAAAGAAGCAGCGTCAGCAAGGAGGCTACGACACCGCTGAAGAGCGCCCAACAGCTGTACCTGAATTCTCCGGAGAAGCCTGGTGATTGAATTCGTGGCGCTTTGTACCATCCCGGGAGGATCTCCAAATAAGACAGGCCGGCAGCAAGAAATGCGGCAAAAGTGCCCACACAAACTGCAGGGAGCCCATTCTTCAGCATCAGCAGCAGCCAGATCTTCATGGACTGCCTCCCGTGCCAGCTGTGTGACCAGAACTCCTTGATGAAGGGTACCTTGGCACTCAGCAAAAAAAGCGCACGCAGCTTCCTCGAGTTGACCGAAGAGTCTCGCAGCACCCGGCCGAAATTTCTCAGCACCCTCCACGCCGGGACGGCACGAAGCAGTTCTGGCTTCTGGAGCTGCATGCCAGAAACGACGCCCACAATGCTTGACAGAACCTGAGACTCGAATTCAAGGTCGAGAGAGTCGCCTTCGGCTGGAAGATCGCCAGCATCGTCAACATCTTGGGATGCCATGCGCGGCGCCGGCGGTACGGCCGGTACGGATGCGCCCACACTGACTCTGTGTGTGTCGGTTCTGCTTGGGCCATCTTGGGCCTGGAACCCCACGGAACCGCAGATGTGACAATTGACCCTCCCAACTCCCAAACCCCAACCCTTTACACCTACCTCGCTCCTGCCCTGGGAAGCCGCCCCACTTAGGCGAACATTTAGGGGCCCGCGGCACTGGCAGCAGCCATTCAGCAAGAGTAAGAGTCTCCCCTGATTCAGTTACCCCTTCAATTTGTTCAGCTTGAGTAACCTGACAACTTATGCAGACTAGCAAAAGCTAACAAATGCAGCGCCGGTATAGTGAGGAAGAAGGGCAGTCCATCTCCCATCATCCTAGCCATATAATATAAGGAGGAAGGGCGTTTAAGGGCTGATTACACTGACAAAGCTCTCTGTATGATGAAACATCTGGTTTTCCCATTGGTAGCACAGTTTACTTTCCATGACATGCAGCTACATAGTGCATGGCTAGGCACCCTAGTAGTGTCCAACCTGCAACTCCAAGATATCGACGAATGGGTCCATGGGGCGGGGTCTACCGTTTTCCCCTTTGATGCTTGATGCCTGTGCATGCCTGCATGGTCCTCTGCCACATGTCGATGCAGAGCACAAAACGAACCTTCTGCTACATTTTGACACCCGAAACCCAGGTCTGCGGAGGGGTAGCAAATACATGCAAAGATGCAAGGGGTGCAAAGATGCAAGGGATGCATAGATGCAAGGGGATGAGCGTTCTCGATACACGCCTCGGCTTGCGTCTTCGACCTATCTATCTTTGTCCGCAAAGGCTCTGGGCGCGCTCGCGCCCCCCATCTTCTCCGTGTGCGCTCAATGAAAGATTGCAAGGAGCAACCTATCAGATGATGATCGGTTTCCTGAGGGTGCCGGGAATCGTAAACCATCCGCAAAGAAAAAAGCAGAGATGAAAACCCCACGTGGCACGCACTAGTTCTTCGACGAGGCTCCACTGGAAGAGCATAGCCTTTCCCCCTCCAATGTTCCCGATATTCCTGGAGAGGCAGACTCGGGGCTATCGCTTCCTCTCATCCCAACTCGAGATTTTCACATATGCGTTCCTCCCGACTGCATGCATGTTGCACATGGAACAACTGGAGCACAAGACTGTAGGCCATGGCTCGCTCTGTTGAACTCGCCCTGTGTATGCTTGCCCTGCTTCCTCTTCGTGTGTTTCTTGCTTTTGCTAGGTTCTTCTTCTTCTTCTCCTTCCTTCATCTCCTTCTCCCTCTCACTTATGAGCTGAGGTGGCCCAGCTGGCACCTTCCCATCCCTGCCCTCGGGGGCGTGACTTGCCTGTACTTGTCTTCCGTTCGCCCTGAAGCTCGATTCAGAGACCCGAAGCTCACACCTCACTGAAACCTGCTGACAGGCCTTCACTCAGGTCCAGAATGCGACACTTGAAACATCTCCACCAATGAAATAGGAACTGCCCACTGGTTGAGCACGAGGGGCATAAGGCGGAGGGAAGAGCGGGTTGATCTCCACATGAAGCAACAAAGGCTCAAAGATCTCAAGCAAGGCTTGAAGAAGCTCACAGTCTGCCTGGGCCACAGTCCGGCCGCATCTTTGGGTGGGTCAGCGCAGACTCGGTAACGCACAGCTACTAGCCTGGTCAACATCGACTTTCAAAATATCCGGTCGACCTCGAAGGCTGCCAAAAACAACATAGGGCATCTCAGCATTTGCACTTGATCGCAGCATGAAGAAGGCAAAACTGATGCTGTCGAAGGCTGCCGAGCTTCGAGCCGCTTCCACATCGAGCCACGTTTTCCCTGAGATGTTGGCGAAAAGTGCTTGGGCTTCTGAAGCCACCAGGCGTCCTTCGCCAAAACACACCACATGATCTGGGGAGCGCAAAGGGGGGGGGGTACCAGTGACTACAACCCGTCCTACATCGGATGGCGTCACGTTCGCGGAAAGCACACGTACCCGATCTCCAAGCAGGGTGCTTGCCTTTTGGCCGAGATCCATGTCCGCCTCAACCAAGATGCCGCGCCAACCATGGTTTAAAATCAGGCAGTTGGCGGGATCGTACTCATCGCCTGGGTTTCAGAGCTAAAGGAGGGGTCATCATGTCCACAGAGTCTACCCCTGCTCAAAGGCCTCCAGCACACCGGCCATCACCAGATCCCAAGTTCAGGACCTCTCGACAAGGTGCTCAAGGCACTAAACTAAGGGTCCTGCAATCTAAGATCATTTGACTAATGTTGTGATTCTTGCTGAGTCACGTGATTGTCCAAACTCTGGGGATGAGGCCCAGTTGGAGGTCTGCCCTCCCTGCGACGCCCAACGGAACAGGAGGTCGATGGTGGTCGGCCAAGGGCTGTAGTAGCGCGTGCCATCCACCTTCGTGTGGAACCACCGTGCTTCCGGCGGAAGTATGAGCCTTGGACCCTTGTCCTGCTGACAAGTTCCTGGAGGTGACAGGCCTGCAGAGTACAGTAGCTTGAAAGGCATGTTCAAAATCTCGGCTGGGTAGTTCTGGGCGAAATGATTCAGTTGTTCCAGCAGAGCCATTCCACGGCTTGTCAAGTGCTGAACGAGATCCTCCATGAGGTTCATCTGCCCTTTGAAAGCTTGGGCTGTCCTCATACTCACCAACTCACCTGTTTTTTCATGCTCCGAGCTGACTCTGTCTAGCCAACTGCTCCAAGGCTCCGCATATCATTCTCAAGGACAAGCAGAAGCTCTTCAATGATCTTTGATTCATCTAAACACACCTTTCTGTCACCCTGCCTTGGTTTGCAAGCAAGGGGAAGCTGCAAGTGACTGCCCGAACTCAACAGGCATACATGGCACCGAAACCACAAGGCTGCATGTTGTCTGCAACTTTCTTGCATCTGCATGACAGAGATGTGCCAAGCGAGGATGGCAAAGCGGCCGCAGTCAGCAGCTTCAAGCCATCTTGTAAGCCCAACACTGCATCCAACCGGTCTTCGGCGTGACGCACCGGCCCCTCCACATGAACAGAAAAGGCAGCAGGACAGCGCAGAGCCCATCAGTCTGACATGTTGTGTTGGGCATGCGGCGTGGTGAGCCTTGCGCACAAGGGCGGCGCAGAAACCAGGCAGAAGCTTCACAGACGGGAGGCGGCTTGCCAGCAGCATGCGACACAAGCTCTGCACTCCACGCCTCCATGACTGCGCTTGGCCCTCCAGGGTGATGCACGGAGAAGACTTTCGTAGGGACGGAACGGAACATATAAACCAAAACCACATGACAGGTTGACAGTTGCCCGAGCCCGCCCTAGACCAGCATCTTTGGTAATTCACGAAGCAAGACAGCTGGCGGAGAGCTTCAAGGTGCTCGCCCGCGTGCCGGAGGATGTCGCCGCTGGCAGTTTGCCCATCAGTCTCGAAGCCTTTAGAAAGTCAGCTCTGAAAAGCCATCTGGTTCTTCTGATATTGTAGGTATAACTGATATAACCGACATGCATGCACGCGCACACGCACACATAAAGACCACTTCACAACAGCGTGCCAGAAACAGCACAGCTGCACAGGCACAGCTTCGGTTACGCACAAAAAAGGACGAAGAACACACACGAACTGACCATGCTCAGAATTTCCGCCGCAAAACAACCACACCATGGTGCAAAGAAAAGGCAGCTGACGGTGACGTCGAGAACACAGGCTTCAGCCTTTTGCCTTCTGCTCCTTCCCTTCGGCAGCTTCTTGCATTCTGTTTTTGCCCTTGGCCTTGCCCTTGCCGAAGCATCGGGCCCTTCTTTTCCTGGGAGGGCTCTTGCTCTTGCTCGCATCTCGCCCGGTGCACCCCGACTTAGCCGAGGCTACAGCCATGGATGGACTCTGACGCTGGAAAGAATTCTCACCTATGCCATTGCTGCTGATGCCGCTGGATTGGGAGGAAACGGGGGAGGAAACGGCCCTTTGCCGTTTGGCAGCCTCCATGCCCGATTCCCACCTTCCAAGTCTGTCAGCTGCGACTTTCTGCAGCTGCTGTAAACACTTCTCATTTCAGGAGCCTTTGAGTTTGTTGTCGGCTCAAGAACCCTGATCCTTTGCCTCTGTTGTGTGTCCGAGGATCCCAGCACTAGTGGTCGCTGGAACAGACCTTGCTACCCGATGCTGCCAAGGCACGGAACACAGACCTCAGTGTCTCCAAAGCACACGCGTCACGGCGTCACAAATGCTCTTGGCAGATCTATATTCGGGCTCAGTTCGGGAAACGATTTGTGCAGAGTTGAAGGACATGCGAAGATACAGTGTCACATTGGCACGGCACGGCCTCTGCGACACAAATGAAGCTGGCTCTCTGCTGTGGACTCTGAGATACTGCAGCAAAGGGTCTGGTAAAGGCGAAGCGTTATCATCTGGCCGAAAGGAAGTACATGATGCTGAAAAGTGTCCTCAAGGTGCGCTCGCTGCGCTCGCTCTGTGCAAGTCATGATTGGGCGATTACATGTACCCTTACGTCAATGCAAAAGTACGTTCAGGCGCAAGCAGATGGGCCGCATGAGCGTTGCTGAAGAGCCATCTTCGGTTCAAACCAAGTTACGATGACGCCGCCCATGCGCAGAGTTGCAGCGTCTGCATTTACCCAAGGCGGTGGGCAGAGCGTGCTGCGCCACATCGGCTTTTCGTGGTGGTATGTTGCGAGGTCTGGGTTACATCGGGACGTCAAGATCGCTGGCTGATCTGTGGGCCACCGTATGTGCGGATCACAAGCAGCTTTAATGCATCTCGGTCAAGGTCGCTTTGCAGAAAGAGCAGCTTTGCAGCTTCGCTCAGGCCGTCGCAGAAGCTCTTGTGACTCTGGTGACTGCACAGCTCCTCAGCTTCAACTTGCTTCTCTGTTGCGGATACATCAGACCTTCAAATTTGGACTGGTCAAGACTGCATTGAAGCAAGACACGCTTGGGCCGCCCTTTGTCAGTGGGGCATGAATCAAGGCGCCAAGATAACGCATGCTCGAGCTCTGCTTTCCTCAGAAGGTGAACACGAAAAACCCTGCTACCCATGCTACCCATACAATGCTGCAGATACCCCCAATGGTCCATAATGCAATCTTTCTTAGCAATGGGGGCTCTGAGATGATGCCAAGAGGCGCAAGCCAAAGGTCACCGATGCTGTACAGGGAAGGCCAGGTAGCCGGCTCTTTCAAGGACAGCGGGTTGGGTTCCTGCCAGGAACCGCGATCGATTTCCCCGTCAGCATACCGGGTCGCAAGGTGGCCAGCAGGTTCTGAGAACTTTGATTTTTGTTGATCTTGCTTGCATCTCAGCATCTGTAGGAACCCGTGATTTAAGCCCGCACCCAGCTAAAACTGAAAGTCAAGCCTCGCGCTTCCTGCTCAGGGCGCGCTTCCTCATCTCCTCGTCCAGGGAGATAATATGAACTTTGATCCCTCTAAATCTCCAAATCTCCGAACTGGCAGCTCGGCGCCAAGCTTGACTTGCAGAAAGGACAGGGGACACAGGCAGCATGCTTTCAAAAAGAACCAAGTGACCCCGCCCCAGCCCCTCAAAGTCATCTTCGCGACTCCTTCACTGCCTGCCCCAAAGCCAAGCCCAGCGGTTGCGCATTTGTCAGTGCTGGGTACTTGGGCGGCTCCTCAGGCAAAACCAGAGATGACAGCGTTGAGTCGAGATTTCAAGATTCTGCGGTAAACCTGGGGTGGCGCGTCTTTCCGCACTTCCAGCTCGCGAAGCTTCTCTTTGACGAGAAGCAGCTCAGCCTGCTAGGGCTGATAATCCCCGTGCGGTGTTTAGAGACTTGCCGCAGCATCGTGGCTCTCGCATGAAATCTTGTGCTCTGAGCCTTTCGATGTTCAATCATTTGCGTGACTGCCTTACCAACAGTTGGAGCATGGCAGTGTATGTGTCCCCGTCAAAGAGGAGGCTCACGCACTGAGGAGACGACATCTAGCCTCCCGGAAGATCCCTTCCGCATAGCCTGCGCAACCATGTTCTCAAAAGGACTCAAGCACTGTTGCCCTCTGCCTTCAACCGATTCCTCATGAGCTTGATCTTTGACTCCAGCTCTTGTTGAGCTGCGCATTGCTGTTCCAGCTCCTGTCAGGCCCACATCTTCAAAGTCTTCATGATCTCAACAACTGTGACTTGCAGATCATAACGCCTGTATCGACCCCTGCAAGCAGCGATCATCCTGCACCTCTTTTTCGGCGGCCAACCATGCGAGATGGACGCTGCTAGCTCGGAGCCTTTCGGGCACCTGAAACGTCCGAGTTTGTTGCTACCATTTCTTGCCGATCCATGCCGATCCACATTCAAGACTGTGACCGCCTTCCCTTTGGGCGGCAGCTTGACCATCGAGAGCAATCGATAACAGGAACGCGCTTCCTACCAGTAAGTGGCTTCTTGCTTTGTCCACAAGCGCTGCATGCTGCACCCGCTTTCATGCAACAGTCGTGCCCTCAGCATTTGGTAAAGTGCCATTAGAAGTGTATGAGCATTTGTCCGGTGAAACGTGCACAACGGCACCTTGAGCACGATCGCAGGTTCCGAGGCCGTCGCTTGACATTGTGATGCTCGCAAAACATGACTCCTTTTCGCAGCAGTAGCGGCTCATTTTCCCGATTGCAATCTCGCACATGCGGCTCCCACATAACCGCCAAACCTACGACCTCCCCAGGCGACCATTGAGCCATCATACTTGATGGCCAAGAAGGCATTGCATGTCGAGTGTACATCGTGAACATCGCTATCCAGAAGTCCTTCTGCAGAGCAATAGTTGCCAATCTCGTCCTTGACGCCCCATGTAACCACAGATCCAGACTTGGTCACCGCTGCGAACGCGTTATCCGCAGCACAGACTTTTCGAACTCCTGCTGCAAGCTGTTGGGAAACAGTGCTGCTGTCACCACCTCTGTTGCGGTGGCCCCAGGTCACGACAGTACCATCGGACTTGAGCCCTGCAAATGCTAAACGTGTAGCGACAACATGCTCCACCCCACAGACCAAATTTTGTCCAGCGGACAGCAAGTCCAGATCGAGATAGTGCCCACCCCATGGAACCACTGTACCCCCGCGCTTAACAGCAGCAAAAGCTACATCGTTGCTGTAAATCTTTGTCACATCGTTTCGGAGATGCCGGTCAACCTCTTCAGAGTCACCGCCACTCAAAGGATCACCCCAGCAGAGGACGGATCCAGCGGCTGTCAGGGCCGCAAAGGCACTTGAGGTTGAAGCGATGTGCCGCACGTGCGCCGTGCCAAACTTACACCTGATGCGCTCAAAGCCTTTGCGCGCCACGGCATCCCCCCAACAAATCACAGAACCATCATGCTTTATCGCAGCAAATGCACACTTGCACCCGAACACGGCCACGACGCCATCGGCTAAATCCACCGAATCTTCGTGTGGGTGTCCGCCGGCTGCAGGATCACCCCAGACTTGCACCGACGATCTCACTGTAAGGGCTGCAAATGCAGAATCTGTCGCTGAAATGCTTCGCACGGCTGCCATGCTTGGGGGCTCTCCTCCCCCAGACTCTGCAGTCCCCCAGGTCACCACCGAGCCGTCCTCCTGTTGTTGCAGGTCTGCGGATAACAAGCAAGAGATGCTCTCCCATCTCATATGGACCACAGTCAGTACATGCAGGCTGATGCTGTGCCAACATCCGGACATTACAACCGAAGAGCAAGGGGTGAGTGACATGCGGGTTGATCGTGAAGCAGACCATAGTCGGCCAAAAGCATGTCAGAAACCAGGCACGCGCACACAAGTCATACATCTCAAGACACAGAGAGACAACACAAGCCATACATCTCAAGACACAGAGAGACAGCAGCAAGCACAACACGCCACAAGATGCAAAAGCACACAACGAAATGCACGAAGTACATATATAGGTCTGAAACCAGGCACAGCATGGGTCAGGATGCATTGTCATCGGGTATTGCTGTCTGTGATTTCGCCCTGTCAAAAAAGACCTGCACCATTGTTCTTGAGCCCCTTTGTAGTCGCAGATCTATGTGTCAGGCTTTTCTCAGCACAATCTTTTCCTTCAAACTTCTCACCCCGTGTGAGGTACATGTTGAATCGTGGCTTGTGAGTTGTAGAATCAGAATGCCAAAACAAAGGCTTGCGGCTTGCGCAGGCCTGCTACTCGGGCAGAAAAGCAAACTCTTCCTGCTCGAACACTGCCGACACACGGTCAATGATGAGTTTTGTGCTGCGTTTAGAAGCTCCTGAGCAACATGGAAAAGGTGATACAGCTGAATTCTTTAACATAGGCAGGCAGAGCTTCGAAGACCTCAATGAACTGATTGTAACATGTCTGGTTCTGAGGGAAAGCCTTCGTACAGTTCTGTGCTTTCGCCGGCTGCTGCATAGATCAATACTCGGTGCCTTGAACCTTGAAGTGAGCTAAGTTGGGCTTCAACATTCACTTTGTCCGTGCTTGTCACAGCCTTTTGAGAGGAAAGGCAAGCCAGTGACAAAATGGTCTCGATAGTTTCAGCTTCAGCCACTTCAGTTGTTACAGGACAATGTTCATTCTATGTCGAGCTGGCTCTGAAAACTGACCTTTGAGAAACTTAACCGACTTAACCGTGTCTTTGACCGTCTTAGGTGCTGTACTGGTTCTTGTACGCAACTCGAAAATCAACGAACTCGTTTATAAAGCGAGTGTGTCGGGAGCAGGGGCCGGCACGCCCCCTTGCCCCACGTGACCTGAATGCGGTCGCACTGGAAAGGCCTAGAAGTTGTCGGTACCTGAGGAGGCCAAATTTAGACAATGTCCATGGCATGCTGGTTGATCTCTGGATGGGTGGGGGGCCGGAGTTCGGCGTTGACACAGAAGCGGGGCTGGACGGAGTGAGGGGGACTGAGGGCAAGCGGCGGCAAGTGTCGGCAAGCGACGGCAAGTGGGGCAGCTTTGATTTTAACCATCCCCGTCCACAATCGAGTAATCATTAAAGTGGGACGCGGGCTCATATGTTGATTACACTGAAAATCATAGTTTAGGTATTCTGTCCGGCTGTTGCTCAACAGTTCAAGATGCAGAGTGTTTGCGCTACTGGGGTTTGCATTGCGCATGGAATGAATGAGGAAGTGCCCAGCATGTAACAGACCTGCAATTGAACAAACTAGGCAGTCGATCCTCAGGTCACGCTGGGTAAGAAGCTGGCGAGCTTTCAGCTATGAGCCGTTTGAGACGAAGCAGCAGCCTTTTTACGTTCTAGCAATCGCCAGCAAAGGCGCCAACAGACGACGGCATGGAAATGGCCCAATCTCCGCGCTCCGACTACACAATCGCGTTTTGCAGAAGCAGCTTGATGGAAGGGGTATGTATTCATGGCGCTCGCCTAGTATCGTTTGGCAACGCATGCTATTGTTCTAGCCCGGGCCGTCAAATAGCCGGTAGAAGCACACGAACTGCTTGAATACAAAGCTGCCGCTTCAAACCGAAAAATTCCAAAAGTGGCAGAAGAGTTGGAACATTTAGTTTTTGCTTCGCTGATCGCGATCTCTATTTGCGGGTCGCGAACAGAGTGAGACCGAAGCTTCAGGACAGGGGTGGGGATGCTGAAAGTCGGTACTGGTGCTGTTCAGAAAGCTCCATGATTGCGACCCTGAATGCGCATTTAAGGTTCCTCGACATCTTAGTCTTCCAGGTATACTTCGGATGTCCACAGTAAAACTATGCCCTGACAGCGAAGAGATTTGAAGAGAGCATGGTCTGAGGGCAATGACTCGAAGACCACACACAACACATATAAGACATATACAAGACATATACAATACATGTAGAATGCATATATACACATATATACAGATATACATATATACACATATACACATATACATACATACATATACATATACATATACATATATATATATATATCTGTATATATATACATCTAGACATATAGACATATAGACATATATACATCTACACATATATACATGTATACATATATACATATATACATATATACAGAAATACAAAAATACAAATATACACATATATATATATACATATATTTTTCTTGCAGATTCGCTGTCCTTCAAGGCTGCAAAAGCCTTGCGTGTGGAGAAGATTTTGTGGACGCCGCTGGAGAGCTGCGACCTCCAAGGCTGCACTATGCAGCCACATTTTCTTGCTTCTTCAACCATTCAGCCAGTAATAATATATGGGTATGTATATGTATCTATATATATATATATACATGTACGTATATCGATCTATGTTGGAAATGCGGCCCCAAGAACTTGACAGAACCAGAAGATCGTCCGGATGCATGGCTCTTGTGTTGGTTTGTCTTGCAAAAGACGGCAAAAGCACTCTCATGGTCCACACCCTGAGGCTCTGCAATGATATCGACCTTTGGTGTGGCCTGACGGTGCTGCTGTCACCTCCAGCTGTCGCAAGGCCCCAGGTCACCACAGAACCATCATCTTTAACTGCAGCGAAGGCAAAGGGATTGGCATAGACACCTGCAGTTGAAAGACTGACCGTGCATGTTCGGTTTCAACCGAGGTGCATGCTGGCATGCTGTATCCAGCTGCATCGTCCGAGTGGCATGAAACATTGCTCATCAACTGTTCTTGAACGGGAGTGGCATCTCCACCCATATCAGCATCACCCCACGACACCACTGAGCCCGATGAGGTTGTCACCGCAAAGGCACACTGCGTGGATGTCACGCCTGGGCTGCAGACAGGTTGCCCGGATTCACTGGCCATCAACGTTGCGCACGTGGTATGCTTAAGAACCAGTCGAAACCCAAGATCCAAGGGTCGATGCACTGCATGTGCGACGACCTAGGATGATGCGGCCAAGCACTGTTCACTGTTCAATGGACCGAAATCTTCATGGAATGATCATCGATGATCATAGCTGATGATGCTAATGAATGCACCACTCGCCGAAGGAGCCACTGTGAGCACCAGTTCGTTGTCAACCGGCGGAGCGATGTCGGCAACGCGACTTGACGGAGTGACCAGATGCCCAGCAGGTTCAAGTAGCATGAGGCAACCTGCGAGGATCGCACTTGCACGCGCTTGCGCACAGCTGCAAAGTCCATGGCCCTGTGTCTGCGTGTAGCCCATGCCGAGTCATGGTTTAAGAGATGCTGATTGCATGTGCCTCGGTCTGAGGGAAGGCCGTCGAAGAGGCTTTGCAAAGATGCCCCGCGGTCAAGGATCCTGACTTCAAGACTGAGCTCAGCTCGATGTCCAATACAAAATTCGGTTGCCTGATTAACTACTGCGCGATCCCGCAACCATTAGCCTCGTCGAGTTGCAGCTAAGAAATCCACCTCTTACATGGACCTGACTTTCCGACAGGCAGGAAAAGACAAAGCAGTCCATGCAAGCAAGAAGCATACTGAGCAAGGTGTCTCCGCTCAGCCACACAACAGATACGGCAACGCTCGTCGAGTCATTCCAGCAGGGCGAGTGACTTTCCATCGTGGGCTCAGTTCTCCCCAAACTTCAGGATCTGTCCAGCACATGTCTGCGTTCTTGTTCCCAATGTTCTCTTGTCAAGCAGCCCCTGACACGAATTGAGAAAACGCTGAGGACGACTGCGTACGAAAGTATTGGCATTCATCGTCGGCTTTGTCTCAAGAGCCGGCATTCCCGCCCGTTGCCCCACGAGACATGAACACTGAGAACGCTTGTCCATCTCTGCCCTCCCAGCAAGCTTTTTGCACAAGGCCAGCTTCAGCTAGCTAGCGTGGTGTCTCAGTAGCCCCAGTCGAATGGTCCTGAGCTTGAAGAACTGCCGAAGAGCGCCCTTCTGTGGTTGCAGCCGCACCCTGAGCCTCCCACGGCCGCCAGCTTCGTCAACAAAGGCGTAGTTGAAATTTAAACCTGCATCAACATCCATCAAAGAAAGGCAGCCCAAGACCTATCCCAAGATGGAACAACTGTTTGGAGCACCTGTTCGCGTCTTTGGCGATCGGTTCTCACCGCTCCCATGTAGTGTGCTGGCATAGTAGATAACGACCTGGCATGTCACAATATGTCAAGACTTCACACTTGAAGACTTGAAAGTCTTGAACTAGAACGTGCTCTCTGGAAACCGCAAACCCGCCACTGTCACAGAGCCGGCTGACATGGTGGCTGCAGCAGCCTGCTGCGCCTCGGGCTGTTCACCCGACCAGTGCCCCTGAGGCATACTTCCAGAATGGCTCCCGGGCACCTTGCTAGCAGAGCAGTGGGACATCGCAAAACACAACATGAGCCGTCAAATCTGTCATACGTACATCTTGAAGGCCATTCGCCAGGTCAGGGCACAAATCTGGTGGCGCCGTTGTCAATCGTGAAGTCATCGACAGCCCATATGGTGTTGAGCCCCCACTGGAGGGGTCTTTGCAGCGGGACCTTCGAGGTGTCCACGACATCCCGGTGCATGTCACCTTGTGCCACAAGAAGCATAGAACCAGCCACAAGATCACCACGAAGCTGACCCTTTGTTCGCAGTTTCCTCGCCTTCCGGGGTGCCAGGCGCCAGGATCAGTAGTCGAACCTCCCACGGAATTGCAAGATGCGGACCGGGTACCCTTCTGAATTGTTTTTTGCTTGTTCTTTGCAGGGCCGGCACCCTTGTGCGACAGAACTCTCAGCATTGTCGTGAGCAACCAGAATGACATGACGATCTGCACGGGACATGCAGCACGCATTGAGCCACGGTGCCTCCCAGGCAATGGCGTGGTGCGAACCTTGCCCGTGAACGCGTCGAGCCAGCTCAATGGCTTCCTGCAGAACCGTGTCCGCCGCAAGGCCCAGCAGAGCTGCCTCCTGAAGCAAGGGGGGGGGGGGGGGGGGGTGGTGTGTGAGAAGGTGTAAGGGGGGGGGGGGGGGCACGCGCACGCCCCTCGCCCCAAGTTACAAGCGTCTGGGCTACTTCCTGCGCTAACTGCCTGTGGGCGCGGCCGCGTAAAAAATCAACATAGAAATCCACGAAAATATAAATATGTATATATATATATATTATATATACATGTATTATCTATGCAGCCATCAAGATGTCACCATACATTCACAGCTCCTTCTCGGGATCCAAGGGCCACTTCAGCAGCTGCGTGCTGCCCCCGAAACGCACATTGCGGCCTTCAGACATGCGCCCAGTCTCGAGCTCCTCGCACAAACCAAACTGGTGAACATCGCGTAACATCCTAGCACTCAAACATCTGCGCACTTCCATTTCGTGGCCCTTGGCAAGGAGCTCCTGCAACGCTGCGGCCACTTTCTCGCGGGTTGTCCATTGATCCAAGACTACGATGCCATCGCGTATCCTGGCCACGAAAATATCATGCAATCATGCACTCCATTTCCACCGGGGTGACTGCCTTTCCCTGCTCCCTCACTCAATCAAGACAAAGCTGCAGAACGTCGGCAATCTCTGCAGACGTGCTCGACGGAGGGAGCCGAGCAAGCGGGTTGACCAGGGCCACATCTCCCAACAGAAAAAATGGTGTCGCGGAGAGCACCAATAGCCTTAGCCAGCAGATCGTGCTGTTCTGCAGAAATGGCAGGCTCAAGCGCCTGAGGCACGCAACTACAGATAGCGATATGCAGTTGAGCTTCACAAGGCGTTTGCCCCAAGCTCGTTTTGGTGTCGGAGTCATAAACATAAAGTCCTCGGTACCACAATAGTTGCCCCGACGTCCCAAAAAAAGAAAATCACATGGCCGTGCCTGGCCTCTCTCAGCGCATCAGCACTGCAGCGCTTTTCGGCATTGCATACTGGCAGTGCCACTCATGATGGCAAGCTGTGATTGCAAGTTTTTTGACTGCGGTGCAAGATGCTTCAAGAATTAACTTACAAATGTTAACCGTACAATTCCCAAGTCTGGCACTTATGGCTTCTCTTGCCGTGCCTACAGGTCGCCTGCCGAGCCGCAATGGAACCGAACAGACCCATGAATGAAGAGATCATGCTGGCACGTGATTGTAACAGCACCTGCGTGCCGTCATCTAAACACGAACTGGTAATCTTGGCACCAACCGTTTGTTTGTTCGCACGCAGACACGCCCGTCTCACACCTGGCTATCACTCCGAAAGCTCGTTTGAGTGCCTGTGCACCTTCCCAAAATGTCTGCATGCTTCAAACCACTTCAACATCTCACTCTCCGTCACGTCATGGTCGCCTTCGACCATTCCCCAGCCTCAGGTGACCGAGAATGGCTGATCGCGCGATGCCAGCAACTGCTTGTTGACTCATTCACAGCCACCCATAGTCCAGCCGGCTTGGTCCTGCACGCTCAATTTGGAAGTTCTCCTCCAATTGTGCCCAGCGCATGGCTTCCTCTGCGGAGGTGGTGCGATCCAGCAGCGCGCTGGCAACAATGAGCGACTTTGCCTTGCAAGTCTAGCCGCCCACAAAACGTGAAGCACTCCTACAAACAAGTTTGAAGATAGTTTAACTGTTTAACACATGTTTAACACTTGAACAGATTGCCAAGCCACTGTCTGCGTCGCAATTTCTAAGGCGCATAACTCCCAGGCATCGCGGGCTAAGAGCTGCTCAGCAACACGCACCATGGTCTCCTGAATGCAGTAGGGTCCACATCGGTAGAAAATTACAAGTCGAGACTATGCCGTCCTCAGGGTGAGCAGGTGATCCAAGGCCAGTTGCCAAGCCAAGCTTCACCGAATACCTGCACAGATCTGCACAGGTGAGGCTGAAAATGTCTGCAGAAAAACCTGTAACTGAATGCGTATACGCGTATACTGTATAGCATCGTATCCCGCATACACTCACATGCACCTTATCCAACATGCTGCCAGCAGGCTCCGTTTGGAACCATTCCCGCAGCGGTCCCCACTCCTGCAGCTGGCGTTCTGCAAGAAACTCCTCCTCAACCTGGAAGCATACCTCGGAGCGAGTCAGCTGGGAACGGCACGAGGCTTCCTTCCAGGCTTTGGTTTCTTGCATATTTCATTCGTTGCTGGTCAAGCCTTGACGAGATGCAGTGTCCATCTCAAGAAATGGCAGCATCCGGTCAATGCAACCCTCCGGGTCTTTCTTGGTGATGTCCAAAGCGGTGCATCCTAACAGCAATGCAAGAGGATCGGGGCAGCATCAGCCCCCTTTCGGCAAAAGCCTGGGCTGGTGCTCTACGCTTTCTGAGCTTCCTGCCCAGGGTCGTGAAGGGCATTTCGAGAGGCTCAAGGTTTTCACCCTGCGCCCTCCACTCTTGCGCAACTCGATGCGCAACACCAACCCCAGGCAAATCCAATGTGGTGCCTTTTGGCGTTTTGATTACCTGCCAGGCACCGTGGGGACGCAATTGCAGCATGCATCTCTGAGAAAATCCTGGGCGTTTTTCACACAATGTCATGCTGCTGCAATCATCCATGTCAAGGCCTTGCCGTCCAGTAGCACACGAAAGAGGTCACCATTTGGCTCAATGGACACCTCCTCATAAAACCGCTTGATTTGCTTTGGCCTCGTCGCGGTCACCAAGCCTTGCACTGTGACCGGCAACACGCTCCCTCACAAGCCTGTCTAGAGTCTAGATGCAGACCATCTGTGCCTTCTGCACAGCTCTAGAAATCTCCAAATGCAGACGCACATGTCTCGCTGGACCTAACCGAAACAGAACGTCCCTCCAGCAGCGATACCTTGCCGTTTTCTACGGGCCTCGTCTGGCAACATGCCGAAGGGTTGAAGCAAGTCGCAACATGGCCATGCGCTTTCAAGCCCTTCAAGCAGCCCCTCAAGACCTGTCATTACCATACCCTCTCCGCTCTGCGGCGGCATTTAGGAGAACTCATCACTGTTTGTGAGAGGCAGTTGCTAGCCGAATCGAACTACAGAGTCATCATATTTGATCAATCCGATGGCTTCCTCTGTTCATCGTTGCGTTTGGCCGTTCAGTACTCTTTTTTGTCAGCCTGGCACAGCCCAGGACATCAGCAGCTTGGCCCTGAATGGCTCAAGGCGTGCAGCATCATCTCCGTGTGTCATCTGAGCACTAGAAGCCTTACTCACTTGAGTCATGTGCCCTGAGAGATGCTTCCTTCGGGCACCAAGATAGCATTTTTCCTCCCGTGCGCGCGCCCAGCAGGGGTCACAGCAAGAGGTCATCATCTGGCGAAGCATAATTTCGACCTCAAGCAGCTATGTTGGCAGAAGCTAGACATAATGGGCTCCGACTTGACACGCCTGCATCCAGCCGGTTCTTCGTTCGCACACCAAGAGCTTTCCTCCGAGCAATACGCCGCGAGCTCGGGAGGCCTCTGTGAGAAAGCAAGAGCGCTGACTGGCAGCACAACTACGGAAGCAGATGAATGAACTTGGCGCTCGGCGGTCTTGGTCAGTGTAGCGGCCTCCGAAGGTGGCAGCCTGTGCCAATAAGAGGGCCACAGGCAGTCCGCCGACTCACGTTCGTCCCTGAAACTGTTCGATGGTGGTCTGAAATAGCTGCCAGCCTGTATTCTATCGCCGCCTGTCAGCAAACGTGCTCTTGAACACCGAACCAATCACCGAATCACCGATCGACCTCCAGCACGTTCCAGCTGTCGAACGGGTGCAGGCCCGAGCCTACAAAGTCCGCCAGGTGCAAAGAGTGAACAACCGGGACTGACGGTCAGAAAAAAGAGGGAGCGGCGCAGCATCTCCGTCTTCGGCCAGCTGCGACCAGCCTCAGTGGGGTGGCCAGGCCTTGAAGGATGCTGCGCTTGACGCACATGTGATGCTGTCGTTGTGAGCCGCGAGCTGAAGGGGGTCTTCGCCGGCTGGCTGGTTCGACTGCCTGGCCAGATGTGGAGATACTTTGCGACAAGCAAAGACAGCAAAGATTGGCACATGGTCGGACGACCCTCTTGCTTGTGCTCGCCGCCAGCTTCATCTTCTGAACTCGACTCTTGCACTTCATTGTCGGACCTTAGCTCCGAGGCCAGAGCAGATCAGAGCAGCCAAGGCACATCCTGGCTTTTTTACGCGCTTTTGGCTCAGGCCGCTTGCTTTCAACTGCATCTGAGTCATCTGAGGAGGCATCTCGGAATCACTGGCAAGGAGACGATCACGGATGTCCGACAAGCCATCGCCCGTGGCACTTTCCTCCTGCGCTATACACTCAGAAGTGTTCTGGTCAAATCAAAACCTTGCATTAAGAAGCTGCGTGCGGAGAATCGGGCTACCTCCCAAAATGTCATACAGGAAGTGCGCGCGCACACACACACACTGTCACAATTGACATGGGTCATAGCCACGAGGGACTCTTTGTCAAGATCACTGCACGCAAAAGTGGCGATCGCTTTTGATGTGTCACGTCGGATTGGCCCCTACTGTCCTTTGTGCGATGTGCATCCATGCACGGCTGGCATCGTAGCTTAATCCGCCGAGGCCTCAGGCTGCAAGAGTTGATTTGTTTATTTGTGTTTTTGATTGTTTTTGTACTCTTGTTTCATCTTGTGACCCCATGCTTCGGCGATTCTTTCCGGGAGCCCCCCATCGCCGTTTTGTCTCTTTGACAGTATGTGAGGCAGAGCTCCCTACTCCCCTCGCCCTTGCTGTGCTTATCTCTTTCCGTATTTCCCCCCCCCCCCCCTTCCCCTCTACCCTCTCCCCCGCCACTCCTTCTACCTGCACACCGTGCGTTCCTGTCGGCGGAAAACAGCTTCCGCATCCTGCCGAATGCTTCCCTTCCATGAGGCTCTGGAAGCATCATTATCATCTCTCCACGTGGGTATCTTGGTGCCTGCTTGCTCGCTGGCTTGTTCGTACGCGCGCACACTCTGCGTGATGCACAACGCTGGAAGCACATCATCCTGCGAACTTGCCGTGCGTAGCTTCGTCGCTCGAGTCTTCGCCTTGGAAAGTTCCAAAACCTTTACAGCTGTGCCTACGGCGTCCTACAGACCTCAAATCGTGCCCACCGAGTTCCGGGCCCTTGGGCCACGAGAGAAACCATCTTCCAACGCAGGTGTGGTCAAGTATCCTGGGAGCGCAGAAGTCATGTCCGACTTTACCATGCTGAGTGCTGAGAGGTGCTGAGGCAGAGGCCAAGAAGCTCGCCTTCCTTGAGCACACGTGGTGTTTGGAAACCGTCTTCATGTCATCATGGCAGCAGGAGCACATTGGACATGCTAAACTTATTCGAGGGGTGCGCCACTCATGTGCCTGTCATTCTCTGGCACTAGGTTTCGGACTGCACTCTGGGTGCGGTCGGCTTTGCTTAGGATCTCAAGACCACCATCCAAATCTGAGCTCAGCCGCACAAAGACTCTGGAAGCGTGATGTGTGCATCGCGCCAGCCATGGCATGTAGATCTCGTCAGATGAATTGGAAGTTATACTGCATCCGTGCACTGTCAGAAACGAAATGATGTGTGGTTCGCTGAGTCTGTGGCTCACAGGTCCGTCACTGCCTTCGCTGTCCGAAGCAGGATCACCTGATTTGTGCTGCTGGTACCGATGATTGCACTGAGGTTTGGAAGGTTCGCCAATCTCGGGATACAGTTTACAATCTGAAGGAATATATATATATATGTGTAGATATATAATATATTTATCTATATATAGCTGCACCCTTGCTCTGTCGCCTTTTCCGTTCGCTCTTGCGATGTCTGAGGCCGTGAATCACTCGACAGTGCAGTGTGAGACATGAACAGCATGAAGCATTAGGGTCCTTTTGCTTTGCAAGCTGTTAAGTGGGTCAAGTGATTCGGCCTCGGTCTCTTTGAGCCATTGCAAGGTATCGCAAGAGCAAGGCAGAGACCACAGGGGGTTGGCACTGGCAGTATGGAGCACCTCATGTGATCATCTGGGCATTGCCACCAATGGAACTATCAACAGACACCATATTCACATCATCGAGCTCGGTGGAAAACTTCTCGAATTCGGAACACAATTGAAATCAGCCCCCATGTTGCATGCATGAAAGAACGGACTTAAAAAATGTGAGGCACTTGAGTTGCACCTCCTCGGTGGGACCCTGTGCCTATCGGATTGTCCTTTTCGACTTTCGACACTTTCATGGGCCTGGCTGTTTTTCAAGGTTCTCTGCCTCGGGGTCGAGAGAATCTGCGGAGTCGCAGCGCTTGCGACACAGGCTGCCGATTAGCCTTGGCAAAGGGCATGGAGTTGGAGTTGAGTTTCACTGCCACATCTGCCGAGAAGGAGCAATTTATATTCGTCAAAGCTGATCTTGCCATCGCGATTCAAATCCAGCTTCAGGAAAAATCTCCTCACTGCTGCACCCAGTACAGCATGGCTCAATTGATATTGAAACTCAGCGCAGATTGATGGACAAGTGGATAAATGTATAACGGCTGGGGGCGAAGGCGCGCCGCCCTCTCAGCCAATCGGCAAAAATCATCGGAGATCCAGTTGCAGTTCAGGTTCTCACCCACCCCAGGTATGAGGCAAAGCTGTCAGCGCACCCGTCCTCACCACCACCGGCCTGCCCTCTCCGAAGAGATGTTGTCTGCTCAACGGCGCGCCACCCGACCCCTACACACTACCCTTCATATGCATCCTCACACGCATTCTAGTGGTGTGCTGCACAACACCCGATTCTGGATGCCTTTGCAGCCTGGGCGTCTCAGAGTCTGCCTAGCACCGATTTTTGAATCAAGGACCGCAGCTAATTGGGAAGCCTGCCAGAACCGCAAAAACTTGAGAGCAGGGCGAACGAAAGCTAGGGTGAAGACCGCGCTGCTCAGCCCTGAAATGATAAGTAACAATGCTGACCTAAGGGGGGGCGGGGGGGGGGACCCCCCCCCCCCCCACCTTATCGGGAACATGGGGGGCCCCCCCCCCCCCCCAGGTCCACCAGCCTCCAAGGATTTCTTGTGTGGTCACCCCCAAAGGGGGGGGGGGGGGGGCCCCAACCCCCCCCCATGGCAGCTTAAACCTCCGATATATCGGAGATTAAGGCCCCTGAGTGCTGTTTGACCCAAGAACAAAATGGTAAACAAGAACTCCCGCAAGCTCCAAAGGAGCTAGCTTTCGTGACAGCGGCACGACCTTTCAAACTTTCCCACCATGCATGCTCAAAATGCGCTGGTTTCCGGAAGGCTGTGGAACCTCAACCGTCTCCAGTCGTGCCATCCCACACGTTGCCAACATCTTCTTCCGAGACTTCTGAAGTAAGATGCATCATATGAAACAATGCAACGGCAGTATGACATCTGTAAACGACAGACCGCATAGTCGGCAGCGTGACCCAGGGCCCCCTCGTCAGGATAGGTGGGAACCTCCCGACTCTAGCACAACAAAGCACCCATCCAAGAACCAAATCCCTGTCATAAGAGATTCTGGCCATGTGCAAACATGACAGCCACCGAGGGCAGCTGGTTCAAGGCCTAAAAAAGAAGCCCGCGCTCTGGGCCGGCATGCACTGGTGCCTACACTCCACACGAATCTGCGAAATCCCCTGTGCCACCTGACTAATTTAAACAGCACCAGGAAAGTGTGGAAACGTCCAGGCTGGAATGGGCCCAAGACTGATCGAAATGAGCTTGCCAGGCGTCCTGACATACTCCTCCGATGCGTTAACGCCGACCCTAGGCTGCAAGCTTCAAGTGGTAGCGACGGCACCCAACAACATTCCAGAAGGTGAGGGAAGTGGTGCGGGCTCAGCGGCTTGTGCAGCGCTGCTTCTAGCTCCGAAAGCTCAATGCAACCCGCGGTCTTCAAGTCGATGGCTTCTAGGGCGTTTCCTTCGCATGTGTTCGACAGCTCTCAAACTCGAACCTAGAAGCACATGCTAGCATCTGCCAGAACATGCCGTGGGTGTGGGGAGCCCAGGCAATGCCAGGCAAAGGATGTGAGGAACCAAGGCTCTGAGCTTCTCGGCTTCTGCTGTTGAGATGTCGTTCTTATCCTGGTCTTCTCTATCCTCCATAGATTGCAGGCTGCTCAGATGTGATAGGCCCTTGCTGCTAAATACCGAATTTGTCAGAATGCAGGATCGCCTGCAGAAAAGGTGTGGCAACAACAATGTAGCTCGACAGAATACTGCCCTGCCATCTCAGTATCCAATGTTGCAGTCTTGCTCTTGTTTGCTGTCTTCATTCCTTCTCATTGTCTGATTCGCATTTTGACATGAGAGCATTGAGTAGTCACTTCGTTCATTCGTTTTATCCGTGGCCTAGTGGCGGCAATTCGCCCATGTCATTCTCTGGTTCACTTTCCTAATCTTCCATCTGTTTCCTGGGAGGCGACCATGCCTTCATGACTGTGGTCTCCCTTCTAGGTCCTGTCTTGTGGCTACTTGCGAACTAGCTAGTGGTTGAAAGAACCGAATCAATCCGGATGTGCCACAACCACCTATCAGTACCGGATTAACTACTTCTAAACGGCAAACCACGAATCGGTGATTGAGGCAAAAAACGTCTACAAAGGTACCCGGGTCACTTAGCCAATTTTTTGGGGGTCGCCTAGCCTATCCGACTCCGGCACAGTTTGGGGTCACTGGCTTGTGGGTTTTGGGTGGTGTAGGGTTTTTTGCCACCCGCCTAGCAGACCCCCTCTGGGTTCGTGGTTCAGGGTTTTTTCCCCACCCGTTTCGCAAGCGTTTACGGGGAAAAGGTCAGACGGTACTCTAGCCCAAGCTTAGGTTGAAGTTGCATACGACATGGGGAGGGCCCCAGAGCTGCAGTAGGAGTTGAGGGTTAAAGGGTAAAAGGCTTGAGGGTATAAGGTGGGTTTAGGGTCCAGGGTTTCAGTGCAGGGTTTCGGCTCTCGCACTCGCACAAGGCAGGCAAGGACTCGTTCAGTGCAGGGTTTAAAAAGAGTTGCTAAGTGTCCCAAAAAAACACGTGCTAAGTGACCCACTACAAAATTGGCTCAGCGACCCCCTTACCTGGCGCTTGTTTGCAAATGTTCCGTACCCGTCTCTGCAACGATACGAACACGCCCATATGCCTGCCCAGGATTCATCTAAGTTTGGCAAAGTCCACCAGCCTGCTTTGCTTTTGGCCCTTTGGGCTTGGGAAGCAACCGCTGCAGCTCCCACGCCAGGGCATCTTTCGTCCAAAGCGCCCCATCTCCAGACAAGTCGAGCTCAAGGAAATTCTTCGAGATCACTTCAACATCATCCATACTGATGATGTCGTTCCTTGGATAGACTGAAAGCTAGTAAGGTGCACAAATGTGTGCATGAATTGCACAGGAAACATCTGCAGGCCAGGATGCTGCACCAGCAGAAAGCAGCAAAACTCGAATTGTGAGATCCTGAGCACTCAGTTCAGTTGGAAACAAGTTGCGGCGCCTTTCTACTTTCGGCTTTAGCTGTCCTGTGCTCTCCCATCTTTCGAATCTCGTCCTCGGCCTTCTCCCCCAGCAAACCGCGACTGTGCAGCTCCTCATGTTCGAACCGCCCAGTGCGCGCATGGTTTCTGAAGCAGGAAAGTCGTGAGAAGCATCCTCTGCCTACGCTATCCTACCCTTTCCTGCGCGACGTTGCCGCTCACAGCTGTGGTCAAGCAAACAAGGTCCACAAATATACACGTTGCTCCTCTGCAAACTTCCTCATCTTCAGCAGCTTTGCAACCGTCAGGTCGGGTAGCCTGGCAAACCCGGATAATTAACCATGACAGAACACATACTGGTATTGCCGCTTAATGAACCGTCTGGCACTGCGGCACACATCAATTTGTTGCCCCGGATTAAGAAGCCTGCAACCCGATCAAGTCGCATATGCCCCACCTTTGCTTGATGCCACGCTGCCGCTCGCCGTATATGAGCGCTACAAGCTCCGCCAGAGTGCCGCCTTGATTTACATCAATTTACCATTTACGACGCGAGTCATGGACGCAGTTGCAGGAAGCCCGAGACCTGGCATGTCTTGAGCTGCACAGACGGATGCCAACTTCTTCAAGGTTCAAGTCAAGCCACCAAAGATGGGAACACCTACCAAGCACAGCAGCGAGACGATCCACTTCGATGCCGGGGTCTGTGGCACAAGGTCGCCAAACCCGATCGTTGTCAAGGTCACGACGCTGAAATAAAGCGCCTGAAGCAGCGTTCTTCGAGCCTTTCTTATCGACCCACGAGTCACATGATCTACGAACCTGTGCCCACCTCCCACGCACTTGGCAAGCCCAGAGCACGTTTCGATATGAAAGAGCTCAAAACCAAGTACATCGTCAGGAGCTGCAGCTGCCGCCGAAATCCTCAAATAGGCAGAACATGGGAGCACCATGGTGCACCGCTGCCTGTGGGTTCATTTGCCAGACAAGCAATGCTGGGGCAAAGCGTCTGGTTCGCAAACGTCGCCGCTCACCTTGATTGAAGAGGGACGAAGCCATGCGCTAGTGCTGGAAAGCTTGCAAAATCTTGCAAACCTGCCTTCCTCGTCGAAGATGTCTTCATCAGGCATCTCCCCCAGGCGGATCTTCAGCTGCTGGTTCACCGTCCCCGCTGCATGCATCGTCTCCCTCTGGACAAGCTCATGGACGAAGCTGCCTGAGACATCAAATACTTGCTGCCGCTACGATGGATGTGATCATCGTGGCATGGATGCTGCATGCGCGTGGTGGCCATCATCGTGCGAGCATGGATGCTGTGGGAAACGGATGCGCGGGCAGCATGGGCGTGATGATCGTGCGGGCATGCATTGTTGGGGACCCGCCGATGGCATTTGCGTTATAGTGTGGGAAACGGATGCGCTAATAGCAGGGGAGTAATCATCTTGCGGGCATGGGCGCAGTGGCTTCCGCGTGCGCTGGTGACCCGGACATAGTCATGGTTCGCGCATGGGGTCTGCGCGTGCCGGTGACACGGACATAATCATCTTTGGGGCATGATGCAGCTGTATGCAGCTGTCTAACCAAGCAGCAAAAGCGCAAGGATGCGCAAGGAAGACGTGCAATCACTCATAAACAAACGCAAGTAAAAACAATTTTTGTTAGAAGCTCCAGAAATGGTCCGAAAATCAGCGACTACTCCTACTACGCCTTTTTTTAAGACTGGAACTGAGGCCAGGGCAGCATCCATCCATCCAGCTCCTACTACGCCTACTACGCCAACTCCTACTACTCCTACTACTCCTACTACTCCTACTACTCCTACTACTCCTACTACTCCTACTACTCCTACTACTCCTACTACTCCTACTACTCCTACTACTCCTACTACTCCTACTACTCCTACTACTCCTACTACTCCTACTTCTCCTACTACTCCTACTACTCCTACTTCTCCTACTGCTCTACCACACTGCCAGTGCCTCGCCTCTATACCACCACGACCACCACTACCACTGCCACTAAACCACCTGACCACCACGACCACTGTCACCACCACTGTCACCACCACTGTCACCACCACTGTCACCACCACTGTCACCACCACTGCCACCACCACTGTCACTGCCACTGCCACTACCACTACCAAGACGACGAGGACGACGACGACGAAGATGACGACGACGAGGAGGCCTGCTACTTTTTCTACTACGACCGACTACTACCACCACGACTAAGTACTACAACTTCTAGGACTACGACTACGACTAACATGACTACGACGACAAGTGGCTCGCCTGCTTCCACAAAGCAGCTGTGGACTCCATGCATGAGTGGAATTCAGTATTTTGTTCAAAGTGTCCCCAGAGAGTGTCCCTGGAGTGCCCAACCGCAGAGTGTCCCTGGAATGCCCAATCCCCAAGTGTCCCTGGAGTGCCCAACCTCTGGAGTGCCCAACCGCAGAGTGTCCCTGCAATGCTCAACCCCCAATGTGCCTGGAGTGGTGCCCAATCCCAGCCCAACCCCAAAGTGCCCCTGGAGTCCCCAACCCCAGAGATGCCCAACTCTAGTCTTTAGCCAGAGAGGGTGGGGAGATTCGAAGTAAATAATTAACGTTTTCTACAAATGTGATTATTCTGCCGCCCAAGCACTCAGTCTGGCTGCGAGAAGCACTAAAGCCAAGAGGATGGCCACGCTGAAAAACAACCTCTGCAGCAGGCGTGATGTGACATTCGGACGGGACTCGCTCGGGCACATCTTCTGGACCCGCACGTCAACTGCGAAGGCCTCGAGGCAGGATGTGATGGCGCCAGATCTCCGTAGCCCACCTTGGGCAGACGAGTACAGCATTTGTGCAGAACATTTGGTTCGTGGTGCTGTCAAGGCATTTATCAGACTTTGACCGTGGATCTTGTCAGATCGTCCTTTGAACACCGGCTCCCACGACGGGTTTGCGAGCCATCGATTTCCCAAACAAGTTCCCAACACTGATCCTGCCACCCAACCGAAGCCGGAACAGTGTAGTACGACGATGGTCGAAGCGGCTGTTGTCAGGGCAGTGATGGAGAAGTAGACGCTGTCTTCAGGCCCCCACCCTTCGCACACACCTGCACTCAATATGGATGTCAGGCACGGGTGAACACCACTCAGGCTTTGGCGAGGATTTCTCTAACCAATCGTTGGACATGCATGACATGCTAGGAGGATGCAACCTCACATTTCGCCCTCCCCACCATAGACGCCCATGGAGGAAAGCACGTAGGCCAACACGATCCAGACTAACCCAAAGGAAGGCTTCCCAGCCAGAAAGCACCCATGTCGGGCAGTCCTAAGAGACACAAAAATCACTTGACAACTTAAGGGGCTTGCTTAAGGCGAGGACAACATGCAGGGCGAATAGATTGCCAGGTGTTCCCCTGCCAAGTCTCCAAATTCCTGCTTTTCTTGAAGGGAAGCGGGCCCGTTGATTGGTTTGATTGGCGGCCGCTGCGACCAGTCCAGCGACTGAGCCTGTCCTCAGATCCCATATTGATCGGAAGAGCCAGCAACTCAGCAACTCATGTATTCTGTTGAGTCTTCTTTGTGGTGGTTCCATTCATGCTTGATATGCCAGAAGCATCTTTACTTGCACCCGGGGTTCAGCAAATATCTGTACTCTGACTCGGACTCGGAGATGTGCTGCCTTGTGCAAGGCCGTGTCCTGGCATCAAACCAGCAGGTGTGTGTACGCACGCTGACAGGCGCCTCCAATCTCCGAGGCACACGCAATGGCACGCATTTCTGGGCATTGGCTCTGAATCATCAGCGTGGTCATGACGGACAGGGCCAGCTGGGGGGGCTGGGTCCAGGTTTTGTGTCCGGAAGGCCATGCATTGGGCGGAGAAGAATACACCCACGTCTCGGAACCAAAGTCGGTCGGCATGCTGCCTGAAGGCTGAGTATGTATCTTGTAGTAGTATACCCTGACACTGCCTGAATCTGGGAAAAGGGTCTCACTGCCATCAGCTAATCGAAGCTTTGCACTCCTTACGGTCCTTGTCAGCCGTGGCTGCCTCTCCAGAATCTTTCTGGGCACTGGGTCACGGGTGCGACAAGCAGCTGATGGCACATTCATCTGCCGCAGCTATTCTGCAGCCACTCGTGAAATTCAGGCTACTAACGTGCTCGTGTATGCGTTCATGTATGTGTATCCACTGGTTGCAATCTCAGTCTGAAGCAAGAACCTATTTTACAACTTTCTATAATCGACATCCTCAACCTCATGGCTCCCATATTGACAGGCTGCAGCAATAGAGCCGTTGCGCATCCAGCACATATTGCGCGACCCTTACCACTCAGGTAGTTTGATGCTCCGACTGGGTTGGCAACATTGAGGCGTGGCACACAGCAGCGCGGCACCGCAAATGCATGAGATGCCCTGGGTCCCGGGACCATCCTCCTTGCGGTTGCGCAGGCGTCTGCGCCTGCATCTTGTGTGCTGTGCAACTACGGTTTCCCAGGCACTGGCCATCGCCAAGAGCTGCCATTGATACAAGCTTTGGTGATAGCCACTGGCAAAATCTAGCAAGATATGCACGCAGGACGCACACGGCAGTGTTGCGCTGAGGACGGCGCAGCGACCTTTTTCTGGAGAATAGGGTGTGCAGGTCCTGATGGCATTTTCCAGACCTCTTGGCATACACCAACGGTGGCACTTCCTGCCTCGCCAGCCTGCAATTGATCTTGGATGAGCTTCGACAAGACCTGAAGACAAGCAGCCACTGTCCAGCAAAGGTCTGCGACATCTGCCACGATAGCGTGTCTTCGCCCCCTTTTCTGATTTCACGGGGACACGCCTGGTCCTTGCTTCCGATGAAGTTCGTCACAAGGCCTCGCTTTCCCATCCGGCCTGACATCCATCTAAGACACATTTTGCGCCGGCTGTACACAGGGGCTGTTTTCGGGGGGTTCTTATTTTGGGGGGGGGGGGGGGTGTTCGGGTCCTCCTCTCGAAACGATGTCAGGCCAAGGCCCGGGCCCGTGCGGCCAACGCGGTGAAGCCAGCAGACGGCACCTACGAGTACAACACAGCAGTGTCTAGTAAGCCACTTGCCACTTGCGCTGTCAAGCGCCAGCTAACACACACATACACACACACAGAGACACAGACACAGAGACACACACACACACACGGGGACACGGTTCCGTGATGTTCGTTGCACATGATTCAATGGTAGGTCCTCCTTCTGTGCGCGGGCCTGTTGGCATCTGGAAGTTGATGACATGATCCACCTGAGCGCATGAGCTGCCGGCTTCAGCCTCAGCACAAGAAACAGGAACTGGCCTGGTGCCAGTCAATGCCTCGACCCCCGAACTCGGTGGCAACCATGATGTGTGCCTCCCCATGTTCAACGAACCAAATTCTCACCGTAAATGTTGGTAGCATGTGCTGATGTCATACGAGCTTCTTGTGCACGTAGAGGCCTCACCGTCAGCGAACTTCTGAGCGTCCCGGAACCGAGGCCTTCGACAGCTGAATCAAAAGCCGCCGTTGACTCCAGCGTCAGCGTGCACGCATGGTGTATGCTGTATGTGCGTGTGTGACTGCACTGTGTATTGAGTATTGCGTGTGGGTGTGTGTGTGTGCGTGAGCATTATGAGTGTGTTTGCTGGGTTGGATGTAGGCGCGCACACACACAGGTCGGCTTTTTCTTGGTGTTCTTAACTAGCGCCGCTCTGAGAAGCACTGCTTGCTGTGATGTTCACTGGCAACAGTCTAGCCAACAGAAAACCCAAAAGCTGCACCCAGTTGCAGGCAACTGGCTGCGGCTCAGGATGGGGCCCACAGATCTCACGGTTGGAGCACGTGACACTCCAAATAACCGCCGCATTGATCGCCACACTCTGCGCAGCTCTCAAACTGCAGCCTCTCTTCCTCGACGTGCACTTTGGATCTGTGCCCTCCACACTATCGGCTTCCCATGGCTTCTCTTTGCCAAAAAAACTGCACACACAACTTTGTGCTGGGAGTAGTTCATCCCTCCTGTCGAGCTCACAGGTCCTTTGCTACTATAAAGGTGGTGAGAGACACGTTCAGGCTCCCGAACTACTTGCATGAGTTCTCGGGCAGGGAGCCGTGGAACATGCTGGCCCAGTTTTGCATTCGCAAGATGAGGCCTTTCGTGCACTGCATTGAAAACTTTGGCGTGAAGGCTGTACTCCCGAAGCCAGAAACCATCCAAGAGCAGAGGCTGTTGAAGTCTCAGCATGCTACTAAGAAGCCATCGCGCAACTGAGATAACAACACAACGACACAGTGTCGTAAATTTGCGAATCGTCATTGTCATGACCTCGTCAGCCAGTACATTATCACAAGCACGACCTCACTCCAGGAAGTTGTCCGAGACGTTGTCTGGCACAAGTTCCTGAAAGGGGGGCGCGTGGTAAGTAACAGCTACATAGAGATTGCTGAAGTTTCAAGCAAAGGTCGAGGACCTGCTTTGGCACGGGCTTAGGCACGATCTCCGGGTAGTTGCTGAACCGGTACTGGTCCATCTCATAGATCACGTTGTCCCTATCTGCCGCCTACAAGTGAACTGCATTGGCGAATGCTGAGATGCTTCGAACCGTCCCGTAGGCGCCTGGTTGTGAAGCAGTACATAACGGTCTTCCGCGTTTTTGGCTGCACGCCTTTCCTGTGTCAGCTGGAATCCTTAGATGCCGGTCCAAGCTGCCACAGGACAGACATGCCGCACAGGAGTGCGACGACGATGTAGTTGCATCTGCAGCTATGACCTAGGCCTTACTGAAGATCTCTCCTGCAGCCTGGCTGCCCATACCATTCAGTCGCCCCTGGAAGACTGGAGGACTGCTCTTACACAATCCTACGCTGCAAGTTCTCAAATCGCAAACCCGGGCCTGAATCTGATCAGCCTTACAGCTCATGCGCCGCAGCCGCTCGACGAAGCATCCAGCCCGCCAGTTCTCGTGAAGCGCGATACTGATGAGCCGAACCATGTCCTGCAATGTCCTATATCGCCCACTGCTCAATAAGTTTTGCTCAAGCCTGCAGCTTCGCATGACGTCCGCAACAATTTCAAGAAGTCCTGGCCAGTAGCTGGACCCTTCAGTTGCCTCACGGACACAGGTGCCGGGCTGAGACACATGCCGAACCTACAAACACGTACAAGAGGCACCGTAGTACTGACTATGTACATGTGAAGTGCGAAACATCACCTGATGGCCAAACTATGCCGAAATGGCACCTCGACTAGCACCTTTAAAGTCTATATGTCTCTACAAACTAAACAAAATCTGAAGCTCGAAAAAGGCCAGACCAAGTCCAAGCCCAAATGCTGAATCCCATCGATCAGCTCCTCAGCGCTAACCTGTCCAAGCTCGAAGGGAAAGCATCTTCACTCTTACAGGGGGGGACCCAGGTTTGTAGACCCGTGAACTGGAATGAAAAAGAGTGCGCACCAGCTGGACCACACTCCCTTGAAGCCGTCTCAGCCAGAGCATGCCAACACCAGCTCACCGGGCAGAAAAAGTAAAGAAACCACTGCTCGCATATCCATGCGACATCGGAAAACTGTTGCTTTTGTCCTTTTCAGGCTTGGCGTTCCTTCAAGGATTGGGCGTGCTTCAGCGACTTGTTACTTAGGCTGCAGTTGCAGTTGGGCATAGGATAAGGCAGCCAGCCCACTCTATATCCGTCTATTGAGACAAAAGCAGGCGGGGGCCTCTCCACTGCCATCAGCATCAAGTACAGTGAAGAGCTCTTCAGTTTCGTCCACGCGAAGGCCAAGCAACGACAGCTTAGCAAGTACATCAGGCTGCCTGCGGAATCAGCTGTGAATTTCCATACTCTTGAGCTGCACTTTGACCAGCAGCATTGACACTACGCGCCAGACACAGACTCAAGATACAGCATCCACGGCCTTATCATCTTCTTGAACTCCCGAAGGCCAAGGCCCATGTTGTCCTGGCTTGTGATGTGTGGCTATTCGGCACCTGCCGTCCCGACAACAACCCAACAGTTGCACACCCATGCAAGGCCTCCTCACAAATACGATGTTGGGTCTGAGTTGACTTTCTGGAATGCGTCAGTGATCAGGGCATGAAGTCTTGAGATGAAACTAAACACGGATGTTGTCCTGGTCATGCCGGTGGAACTCGAGCAGCAAGGTGTGCAAGATGTACCGTTCTGAGTTGATCAACATCCTTGCCGAGGCCTCCTGAGCACCGCTTCCCCTTAAGCAACACTGCAGCTACGTGCAAGATGCGTGCGAGCCTTGCTGTCGCATGCTAGGGATGTGATCTGCTTCACCATCACTGCCACGAGAAGGTTGAAGATGGCGTAGGTCAGCAGGATAACCCCCAGGATCAACAGCACGACGCCTTGAGGAGACAAGTAAAACCTCAGGGAAACACAATGCCATGCGGGCAGGTCCGAGAAACACCAACATGGCCAAGTCGACTCAACCAAAAGTCAGACGAGTCGCAGTGGGCGAGCAACTAAACCTGCCCAACTGTCCAGTGTTGCTACCTGTAGCATTGTCATCATTGACTGGCCTATCGTGCCGAAATAAAACTTCGCGGTTGGCCAGTAGTTCAAGACAAGAGGATCTGTCGCCACCACCGAGGTCAGCGACACTCCGAAGACGTACAGCGCAACTGCTGCAAGCGTTGCAACAAATGTGACGGCCTTAAATGAGTCCAGCAAGCCTTGGATCATGAACCAAAGCCCTCCCAGACCATTGACGCCCTTCACGCTCCGGGCAACGCGTAAGCCGCGAAAGACTCGAAATGCCTTGGCCAACTGTACGCCTGCAACTGGGCGAAAGAGCGTCATCATCAAGTCGCCAAAGCCCATCAGTACGAGACTGAAATCAAAGACATTCCAGCCATCATGGAAGAACTCGAACTGCTGTTGGTGAAGTCGAACAAGCCATTCCAAGACAAAGATCGTCGCAAAGACTACTTCAAGAAGAACAAACCCAATATTAGTCTCAACTGCAGCTGCCCTCTGGTCATCCACTTCTATGCCCAAAATGATCGTGTTCGTCACAAGCAAGACAACCTGATTACTGCAGGCTTGTTTGCGAAGCTGCAGATCAGAATCACTCAGCGAGTGAATGACAGGTTGAAAGACGGATGGGCTCACGTGGCTTCCGCTATCTCAGCTGAGAGGCTATAAATGCATTGAGCTTGGCGCTGGATGCAATGTGCTCCTTCTTTCTGCGGAGGTCATCCGAAAACACGCTATTCATCTGCTCGAAGACGGACTTCCATCTGGAACACCGCGGCTTCGAACACGCTGCTGCTTGCGGACTACTGACTACTGCTGAGCAGACCTTCACTTCCTTCACTTCCTTCACTTACACTCCGACATGAAATCTCGCCTCGTCGGGCGCGGCTCTACCTCACTCCGGAACCATCGGGTCGAGGCCTCCGAACAAGCCGCAACAAGTGGAGGCTGAAGTCGTGTAATTTTAATTGCTTTGTGAATCCTTTTGGGTCCTTTTGAGAGGCATGAAGAAAAGTTCGGCAGCGAAAAGCCGTTGCACCAGCGCATGCCTCCATTCAATGCCAACCCCATGTGCTCCCCCCGGACCCCACCTTGAAAGCCTTTATCAGCCTTCTTACAGAGCTCATCGCCGGCAAGGGGCCGCCTCTGCAGCTTCACACTGCTCAAATCTTTTCACTCAAGTAACTCAAGTACAAGAAGCAGACTGGCCGCGATCAGCCAATCCCCAGCCTGCATCAAGCCCAGCCGCTGTGCCATGGCAGGCTGCAGGCCAACTACCATTTCTCTCACTGGGCCGCGTGTTTGCACCTGCGATTGGCTGACGCTAATGGCAGTCTGGCTTACCTGGCTTAGCTCCGCCTAGCTTGTCGTGATATGGCGTGGTGGATTACGCTTGTCCCTGGCCACGTACCAAGTTGACGCTTTGGAAGCGAGAGAAGAACGTGCATGATCAGCACCACAGCCACAATCCATCAAGTCCTGTCAATGCCAACATATGCCAACATGCAAGGTCCAGGCCCCATTCGACCACGAGGCCCCTTCATGAAGCTCACCTTTGGGTGTTGGGACTCGGAAATGCCGAATCGGAATGTCAAAGAGTCAAAGGCAACCGAGAAGCCACCGGCCAGCCATTTTCCCGAAAGAAGTGCAGCAGCACGTGGCAATTGTGCAGGCCTCGCACGGTCAACGTGCTTGAGTGCCGATGACAGATTCGCCCTTATCTGAGGGAACAGCTGTTGACGAAGATCAGCGTCCTCCTCGGTTTCGTTCTGTACGGCACTATCAACACGAGTTTACGATGGTTTAGCCATGCCGCTGGCAGGGAGTTTTGCGCAGCACGTCGATCAGTTGCTCAACTCGCTGGTGCCAGTCGTCACCTTCACATGCTAATTTTTGCGCAGGCACAGGGGCTGCAGCCAGAGTATCCGGGTGTCAGGCTTCCAGTCACCCACTGCACGTTGTCTATGCTGATGCCAGCCGGCCTTTCTTCGTGCAGAAGAAAAGGGAGGAGGGAAAACAACATCCCGCTGCCTGACACTCACTTTCAAGCTGTGCGAATCCCTTGAAAGAGGGCTGTGAAGTCAGAGTCTTGTGATGGGTGTCAAGTTCAATACGGAAAGACCACGACAAGCCGCTCCAACTCAGCCCACACTAAACAAATTGAAGCAGCATCCAGCACGCCGTCTTGCACAAGGGCAACGGCAATTTATGGAAGTGTTGAGTCTCCACAACGTCTGCCGTGCAGAAGCGCTCGATCCTGTCATTAGCATGCGTGACAGGACAAACTCGCTTCTCGGCTTCAGGATGCACAGAGGCTGTAAGCATTCCAAGAAGAAAACGAATTTCGAGCAATTGCCAGCAGGGTAAGGCTCACTAGGCTGCTCAGCGGTTTGGTCTTTTTCTCTGCCGCGAAGCTCGCACTTCGACGACTCGGTCTTTTAGCCGCCAGGACAGGCGCTGCATGCTTTCGCTGTTTTCGCGATCTATGCCAAGGTCGAGGAGATACCGCACCGTAGCATGCTTCATTGGCTTAAAGGACTTTCTCTAGCTTCAAGGAGTACATCACTCGTTCGGTTCGGAGAGCCCTGCTAATCAGCCCCTTCCTCGTATGCTTCGAAGGATACGCAGCTCTTCGATGGGCTGTGTAACACCCACCGTTTGCAAAGCCTGGCTGCCCTCCCCGACAAAACCCGGGGCTGCAGCTCAGGCTTCGCGCCTCTGTAGGCACTGCAGTCGCCCGATTCCAACTACCTACCATTCCTACCATCCTACGCTTTGCTGCACTTGCTTGAGATAAGCAGTCTCGGATGATCCAGCCATACGTATCTCGCGCTCTCAGCCACATTGGCTTACAGCTCGTCGTGTGCACAGAGCTCATACTCTGGTCTCTTCTTGGTCCTTTGCACGCTGGGCACAGTAAGTGCTCTGCCTTCTGCATGGATCAGATTTCGGCTGTAAGGGCACGGCTGCTTGGTAAAGAGGTAAACATAGGTTGTGCACCTGGTAACATACTGCAACTTAGGATTCTTCGACATGGCTAGACTCATATCTGATAATCCACAAAATGTGTATGCCAGGTGCGGCACAGGGCGACCCGGATGAAACAGGCCGTGAGAATGGCGTGGAAAAACCTGTGCAATCGTGCCCACGCAGGAGAAAACAATCAAATGCTTCATACCTCAAGTTGTCCTTGACCTCTGCAATAAGCCATCCAGCTGAAATGACCACAAACCCACAACTGTGCTATGAGGTTATTAGCTGCTACCAAGTTGCGTATGATCACCATCCTGGTCAAACTCTCTGTATCCTTGGCATTGGCTAGCGCACATGATTTGGGAGCGGGAAATGGGAAAGGCTCACACAAGACCAAGAAAAGAGGCTTGCTACTGCTATGCCGCTGCGTGCTGATTGCGGAACCTGAATCTGGCAGCCATGGGTCGATCACGCGTCACTCTGCCCCAAAAGGCTGTGAAGACTACTGAGGAACCGAGCCTTGGCTCCCAGGCTTCTTGTTGGCTCTGCTTGCTGTATGCATCCGATCTCGAAGGTACATCTGATCTGTGGCCCGTCTGATGTCCATCTTTGCATTTACATAGGCAGAATCGCAGTTGGCAGACCTTTTTTCACAAGCAGCTGAAAGAGACCCTGGAAGAGCGAAAGGAACACCCAACCTTTGCTGTTCGTTCATCCTCAGTCTTGTTCACCGAAATTCCCCTTCACAGTTCATGTCTTAGAACTCCAAGAAAACACCACTAAACGTACTAATTTGTAAGGAATTCATGACGCATGAATATGGTATCTAATTGGGCCTTTGGCGCACTCACTTTGTTCATGCAGTATTTACAACTTGCCTCAGCTTCCTGCCGAGAAGCGTTTCGAACAAGCAGACCCGGATCCGGTCACCTTCCCCCCCCTGCCAGATTTTGTGATGCCAACCCCCCCCCCCCCCCCCCCCCGCCCCATCGGAGGTCTCGTACGAGGGGACTTTCAAGACCCCTATTGGGAATTCCGCTCAAACCTTTTGGGACCCCCCCTGGGCCCCCCCTGGCACCCCGGCCTTTCCTGAAACCCCCCCAAGACTCTTCTGCGACCTGTTTCTGCCCTCCCCCTTTTTTGAGGCCAGAAACCCTCTCCTCCTTTCCTGTCCTGGGCCTGCCCGACTGTCGAGGCAGCGCGCGCAAGCGTTTACAATTACGTAGAGAACGTAGCGAGCGTATTAACTTATTTTGTAAGGAACGCACGAAATCAAGTTAATGCGTGAATGAAGAGAACGAAGAAAGGCCAGAAGGCCATCGCTGTTGTCTCACCGCAAAAGATCCCTGGAATTAGAATCGTCAACTGGACCCCCGATCGGCGCAGTGAGCTGAGCCACGTGAGGCCTGCAAAGTGCGCGGCGCTCTCGTCCACAGCACAAGCACCGGTGATGAGCAAGTAGACCTGGCCCATGACAGCATTTACACAGGGTGATTTTGAGGGCACAGTCCCACCTGAGGACCAAGTGCGAACGCCTCCATCCACGTCGAGAACATCCAGCCTCAATTCCGAAAGCAAGTGGCGTTGTTTACAGCTAAGAAAGACGAAGGAAGGCTGCATCAAACAGTGCACACATCTTGCGCACTGTGTAGCTCAAATCTGCCCAGTAGTCGTCATGGCCAGTGCTCTTCGTAAAATACCTTTGGCAATGCTGGGCAAGCAGAGCAGATGCGACCAGCGATCAAATCCAAATGTCTCATGCTCTGCACACGACTTCGCAGCAAGTGAGCTAGTTCGTTCAGTTCGTTTTCCAAGTGTGAGATGGAGAGAACTGCATGTCGGCACATCGATCGCATCTGAGGCGCGCTAATACGGCTGATAGCACGCCTGAGCTTGCAATAAACACAAGTGTACAACGTGTGCAGTCTTCACCTTTCCTTGCTGACCTGATCCGGGGTTTTCTGCTTTCTGATTTCCACGTTGCGAGGTCCCAGTGCCGTTCTCGGAATCTCAGGGGTTTTTGAGGTGTCGAGAAGCTCAAGCTGTTAGCGCATGCGAGCAGGGCCTGCAGTGGATCTCCTGACACATTTCTCCTGCTTGTCTCCCCATGGCCAGGCTGTGTAAGGCATGGTTGGACCGAGTCCCTCAACTCAGATGTTTCATGATGTTTCCAGCCAGCCTGTGACGATTGATGCTTCTCTCATCTGCAGTGACCTCATGATTGATGACGACTCAATTTCGAGAACCAAGGTGTCGTGGCTCCTTGGCGGTGCAGGCCTGGATTTCCAGTTGTCTCCAAACCCCCCCCCCCCCCCCCCCCCCCCCCCCCCCCCCCCCCCCCCCCCCCCCTCCCAGAAATCTCGAGGCACTTCACGCATCCAAATTTATTTCTGTTCCTCTTTATACTCAAATTTGGGCAGTGCATAACTTTCTTCGCTGTGTACAGATGGTGCCTCTTGGGCTTCCTTGCCACCTGCCTGGCCTAGCTCACCTCGTCGCACTGCAGGGGGCATGCGGATTTCTGGTACACAGGACATCTCAAACCCGCCACCTTCAACAGCTGCGACTGCGACATCTCTTATGGATCACACTGTCACATTGCAACAAGAATTCACTCCTGCAAGACATCAAAGCATGACAGCAGCTCAAACAAAGTGTGAACTACGACCACCAACAACCTGCGAGCCAAGAACAAGAACAACATTAAGGAGCTTGTCATTAGTCGCCCCCAAAGCTGGACTGGTACGTACGGAACTTCGCTATTCGAATCTATTCGAGGCTCCAATAGCACAAATTTGCAGCCCAATTGGACTTTCACAAGGTCCACAAAGCAAACACCTTTCGCCACAAGGAGTCAGACAGCAAGAGCAGGCGAGCCTCCTCAACACAACAATAAGACCGGTGCCCAACGGCACCAAACAAGTACCGTCATCTTTATAATAAAGATGCCAAGTGGAGACAAATTGAATGCTGACTGTGTGTTGCTTTCACTACGGTCCCCCCTAGATGTCCACATGGAACAATGGGGGGAGTGGGGAGTGCAATGGGCTGCCAGGGAAAGAGCAGTGTTCAGAGGGGCGCAGTTCAAACTGCAATTGTTGCCAAGCCCTGGTGCTGAGGTTGTCGAATATGAATTCTTAAGCAAGGCCTGACATGAATGCATAATTCGTCCAGGCTTCTCATGCCAATAAGCTGGCTCCATCGCTCAATGCCTTGGCCAACATCCTGCGAGTTGCGGACGGCTGACAGGCGCATCACCTGCAGGGCCACCCCAGTCTGCCATTCATTTACAGGCAAGCACGACATGATCGGGAGATGTTTGGCCTGGAAGACGACGACAAGCACGCCGAGTAGCTCCAAACCCTGGTACAAGAAGACGTCCCCTGTATTGTCCTGCCCGCAGACGTTCGAGACAACATGCAAGGAACAATGTTGCAGACCACGCAGGCTTTCCTCTGGGATGTAGCCCTCGCCCCACACAGTCGTGGATATACGTGTAACGTGGGCAATGATAAACGCCTCATGACAGGAAACCCGTTCTGTTCCTGAGGCTGACAGTGCATACAAGATCGTGTTTGGTCTCGGGCCCAGAGCGTCTTCTCACTGAGGCCCTACAGGTTTGGCTCGATGGTGTTCAGAAAGCATGGCCGACGCAGCAACAAGAACATGCAACAATGCTGGTGTGAGCGCCTCCGCTGCGCTACTGCTGGTGTCGAGAGCAAGCATCGTGAATCCTAGCACTTGTAAACCTGCAGCGAGCGTGAGCCAGTAGTCCTCAGCCGTCGAGGCCAAAAGCACTTCAACACAGACAAGCTTGAACCCTGTGCAGACAGGGATCATAAGCAGCGTTGGCAGGTGCCTCGTGGCTGATGAATGCTCGAACGCATCACACGAGCACTGGTGGAAAGATTCTTCCCCACGCCTCGAGCTTGTAATAGACTAGCCTCAGGACACGAGGCCAAGGATGGAGAAGATGGTACTCATTGGTGGCTGCTATTGCAGGCTCAGCTCACGCAAGAAGTTCTTCAGCATCTTCTGAGACCAGCAGCAAGCAGGCCACGGCAAAGGTGCCATACAGCACCTGCGTCCTCATGCGCTCAGGAAGGACGCCTGCCCAGAATCCATAAAAGTGCAGGTCATGCAGGGTTGTGATTGGAACCTCTGGATTCCAAAACGAGAGCAACATAGAGTAACTGCAAGGCGTCTCATTTTTGCCTAACTGCTCCATTTGCCACAGTAGTCCACGCTTTGCCGACGGACTGGCGACATCTCCTGACGTCTTGACCGGAAAACGTCCTGTCCACGGATGTCGGCAGCAAGCAATGCTGTGAAATGCAGCAGCAGCAGCAGCAAAAACAACAACAGCAGAACGGCGTGCAAAGTATGGCAACAGGCACCTTAGTTTGACAAGCTGACTAAGGATGCTATTGGGGAGACTCACCGGAGCTAATCGTTAATCGAGAGTGAGTGAAACGAGCTGGTGGGATCGCACGCGCCACCTTTGGCAAAATAATGCAAAATACGTCTCAGCAGTCCTCCCCCAGAGCAGCCTGGGCACAGAAAGGCTGCGGCAGCGAAGACTGAGTTAGAAAACGACCCAGAACGAGTCAAAGAAAAATCCACCGGGAGCCTGTCCCAGGTCATGTAATTCCATGTCAATGCACCTACCCGCCCGTTGTCCCACACCTTCAAAAGACAATTTCAGCACCAGCATGCATGCCCTCACGGTCACAGCTGCCTCCCCACCCGCCAGAAACTCATTGAGCCGTCCGGTCCCATCTAGGCGCCTACATTCTCAACTACGAAGCCACTCCGCCTCACCCATTAAGTCCACTCAGAGACCTTCGGTCCCATCCCAAGAAAGGTCCTTTGCATCGGGATTTAGCCGCCCGAGAATGAGCCGTTCTGGGTGCTACATGCTCCTTCGAGCCCATGCGCCTAAAACAAAGAGATCATTCAATCCCATTTCGGCAAGCGTCACCTACCCTAACCGACCAATCCCATCCCGCATAAAGCCTAGAGTGCACAGGACACACAACTTGCAACATATGTTCAGGCCTGCGCACGTTTTCTTCTCGGGGATACTTTTTGTTTTCGACTTGGGTTCAAGGTGTTTCTGGCTCAGGGCTTGTCGTTGTTTCGACTCATGCAAGGTGGCTCATAGATGCTTTTCCTGACTCGAGCGTCACTGTAGAAAGGCGGGCTATCAGCGTCAACCATGGCACCATGGATTGGACGGAGTGGATTGTGGGGGAGAGCTAATGTTGAGCGCCGCACTGCCTCATTCAGGTGATGGGGCCTGCTCGGCGGAGTTGCCGCGGCTTGGGAAGCGAGCCTGCAGCAGTAGGCGCATGTCGTTCTCGCGATTGAAGCAAACATTGCCACCACAACAAACCTAGTAGATTCCGCATGTCTGGCCTTCAACTGGCTCTGACTCTGGTCAGACGGTTTCCTTCGAGGACTACCTGCATCATCTTTGGCGTAGGCAGTCATGTGCTTTGTCCAGTCCTTACATCTCGAACGCGCAGCATCTGGAACTTTAAGAAGCTTGCACAGCTTGCACGTGCCACGGGTGCAACGTAGTGAGCATGATCTGAGGAGGCTTCCACATCCTTCTCGTAGTAGAGATCGCCCAGCCGCGGGCCAAACGTTCCCACCTCCAGCTTAATAGCAACCGACTGCCCAGCTCACGCTGTTGGCGCTGGAAAACTTCGCAAAACTCCGCGTAGAAATCGACATGATATATGACGCTATCTCAGCCGTGCCACGAGTTTGTGAACGTGTCGCTGCAGCTGCGCCTCGGCAGACCACGCAAGAAATCCTGGTGTGACCCTACCAACCGTGCGCTTTCCGATTTATGGATGGCCACTGTCAGCCAGGATTCAAACCAAAACAAGCATAAAAACTCCAGGGCGGCCCAGAAAGGCCCGTGAGAGCTTTCTTCAGCAAGCCACTCGCCGCGCAGGCAGCAAGTCCTGCTCCTTGCGGTCCTCTGGCAGCACGAGGCGCCTTGTCTGCAACACAGCAAACAGTTGCTATAAAAACCTTAGTAATTAGAATTGTAGTATAATTATAAAGAATATTATTAGTAACTATTCCGACCCCTATATTGCAGCGTAGCAAACTGTCGCTAAATCTTGGTGGGCGTGAAAAAAGCTTGCCTGAACAGCGGCACGATGTCCACATAGGCTCGTACCCCCTGTTCACTGGCCTGCGCCATGCAAACGTGGCTGACATACTGAAGAGCACAACACCATCAAGCCTTTCTAGCTGATCCTCCATACCCTCCTCCCCCCCTGCCCCCCGGGCCACATACGTGCCTTCATGCCCCAGAATGCGAACAAGGGAAGGCTTAACCTCAGCTCCCCTTGCCATCTTCTCTGTTTGGATGGTTGGGAGCATTTCATGCACGAGCAGAAAGCTCCATGTGCTTTGCAGACTGCCGAGGTGCAGGATTAGGATTCTGGAAGTGAGGCACCAGTCTGTAAAGCACCAAAGCAGCATACCATAAATGACCTTGGGTTCGGCGTTTGCACCTTGGTGCCTGTGCATCGGTGAAGTACATGTGTTCAGCCCAGTCACATACAGCACCGGAATGAACGTCAACCTAAGGGGACGAAACATCGCTGATTGAAGACGCCGCGCATCCCCAGATGCTTCCGCTTGCTCACAACTGAGCAGGGGACACATAAATGACCTTGTACGACATAACCTTGGCGAAGCCAATCAACTGAATGGCAAATTGGCACACAAAGCACAGGTGTCGACGAATCATGCGCAAGGGAAATTTAGTCGAGCAGCCACGTCTCTGGCCGCTAGTTTGACGCTGGAGGATTTCAACGATTTCTGCTGCTCGACGCTGGCAAAGCGGGCCGCCAACAGCATGAGGGGCACATTGAACCTCGAATTCTCGGCAACAGCCGGCTGTACCACACAGCTGGTTCCTGACAGGAAGACAACTATGCCGCTGCAGGCGCATCAGTTGCGGTAGAAAACCCATTGCCACGGCAACCTCAACTCTCGCAACCAAGTGCCCGTGCCTGTGCAGCGGTAGAAATTCCGACGGACGCGGCAAAGACACACGTAAATGCTACGAAGCTGCCAGGAGGTACATGAATCGGCCGATGAGATCACCCGCCGTCCACCACACAAGCTGTGGTACCTTCAGTACTCTGGCAGCTACGCCTGCCGGGCCCACCCCGCGTCAACAATGTGCGGCCTGGTGATCCCGGATACCCAGCTTCTTCAGCGAATGCATGTACCTATGGCTCAATCGCGAAACGGCTTCTCGGAGACTTGGTCAAGTTGCAGGGTTTGCAATAAGACGCAGTTAGCAAGTAAGTGTTTGCAAAGCAATCCATTTCCCCTTTTGTGCGTCCCCCCGACCCCCCCCCCCACGCCCTCAGCCCCCGGCCCCCTCGACACGCCCCCCCCCCCCCCCCCCCTCCCCCCCTCCGCGATCCCCCCCTCCGATCCCCCCCTCCCCCCCCGATCCCCCCCTCCGATCCCCCCTCCCCCCCCCCCCCCCCCCCCCCACCCCGATGCTAAGATTCTAACCCCTTTTAGCGTTGAATGTTATGGGGAGGGCAGGGGAGACCCTTGTAATATGTTGTGTTGTAGCAAAGGCAAGACATTGTGCATCACGTGTTCAAGCCAAGACACTCCGCCAGTTCCTTTCGGAGCTCCTGAACTTCCGAGCAACCTAGTCCCCGCGGCACTGAGAACCCTGATGGCACCATGTACTCCAAGTCCTGAAAAGCTTGAAGCTCTGGCTTCGATAAGGGCCTCAGGTCTACAAGAGGTGGAGTTGCACCATGCTGTGCCGGTGCCACAGACGCCTCAGCTGAGGTCCCAAGCCCGGAGCACCTAGCCCACACCTCTCAGGCACGAGCTCTTGGTTTTCTGCCGGCAGGTCCTGCGGCGAAACCAAAGCGAGCCTCAGAAGCAAGCGCCCCTTAGGCCTTGGGAAATATCCTTGAATTGGGTTGCTAAATTCTGACAGAACTGGGCGAATAACTACCATGAACCTTCAAGGAGGTTTCTCACGGCTTTTCCAAAGCTGGCTGAAGTGCAGCTACATATGGCTGCATGCAGATGCTGGTTAGGCTGGTTGTGGCCGGGGCACTCGGTGCTCGATAAACCATCTTCCCCAGACGCACGGTCGGCCAGTCGAAGGATCCGGTTGACCCCAACCTTAGATGTGCAATGAGAGGCTCCTCCAAGTTCATTCAGTTGATGTTTGGGCCCTCCACGGCAAAGCGGCGATTCAAATCCATGGCCTGCTGCGCAAGCATACACGCAAGCAAACAAGCAGGCTTGCACACAACTCGATTTCAAAAGAATACAAACCACCCGCCTTTGAAGGACTCAATTTGAGGCCCTCTTTGACCCAGAGGCGTCGGACCTCAACACGTTTGCGCTGCTCTTGGTAACTGTGCATTTCGGGCAGATTCTAGATCCTCACGAGTGATGACTCCGCACTAGTGCACATCAGCTGCTAAGGTGAGCTCAGTTTTATGATGAGGCCTCTCGGCCCCCTTTGGGCCCTTAAGAGGAGGCTCCTTGGGAGCTTGGGCCTTTTTTGGGATTTAGATGTTGTAGATTCAATGTTCTACGGCTTCGAAGTCTTCTGACATCTTCAATTTCCAGTGAGCAACTCCCTGGACTTCGTTTCATGTCTCCCTTTCCTGCAACCATGGAGTAGCACCTGCAGGAACGATACTGGCACACCTTTTTGTCATTAACATCATCAGCGGCAGGCCCGTCCCGATCACACTAAGAATACACTGAGAACACGCCCGACTGCCACTTAAGGCTTTCCCAGCCTCGAGCTGCCAAGCACGGAAACGACTGAAACGACTGGCAGCAACCATGCTAAGCATTGGAAAGCCGACGTGCTCACACTCATAAGGCTTCGTCTGTGGATCAGGATTGCACCTTCTCCATGTTCTGATTCTCTAGGCTCTATAGACGCTCGAACTGGCCACACTGACTCCGCACGTGTCCTTCTTGCCCATCCTGAACCCCAGCCCCCGCACTCAAGGAACACCATGCTCCCCGATTTCAGGGCATGATGCCGGCTGATGAATGCACCGGAGGAAGGCTTTCCATGCATGAGCCACGAAAACTCTGTAGCAGATGATTCATTGTGATACATGAGTGATACATGTACAAAGCCGTTTCGGGGATGCTGGGACCCGCTTGCTCGAAATGTGAAACACTGCCAAGACATGCCCTTCTTGAAGCGCTTGGTGCACTCAGCACGCAACTCCAGCGCATGCTCTGGGCTTTTTGCATGGATGTGAGGGATGTGATCTGCAAAACGCTTCTCTATCTGCAAGAATGATCGGTGTCATAGGTGCCAGCTGGCGCTAGACACGGCGACCCCAGGCAGAAGCCCCGGGGGGCAAGCAAGAGAGAAACCTGGAGCGATCCGCCGAACGGGCCCATCCATCGATCGGGAAGACCACGTCCTTTGTCATGTCCAATGATGATTTAGTTATGTGTATCTCTTGACACTAAACACCAATATAAATAATATAAATAATATAAATAATATAAATAATATAAATAATATAAATAATATAAATATTATAAATAATATAAATAATATAAATAATATAAATAATATAAATAATATAAATAATATAAATAATATAATAATATAAATAATATAAATAATATAAACAATATAACTAAAATAAATAATATACAATAATATAAACAATTTAAACAAAAAAATAATATAGATAATATTAGATATAAATCATATAAATAATATAAAATAATATAAATAATATAAATAAATTATAAAAATATAAATAATATAAAAATATATAAATAATATAAATAATATAAATATTATAGAAATATATATTTAATATAAAGATATAAATATAAATAATATAAACAATATAACTAAAATAAATAATATACAATAATATAAACAATTTAAACAAAAAAATATAGATAATATAAGTATTATAAAATCATATAAATCATATAAATCATATAAATAATATATAATAATATAAATAATATAAATAATATAAATAATATAAATAGTATAAATAATATAAATAGTATAAATAATATAAATAGTATAAATAATATAAATAGTATAAATAATATAAATAATATAAATAATATAAATAATATAAATAGTATAAATAATATAAAAAGTATAAATAATATAAATAGTATAAATAATATAAATAATATAAATAATATAAATAATATAAAACTGACTAACGAGAGCACCAGTCCTGTAGACGCGGCATCCGCGAGATGGCCGTCTGCACATCCACGTCCTGGCACTGCTTAAAGATGCAAGCGCTGCCTGAGCGCACACACACACACACACATAACATACCTACACATATATATATATAGAAATAATAATACACATATCATATGCCTACACATATATATATATACATATATATATATACGTATGTATGTACAAGACTCGCAAGCTTTTTCTACACAGTTCTGCCCTTCCATGACCTATCTCCAGTACTTTCCACTGAACCATCAGGTTTTTCCACTTGTTGCTACTTTTTCTCGCAGCTCGGCAAATTTGCAATCCCCGTGCAGGACTGTCCTGCAGTGCCTCCACGGGAGCTTTTCCAAGGTCCTCGACAGCTTGTACGGGAAGATTGTGCTCGGCTGCGGAGGCCGTCATCTACTGTTAGGACCTACATGGCTTATTACAGATAAGTAGATTCTATCTGCACCTTGGTGCTCAATCCAAGGAGCCATGTAGGAAAAGAGGCCCTGGTGATTCGGGCTCGACATGAAGCGGCACAGGCGCTGCGCAAGCGCCAATGGCCGCGAGCCACTGCGGCTTGCATCCCACCTAAGACTGCATGGGCGGGCAGGCAAATCAAGAGCACGACGAAAGGAACGCGGAGAACAGAAAGCAGGGGACAGGACGCCAGTTTTTTTAATTGCAAGTAAACGCGTTTTACAATTATGCGCCCCCTCCCCCAGTTTACATTTTTGAGGGGGTGGGAGTCAGGGGAGATGAGAGGCGCACAAAGCCAGGCTGCTGAAACCAGTAGTCGTTGTAGACAAAGTTCTTGAAAGTTCGTGTGACATGTGCGTCCACAGTCACGCGCACCACTCTTGCAGCTGCCCGAAGTGCACACCACCCGGGCAGGGCTGAGTGATTCAGCGTGGCTCGTATTACCGCATCAGGGCGCCCCGTCTGCGAGGATGGAAGCAAAGGGCTCTGGATGGCCTTGCGCTGGTCGGCTGCAGACCACCTCACCTGGTACTCCCCGTACGCGGCGTAATCATCGTCAGGATCCGCGGGTGCCGCAGATCCACGTCGTTGAGCAGAAGGGTCGGGCTGCGCCTCAAACCCAGACCCACATTGCGCCCAACACATCTAACACATCCTAACATCACCCAAAACCCCAAAATCTTGTCGGAAGAAGCTCTTAAAGAAAGCGACTTCCGATTCCAGTATTCCCAGCCGGAAAGCTTGATTGCGCTTCTTTCTCCTGGCAGCACGCGCGTTGCTGTCCTCCGGCGTCTCTTCGCCGCCGGCTATCGGGGTTGCATCACCTGCTACATCGACAGTCTCCCTCGGCGCGCGGAGCTTCGCCTTTCGAGCTGAGGAGGAGGTGGCCCCCATCGGTAGCGATAATGGCGCTTGGCCTTCAGGATGTCCTTCACATGTACAAAATTCATTTAACACCCCCAGAAGTGAGGTTTTAGCAGCGACACAACTCAACAGCCGCTGCGCCTTTCAGTCGCAGCGATAAGTCTCCTGAGCTCAAACTTCTATGCACTGAGGGCAGTTGATGGCAGTTGAACTTTGCGGGCTCCTTTCATAAAGGCACTGTCCTCTGCTCTGCTCTGCAATGTCATACAAGTCTCCCACCAGCAGCGATCGTGTGGCCGATCGCTGCTCAGTGTCCAGGTATTTCAGCTTCGTGACGGACGTGTGCAAGCCGCTCCTCAACAGGATACGGCAACAGGAGCAGGGCCCTTTTCAACTGTTGTTGTCCGCGAGCTTGGGGCGGAACCCATCGTTCGTTCTTCTGCGGGCAGTGCTCAACACAAAATCCTAAAATGAGTATGGCTTGTACAATATGGTACACGAAATTGGGTTGGAGTAGCGCTTCCAGCGCTGAGGAAACTTCCAGCTACTCTTATAACCAGATGCGAGTCATAGTGCCCCCTCTCTCTCTTTCTTTCTTTCTTGGGGGCTTAGGGGATGACCCCCCGCGCGCAGGCGCGCCCCGGTCCCGCGTCTCTCTCTCTCTCTCTCTCTTTCTCTCCCATCGCTGACTTGCACATGTGGGTGAAAATGGCGAAAAGCCGAGCAATGTGTCCAAGGGTCGTTTCGAGGCCAAGCCTGGAGAGCCGGCAATCTGCTACATGGAAGGAGGTCCCTGCCTATAGGGCCTTCTGCAAGTGTAAAACCTTTCAACTATCCAGCGAAGAAGCCCTTCTGAACACCTAAACGGACCTACACTCAGGTCGGAAGGAGACTTGGCCCTGGTACAATCGAGGGCCATGCCGTGATTGTGGGATCCAAGGCGCAGATCCCGAAGCTCCATCGCACTCTGGGCTTCTTGGATCCAGTCTTCGCACTCCTCAGGAACAAGAATGCCACTGACAGCAAAGGAGTGTTTGAGCTTGTTTGGGATACTGCATAGCAGGGTTCCGATATACTGCACTTGCGTGCACATGTAGAGGACATCTCATGCGGAAGCGTGCCGATAGAGTTGAGTTCAGACGGCTCAGACGCGAGTAGACGCTTGGACCCGGTGCACACAGATTCTCATACAGGCCATGGAACCCCCTTTCTGTGGCGATTCCGGAGCTCGGCAGCCATGACCTTCAAGACCGTGAACTCCTCCTGCCCAAACAATCAAGTACAAGGCCACATCCTTGAAGCTTGAAGCATGCTGTTCTTGTCGCTGAAGCATCTCCATTTGCTAAGGAATTTTCGCCCGGCCTGCTGACGGACAACGCGCTCCTTCTCAGTCCATGCAGCAACCTTGCATCTGTTGGATGGAGCTTCTTGGGAATGCGCACAGGCTTCAGATGCCGCCAAGGACTTATGCACGCAGCTCTCCAAGGCAGAGACCTCGCGCTTCATGTTGCGGAGCCTGGGTTAGTATGATATTGCTGCGCAGTGCCGCGACAGGCCTAGCTCCTTAACCGATACTCTACTTGCAGCGTACAAAACAAACATGCGCAAGAAACATACTATGCGTGTATGTGTAGATACCGGTACCGATCATTGGTAAGGCATACAGTCAACAATGCAGGTGAGCTGCTTTGCCGCAACTGCTGAACTTTTGGCTCCCCCCTGGCTTTGCGCAGCTTCCATTGCGTAGAGATCATCGTATCCTGACTTCCACGCTTGCAGCTCAAGTTCTGGCAGAGGGTCCACTTTGATTTTGACAGGACCCGCCACGAGCTTTGTCACAAGCTTTGCTGTCCAAGGTGCGGCGCTTGATCATTAATGCCAAAGACAAGTCCGATGTTGCTGGGGTTATTGTCTGGCACTTGCCACTGCCCCACTCACCTCAGCACTGCTTTAGCTCATTGTCGGATGCGTCAAACTGCTGCAGTGCACCAAGCAGATCACATGATCACAGCCGAAGGCACATATGAAGTTGAGGTACATGGTAGGGCTAGTCCTGTAACCTGCGCTGGGACCAAGTAGATTCAGGTCTAGGCAAGGTTCATGGCTGGCTCCTGCTTAGCAGGAGCTTCTGCGTGCACAGCATTCCGAGGCATGTGCCTAAAGCCAGCTCATCTTGGGTCAAGGGGATATGTGGACTTTCACCTGACAGTAGGAATTGCTCCCAGCCGCTGGCAGTTGCTTCTTCCGTGCGCTCGTGACACCAAAAGTACCACCCCCGTTCCAGCCGAGATGCCCTGATTTATCCTGTCAAGTGCTCTGGCCTCCAAAGACAAGATGAGCTCGAGAATGCTACCACGGCGGGCCCATCTTACATACCTTTACAATGCCCTTCAGTCCTTGATTTGGGTCAGGGTTATGTGCCAATCAATAGCTTCTGCCAAGGAGAAAGTGGTCTGCGTCCGCACACCTTGGGGAAACTCCTTCTGCAGATCCGTGCAAGGGTGCGGGTGCGCAGCATCTATCGTGTCGGAATACCCTTTCAGGCCTTGATTCTGCCAAGACACTTAAGCCCTGCCAGGAAATTTCCACAGCATATCGGCCCTTCATGTCCTCAGCTGGCGCTTGGAATCAAGCTTTTCCACCCGCTGCCAACAGCTCCAGCGATGGTTCAAAGTGCAGTCCAGCCGCTGCAAAGACGCCTAAGCTGCGATTGTGTGTAATCGGTGCGACATGCAAAGGACACGAACTCGACACACAACCGCGCTGCTTGCAAACACAAAAAGACCTTCCGAAAGCAAACCGACAGACTCCGACAGACACACACACACACACACACACACCCCTTCTTTGGAACACGTCTTAAGTTGCGCATCCATGCAGGCACAGACATTTTCAACAAAGAATACACCGTTGAAAGTACAAAGAAGATACAGCGGAGGTCACTTGAGCTTCCCTACCATTTCTGTCCCCAATCCTGAATTCAAGAGGCCAGCCAGGGAAAGAGGCTTGGACTTTCCACCATCCTGCCTGCCAGGCAAAGCTTGATTCTGCGCAGGTAATCCTGAGCCTGTCTTGTGAAAAGCACAGCCGCCTGAGCTGGGAGAACCCCATGTTCAACGGCCCGCTCTTCACCTGAGCTTCTGCCAACATGTATCCCAGCACAGTGCCCCAATGCTAGTTCCGCACGGTCGCGTGAGCACCTTGAAGAAACTCCATCGCTTCCTCAAGAACCTGCATCAGAATGAGGCTATCTCTCCCACTGACTCCAACTGCTAAGACTCCACTTTCGCGCCTTTGTTTGGAGCTCTTTGAGAATGCGCTTCTGCTCCGCCGGACTCGCAGAGGAGAGCCGGATGAGAGCTTCCCGTACCGCTCCTGAAGCGGAAACGATCATTTCTTGACCAAAGCTTTGTTAAACAGCTCCGCTTAAGCTGACAATGCTGACACAATGTTTTTGGGGAAAAGAAAAGCCACGTGCTGGTCGGGCTCTGCGAGCGGAAAGCTCATCGTTGCCGACGTCCGTGGAGCACTCCACGTCGACAGAGTCGACATCCATGCCTGCAACAGAATCTTAAATATCTGAAAAGGTGCCGGGCTTGACGGATAGATGACAGAAGTCGGAGTCAAGCAGCTCCATCAGTTTCAATCTGAGTCATGCAAGGCGTGGAGGGCTCACGCCGTCACGCCTCCGTCTGTGTTACCAGATGCAAGCAGGGACCTGTCGCAAGGCAGGCATAATTCTGGATGCGTTCACGACTCACCACAATCCCTCACATCAGCATGGCGACAGGAGGCCAAGCAATTCCTGCACAGTAGGGTCGAAACAGTCGCAAGCCAACGCAGATCAAGCCTGTCGTATTCATCACGGCGTTGACTGTCCGTCAGCACTTCAAAGGCAGTGACTACGGCTTGAAAATCCTCCGGCCGACCACCTGGCCGCAAGTTTAGCAAGGGCGGTGACTCAGCACTGATTGGGTGCAGCATGGCAGCAACCACGTGAATACGGCTGCTACTAGCGCTGCTACTCGTTAGGCCCGCCGGCACAGCTGCGGCACGTCAGCTGAGCGAAGAAGTGGCACTCAAAATGTCACAGCCATTTTCGGGCCTTTGTCGGGATGCGTGACCAAAGCTCGCTTCCGGAAGCTTTTCCTCACAACCACTGGTGAGGTCAAACTGTTGCATTGTACTGAGAAGATTAAACATAGATGCATTGTCGGGGCTGCTCAGGTACTGCCAATGAAACATTTGACTTTTGCTGCACCCGTTTCCCAAGCTGAACCCCAATAATCTCTGCTCTGAGGGGTGGTCTGGATGTCTTCCGGAGTTGCTTTTCTGGGGAGCTGCAGGACCTCAGTGCCAAGCTGGTGCCATGGCTGCTGGTCAACTGATTCCATGATATTCCATGCAGCCACGGCCTGGCCGTGGCAGTTGCTACCCAGTCACGTCGTAGTGGCCCCGTGGCGCGTTCTTCCCACTTGCTGGTCGGCTGCTTCGGCCTTGCACACGGAACAGCCACGTCATGCCATGTCCTTCAGATGGGACCGAGAACAGGAACTGTCACGTTCGGCTTGCCTAGTGCTGGAGTCACCATCGGCCGCTGCTTTGCTGAGAGGCGCCGCTTTAGCAAGCCGCCGCTCTGCCAAAGGCCTGGTTCGGAGAAGAATCCTTCTCAGAGTCCTTCAGAATCCACTACAGGCCCCGTTCTGCAACGACTATATCTCTCGCAGATCTGTCTCACAGACATCTCTCGGGCCCCTGCGCTCGGCATCAGCCGCAGCATTCCACGCAGCAAGGGCTGCAAGCCGCGAGGTCTTGTCGCCCGCGTCGTCCTGCAGCACCCCTGAGCAACACCCCCCCTCCTCTCACACTAGAAGCTATCCCAAACTACAAGCCGGACTTCCAGAAATCAGATTTTGAGAATTAGACCCCCTGCCTAGAAGTCAAGCATAGTCAATCACTGTCAACCATTGTTTACCTGTCGTCTCCTGGCTTGCACGGGCTGGCGTGTTGGATCGTGAGGCCGTGCTGGGTCTGCTGGGTCCTGTCTATTAGAATGCCGCGGACGAACGACAAGACAATTCCATGACTTTTCATGAAAACACAAACGAAAACTCCCAGCAGGACCTTGGCATCTCAATCTTGCAGTCCTTGCGCACGTCCCCGTCCATGTCCGCGTGCTCCGCCTGTTCCGCGCCCGTTTCGGCCGCCATCCCCAGCTCGTCCGGCGGCTTTGGAGCCTCGGCCTGTGGCCTGAGCCCCACGGCCTCCTCGGCCCTGGCCTCCACGGGCCTGGCCGCCACGGGCCTGGCCTCCACGGGCCTGGCCTCGGCTTCCTCCACGAGCTGCTTTTGTTTGGCCTCCCTTGGCGCTTTGGGCACGTGTTTGCCCTCGCCCTCGGCCACTTCCTCGACCGCGAGCCTTCGAGACATTTCGAGACTGAAAACGTGACTGTCTGGACACCTGCAACTTGCAGTAACTTGCCTGCGCCTTCTGTGTCGAAGTGCGACCAGCTTTTCCCTTAGGCTTGTTGAGTATTAAGGGAAGTGGCAGACATCGGAGAAGTCATGGGAGCTCAGAGCTCACAGCTGGAGGGCCCACCTGTGGCATGGCAGTGATGTCAGCGCTGCTGAGGGGGATCTGAATCGAACGGCCTATCAGGCCAAGCACTATAAGCAGCTGTAGCACGGACGCATAAAGAACCTCGCAAGGAAGACCATCATTGAATCATTGTGTAGCTTTGTTATCGCCTGCGCCTCTGCTCGCTGCGGGCGGACAGTCTGCAACAGATTCCTACACCCAGGCCACCGTGTCCATAAGCCATCGTCGATTCTTGTGAGCCACAGCGCGGCGGGCCGGCGGGCAGTGTGTTCGCAGACATCAAATTGCGACGTGCACAGCGACAAGTCTTCCATGTGACTACGATCTGGGGGCATGGACCATAAAAATCTGCTGGAGCGTCTTGTAATCCTCCGTTGGCACTATTACCTGGGTCGGGTGCTTCCCTAAAACCGGCATTGGGGCACATTAGGGCCATCGACGTCTGTTGTGAGATCTGAGAGGCGCCACACTGCGCATGGCTGCTGCCACCTGGTCCAAGACCTCTTCCGTAGCCTCGCGGCGGTTGGTCTCGTACGTGTCGTGCACCTCCTTGCCCATGGGAGAAGTTCTGTCAAGTCCCGTGAAAACACTCGCACACTACACGTGCAGCAAACTTTCAACAGACTTCCACGGACTAGGCCGCTAAGCCATCGACAGCGTGAGCGTCTGCATTAACTGATATAGTGATTAGTGTAGACTCAAATCCAAAGATTGACTGGGCATCAGAAACGGTAGGCCCAGTGCGCAAGTCCAGAAGGTGTCCCGTTAAGGATCGGCCCTTCGTGTAAAAGCGGCAAGAATGACAAGGTTCGGGTCCTCTGAGATCCTCACATTGAAGCTTTGAGGTGATCATATCCCAAAGTCTTGCAAGCGGCACAAGGGCTTCATGCAGCTTCGCAGCATGAGAGGTGCTCCGAACTCCATTACCTGGGCGGGACAAGATTCTCTTCGGGACTTTTCTGTAAGTTTGCAGATCACATTCAGCTATATTGAATTCTGCCGACGCGGAGCTACTCTGCCACCAAACCTCGGATCAGTACAGGCAAATTTGCGGCAAACATGTACTCAAAAGGTCGTGCATGCTGCATGAAGCCTGAAGTCATGTCAAAAGGCTGGTGTCCTCGAAAGTAGTTCAATCCCACCGGCACAATGGGAACATTGATGTGGTGAAGTCCTGGCAGTTGCGATAGGGCTTTCGCAGGGCGAATTGGCGTATCAGAACGCAGGCCCCAAAACATAAACACACACACACACACAGAGACACACACACACACACACAGAGACACGCACGCACAGAGAGAGAGAGAGAGAGAGATATATATATATATATATAGATATATATATATATATATATCAGCCGAAGCTGGTTGGGAAGATCTGGCTGTCGGGCTACCACCCCTGTTGCAGACAGCTCCCCACCACCCCCCCGCTTGTTCCTCTGTTTGTTACAAACAGAAGTAAACGGGCACTGCCGCTTGAATTCAAGACGAAAGTGTCTGGATGCCAGTTTGAGGCCACGCCACTCTCTTGTTGGATTCACATCTAGCACCTCCTGATGGGTGAGCAGATGAACATTAAATTCTAGGACCATTGCATCTGAAGGTCTTGGAGGCTCCGGTCTCATGCATGGCAGAAATACTACTGGTATGGGAAAAGCGCACGCCACGCACGTCTCGCAGAAAATTGGTCGAACCGAACTTTCAAGAAAGTGGCAAGAACGCCTTCTTGCCACATCAGTGCCACTACAAGAGCCTGGTCGTCAGGCTGTCACTCCTGTTGCAGCCAGTCCCCCTGCTTGCTCCTCTCTCTTCTTGGAGAAACAGAAGATCCACCCGCACACGCACAGGCACACGGACACGCAAACACGCAACCACGCAAACACGCAACCACGCACTGGGTTTCACAAAGCTGCCCCCTAAGGTCAGGACGCAGTGCTTCCAAAGCTATGACCGCCACTCCAGCTTTGAGAGGCAGCAGGTCTGTACGATCATGGCTCCCACCTGTCCAGCCATCATCGTGGGCGGCATTGCAATCCACCTATCCGTGCCTTCTGGGAATATGCCCAAGCATTTGCCCGAGCATAAGTTTTTGTACCTAGGGATAGCTTCTGTAGCGCATTATACAATCGAAGACATGCAATAGCAAGATGCCATGGTACACTTGTCCGTACATGCCGGACTGGTCGACCTGTGCAGAGTGCCATGTCTCCATTCTGACAGTCTAACAAAGTCTCACAGAGTCGAACACTTCTACTGGCCTGCCAGACACCCAGATACACTCTGTGCCTTGGGATGCACCTTGAAGCTTGCTGTTGTGGAGCTGGTGGCCGGCACGTCGAGTGTCAGCTCGGTGGAGCTCTGCACCTTCCGAAGCCCCAGAACTCTCAGAACTCCCAAAACCATGGATGCACGTCATCTGTCTGCAGATGCCTCCTTCACCTTGAGCAACTTCTCGAGACCCTGAACTTGAAGCTGGCTTCCTTGAGACACCTCGCAACCAACAAAGACAGATGTGCTGCAGGAACGAGAGGGCCCTGCCGATGGCAACGGTGCGCCTCTACCGTGAAGTTGGTATCGGTCCCAAGCCTTAGTAACTTAGGCTGGCAGCACGAGCTGCATCGGCCGCGCAAGTGCAGCCCAGAAGCACTGTGGCGGAACCTTCCTGAAGGCTGACGGCCCCTTTCCCTGCAAAAGCCATGTCCTGGCACCGGTACAAGACTAGCGATGGAGCAAAAAAAACGGCTGACAGCCCTGGGGCACCTGTGGACGAGCAACGGGAATGCAGTGAAAAGCACGCCTGAGTGAACTTCGGCCATGTGTTCAAATTGGTCTTCAAAGCACGGTTCATGATGCAAAGCTTTTGACTCCAAGCTGCGCCAGAAATCCAACAAACGGTCGGTCGTAAGATTTCCTTGAGAAGAAAACAGCAGAGCATGGTGAAAGAAAGTAGAAATTGGGATTCTGAGAATGGACTCAGGGCACTTTGCCGAAAGTTGTGTCCAAAGATCGCCAGCCGGCTAAGCTATTGCTTGCCAAGCATCTGCGCAATCATGAAAGAAATCTCACGCGGGCAGTTCGTCAACAACATCAGGCCATCAACAAACCTGATACAGTGGCGAAACTATCGCAAGACATCGCAAGCCTGGCACCAAGTGCGTTTCCAGAATCAAGCGGCTGGTTGTTGTGATTTCCGGTGATGATAACAGGACCTTCCTCACAGGTTGCATGCAATGGACAGCTTCTCAGAATTCTCAGCACCTCAAGAGCAGCTTCTCTCCTTGGGGAGGTTCTCCATGCCCACAATCTCTACAGAGCGAAAGAAGATGTTGTTGAATGTGCATCTGAAGAATGTCCTGCTGTGCATGAAGCCTTCCCAACATGCCGCGAAAACGTGCAGCATGTTTTAGCATGTCCTTGCGCAGTTGTACAGAATGTGGTCACGTTGATTGACGCCAAGCGCAAGTAGCAACATGGAGGCCAGCACTCCCAGGTGGACCTGCTGAAGCAGCAGAACATTCTTCCGCAAATTCTAGTGCCCCAGGTCTTCTGGACCCAGCAAGTCTGCCTCCGAGATGCCCATGAACCAGCGGGTGTAGCTGCATAACACCTGCGACTGCTTCCACGCAGCGTGTGGTACGTGGTGCTGTGCCGTCAAGCCTTCACTGGGTTCAGCTCGTCGAAAGACAACAGCACCACTGATGCCTTGCAAGCCACAAAGCTCATGATCGTGTCAGAAAAATCCGTGGGACTCTGCGTGAATTCGAGCTGCGGATCCTAAGCTTGCCCAAAATATCCATGCATAGTGACCGTTCTACATAGCAGCAGCCGAGACAAAGCGAAAGGCACCACAGCCACAGCCATGTGCGGGTTTGTTGCCAGCAGAAGTCCGAGCTCACGAGCAGCAGTCCGCACCGTCCTTGATCGCCCCCAAAACACTAAGCTCACGCCCAAGCTGTTTCTGTCTCTTTCACGAAAGCTCCGCAGGGATAGGACTTTTCTTTCGTAAGCTGAGCTACGGAAGCTCGCCCTGCTGTGCATCACCGTCATCTGTTGGCTGTTGCATCACCTGGGCATCTTCAAGCTGACCGACTGTCATTTGCTGACTCTATACTACTATTGCAAAACCAGCTTGAAACTTCAAGACCCTTTGCTGCTGTGAGGGTTTGCTGCAGCGATTGAAGCCACAAGTGTGCCACATCCCCATTAGGCTACGATCGTGGGCACACTGGGGAGCCCACAGTCCATCTATGCAAACTATGCAGAGCTTGAGTGGAAAATGTCTGCGGTCTGCGCAAGAACCCCTCTTGCCTCATCGTGCCTCATGCCAAACTTACACCAAGAGGCCCGTAGCAAACAGGTGTCCCTTCAACAGGAGTGAAGATGCAGAGCGGCACTTGGCTGGCCTGGACTTACAGGCCCCACTAAGCTTCGTCAGCTTTGTTGGAGCCAAGAATGGCTACGCAGATGGTGCTAGCAGCTAGTGCAGCGAGTTGCAGAAAAAGAAGCCCGCCCCCCACCCAATCATCTACCTCTTGCAGGGTGGGAGGGGCCTCAGCTGCCTGGAGGGAGTGAAGGAAACGCGGTCCCGCACTGTAGTCAGGTTGGTATACTTTCAAGGTTCAAGAGCTCAGCAGAAAGGAGGCCGCAGATCCGAGACTTTTTGCTAACAGTTTTCCTGGAATCTTGAACCTTGAATCTTGGATCTTTGGGCCTCGGATTGAAATTCAATCGTCAGGATTGAACTTCCAACCCTCATGTACCTCATTGTGGTGTACCTTGCTGGATTAGTTTTGTGCCCTCTTCTTTTGTGCCTCTGTATCTTGGAGGTACTAAAGACAAATACTGCTTCTGCCATACTGGTTTGACTTATAGGAGGGATGAGCTTTTAACTTTCTTGGGGGGTGGAGAAAAAATCGTAGCATCGGCTTGAAGTAACCTGGGAAAACTCCAGCCATTCCAGATCGTGTAACGCTAGATCAGACACCCAAATTCTCGCTTGAAAGTTTCGCACACTCTTTTCAAACATCGAACTGAAAATGCCTTTGTCCAGAATCGACTTTTGAACTATTCACGCTTCCAGGTCTGTAAGCTGTTCTGCTATCTTAATATCCGAAACTTTAAGCGTTAAACTTCAAACATTCTGGGCCGAAAAACTGTCAAACTCTGTTGTAGTCATTGTAGTGTTTAGAGCGAAGATTCAATTTCAAGACTCGTGAACTCACGTCATGCACACAAGCGACGATGGTGCGATGGGTGGTTACGACTTCATGGCAGAAAACATGGCAGGCCCTCAGCATGTTTCCCTCACTAAAGGGACCGACGTGCACCATCGTCGCCGCCTTGGCGCAAGAGAAGACAAACTTTGTATTCAGCAAAGCAACGGAAGCATTCCACCACCCTGGGGATCCAGCTGAAAAGACAAACCTGCCAGAGACTGTCACAGAGCTTCAGGGATTCACGGCCAGCGCTGTGGAATTGTCGGGGTCCAGGCTTCCACACTACCCAAGCCCTGAGCCCCGCACTGGGTCGGTATCATGTCTGGCAGTGGCTGCCGCTCTTCATCCGCCTGTCGAATCCTTATCTCAAGCGCTGGGCACTTGTTCTGGGATTCCGCTGGCTGCGATAACCGCCTGGACATGAACCCTGAGGACAAGACTTGGGGCGAGGTCTGAGGGTCCCGAAGATCTCAAAAAGATACACGCCTCAGCAGGTGTTGTTTGTTATGTTTCGCTGAATCCTTCCGAACACATGCGCAGCGACAGCGTCATGAGCAATGAAGAGAGCCGGGACCATGAAACAGCTCTCCTTCTGATCGAGTCCACGACGTGTGAACCCTTGGAAAAGGGCATCGGCCTTGACTTCCAGAGAGCGAGCGAGAGACAGAGAGAGAGAGAGAGACAGACAGACACACAGATAGACAGACGGACAGACAGACAGAGAGCGAGAGATGGAATCAAAAAAGTTGTGAAAGAGTGTGGAAGCTTGTGGAAGACTGTGGAAGAGTGTGGTGAACCACTGCGGGAAGCCTCATCCATGACCACACAAGCCGGGTAGAGGCCGTCCTCCTTGAAATGGGCCAGTTCCTCACCTCAGGCTTCATTGACACACAGACACACACGCACATTTAACAGAAGTCACGCACTGGACTTCGTGGAATCGGGTGGCTGGCAGAACTTGAGCGGTGTTGTGACAACAATGTCCGTCGAGCCCCAACCTCAACAGGAGCATGGCTCCGCTTGTGTTTGCATCTCTTTGCAACACCCGACATTTAGCAAGATGGAAAGCACCACCGTGTTCATGAGTGCTGTTTTTGCTTTTCCTGGAGCTTGCAGTGCAGACAGGTCGGGCAGTTGTGAACCGCACTGTCGAACCGCCTGATTGCTGGTCTATATTCTACCAGTTTGTGACACTAGTTGATGCACCAGAAAAATGTAAATCAACAACTTGCGGCAAGCTTAACCAAGTGAACCACACGAAGCTGATTAAGGACGAAGCGGATGCGAGGCGATGAGGAGACGTAAGCTGGGGCTCCAGGCCCTAGCACACTTCGCAGACACGCTTCGAGGGAGCAGGTTTCTGAGTACATGCGGGAGCCATGACATGAGAAATGGCTTGGGGATGTCACCATGGTTGGGAGAATGCTCTCGGCCTCCCTTCTCGTCCAAAGATTTTTGGACAGGTCCCGGAACCAGCGTTGTGCGCTCCTTCTGCATAGAAAGGGCATCAAACAAGAAACAGCAAGACCGTGATGAACAAACCAAACAAACCGCTTTGGCTCACAATTGCCTTTCCCAATCCTTCCCAGTCCCACTATGTCACTATGGCGAGGGCAGCTCTACATGCAACGTGAAGGAACATGTCCACGTCCTTCGGCCGAGGTTCTTGGAAACCACTAGCAAAGCCGTCCTCCAGAGCAATCTATGCTGAAATGATTGACATGGCACAGCTTTCTGGTCAACTGCTCCGAGGATCTCAATGCAACCGTCAGTCCAGACTATATAGGTGCTCTTCCAACATGCTCTGCCCTCATGCGCAATGACAGCATGCCCATGACGGTAATGTCGAGAATGTGAAACCATTGTGCCACTGGACTGTCTTCTCTTTCTTGTGCCAAAGTCTCCTTTTGGTTTGCTCCCTGGTCTTCTCCATGGGTGGGATTCGCTGAGATTCGCTGTTAAATCGGACACAACCACCTTGAACGCGAACGGACTCTGGCGCTCTGCTTCGCACAGAGACGTGGGGCTTACAGCGAAACTTGTGCTGGGCTTGTGAACCCATGACGTTGCCAGAACGGGGCCCAAAGAAGTGCGTGACCACTGCGGGGCGAGAGCGTGGCCGGACTGCAGGCTTCGGAGGGTTGTGGACGGAAGGATGGTGAAGGCTCTTTGTTTAACATGTTCTTAAGAGGGACATGTCAAGGAAGCAACGCCTATAAGAGAATTACACCGCACACTTTAACAGTCATTCCCGATGCCCCTTGCAGGAAAGACTGTGCCCGATACCCAGATGTCAGATCCCAAACCCTAAGCCCGAAAGGACAAACCACTTCATCCCAATGCTGCGAAGACCTCCTCCCAAATACTACTAAGCCCAAACGACCCTTTTTGCAACGGGCCTGTGGGCAACTGGCCCTCCATTCCAGACCTTAAACCCAAACCCGAAGCCCTAAAGACCGAGACTAACCAGACCCAACCAAAGCAAATTGCTGCCCATCCCCCCCCCCCCCTCCCCAACGCAGACTGTCGTCCTCATCCCAAACCTTTCCTGACCCCGCGAGCTCTGCCGGGTACCACTTAACCCTTAAGCAGAAAGCCCGAAACGCAACCCCCCATACTAACAGAATTTTAAGCCCCCAAAGAGGAATACCTTACTTATCCCAACCCCCTAACCTGAAAGGAACTTGCCATTAGATTGCTCCCAGACCATACCATCGGTATCGTGAGCCAACATTCCCTAAACAAATCTTACCCCCTCCCTATAAAGAAGGGAAACCTCATCCAAAACCCGAAGCCCCAGAGGTAAAGGCAGCTCGAAAGTAAGACAACATCGTTTCACAAGTTCGAAGACCTGCTTGACAACTGCTTGACAACAGGATCGCTGGTCGCTTGAGGGATGACGACTTGCGGTGTAGCTCGGAACTCACGTGACTTCAGCCGGCCTCTCTCTGCAGCAATGACCCTGGCTGAAGGGATCTTCAGTACAATGATCTTCAGTACGAATGCCATATCTCTCACAATGAAACGAAGATCGAACACAAGGTCAGGCACCGGGTGCCTGTTGGTCTAACTGCTTCCCATCGGAACAGCTGCGTCAGCGACCTCAGCAGAACTCTCAACTTGTGCAGTACTCCTTTGCTAGTAACTAGTAAGCCGATGATCACTCCAATAGCAGGCAGCAGTCAAACGCCGCCAAATGAGCACACAGAAATCGGGCACGCCGACTGAGAAGGCCACTGGGCATTTACCAATCGATCACAATCCACAGCTTCCAGCATGGCCAGCACCTGTGCCCCAAGTCAGCAGGAGCTGTCGCCGCTGCTGCAATCGAATCGTCCGAAAGCCGATCAGGGCACAGCCCAACTTCAAGTGGAGAGGGTCTCAGTTTGCTCAGTTTGCTTACAACTTTTTCCAGACACAGCCCCCTTGCGTTCAGCTGACGGCCGCTACCGGCTTGCCCGCTTTCGCTATGCCAATATGGCAGTGAGGGCCGCAGCAATGTCTTGAAGCCTCGAGCAAGCCCAGAGCACGGCAGCACTTCTCTGCTTAGATCTGCTTAGATTACTTCATCCTTGGCTTCCCATGGTTTCCCATGTTTCCGACTGTTACAGGAAGCTGTGCTGGGACTCAAGCTTTGAATCCCTTTTTGGATAAGGAGGGGAGGAGGGAGGGAGGGAAGGAGGAGGTAGCTCACTCCTATTTGCTTCTGCACGCCTTGCACAGACTTTGGTGTTGAGATGTGTTGAGCTCATTGGTAGAAGCATGGAAGTACGTTCCGCTTTTCTTTGGCTCCTGCAACTACACCTCACGCTCCTTTGGTAATCAGACGCCGAGTCGTCCCCGGCAGCTAGACCCACCAAGCACCTCTACCCCACAGCAACAAGTAACACAACGTGTCTGACCAGCTGCTGCCAACAAGCTCCTCGGCGCAGGCCGAGTGCTGCATGCCGGGATAAGCCTTAAAGCTTGCGTTGATGTCGCCGGCCTGCGGGATCACGTGACTCATGCAGACGCACCTGCACCCAGCCCACCACATTCCACTGCAATCCATCGCACTGACGTGTCCTTCAACTCCTCAAGGCTGCGCTGGCCCCAAGAGATAGGAACAACTTGATCTGCCTGCAGCCCCAGCTTTTCGTCCATTAACTGAGCCAAAGATAAATGGCGAAGGAAGAGAGCAAACCCTTGCCTGGCCGTGGAAGAAGTGAATTGCGGGCAGCGGGCTGGGAAGCTGTGCTGGAACTTTTGTTCCAAGGAACGAGCTGAGCACTAGGATGCCTCCCACGGCAAATTCGGTGGAGGCCAAGCCTGCCTCAAGCTTGCACTTGCAGCGCGCAGTCCCACGCACACGATATGCTGCAGGGATACGTAAACAGGGGGGGTCCAGCTAGTGTGGGCCTCTCGGAATTGTTGTTACGGCATGCATCACTGACATGCGCAACTCGCCTCCAAGACAACGGCACCTCCCTGAGAGAAGCCAGCCAAGATGACGCGCTCCGGTGCTATTCCGTCATCAACCTGCTCCTTCAGTCCAAATTCGACAATCGAATCTTTATCGTGCATCTCTTAGACAGCGTTTGCGTAATTGCTCGCCGCGGTGGTCTCCTTGATGAGCTGGCGGACAAACTCAGCACTTTGTGCGAGGCCAGGCGGATTTCTTCGGAAGAGCCGTGGGTCAAGAGAATTGATATCAAACCAGCTGGGCATGGACATGCCCATGTTCACGGTGACCGGCCTCGGCAAGTCTCCACATCTGAGGGCAACTTGACACGATACTCTGTGTGCGGACCGATGGCTGTGTCGGCGCTGTAGGAAAGAGGAATCGTACCTACAGTTTGTTGCCGCGTTCGAGGTTATGACAGCCATGAATGCGCTGTGATTCGTTCGGTCGCTTACACGGGCACCATGTGGAACCTGGCAGGACAAGGTACCGAGCGCAGCTGCTGTTGCAGCTGTGGCCCGACGTCTGACCATCCCTCGCCAGTGTCGCCCAGGCCGTGGAGCCAAATCACTGCTGCATCCGGCGTTGAAGGGGCTTCCTGAAACACAGTTGCTGCGAAATCTGAATCGCACAGCGTGTCGCTGCATGTCGCTAAATCCAACTCATACCGCCAAAGGGCGATGGCATACATAGGTCCAAATGTGGAGCGCAGGCCAGTCCTTCGGATCAATTTTTTTCAGCCACTGGCAGAAAGCCATCCGACACATCACGGCCTCGCCGTGTGAAAGGTCTTTCCCACCGTGGAGATGCCTCAAAGTGTTGACGCTGTGCCGCACTGGGCCTTGTGAGGCCCGTTAAGGGTTGTTCTCGTGAGCCGTTTACGTCTTGACCTTCTCTTTTGCATGCCAGGCCTGGAAGGGGCCCGGCCGCAAAGATGTGACTTCGGGAGTTGGCTGCCTGCCCAGCTACGTCTGCTACGTATGCTCGTACTGCATATATATTTTTTTAATCAATAAATAAACAAATACATGGAGCTCGCAAAGTTCACACCTTGTGGGTCATCTCCTTGACACTGACACTTCCGGGTCGTCTCCACCATGCCCGTGCCTAGCCCGTGGAACCGACAGGAATTCGCGGAAATGTTGCAGGGCGGCAGTCCTGGAAGCAGGTCCCGGTCACGAGGGTGGCCATAGCCACAGCCGATGCCCTTGGCCATCCTGGCACCAAAAAAACAGACAAAGACTTAAAGGCTTAAGGGCTTAAAGACGCTTCGTGACTCTCCAGGTAGAAAGGGTACAAAGAGCTCGGCTCCTCCTCGATGCCACAACGCCCTTGCCGAGGATGGGCTTGACCTGACCAGCCCACTCGGAGCCACAAAGGAAGCTTGTAGGTGACTTATAAGGTGGCTTGTAAGGTGACTTCAGTACTGTGACACTGTGGAGTTGAACGAATTCGGACACCGGCACACATACGTCTATATAGCATCAGCATCGGGCCTTCCAGCGCGCGTGCCAGGAGATTCCATGGCTCTGCAATTAGGACCAGGCCGTCCCGCAGTTTCCCTTGTCTTGGGTGAGTTTCGAGTGGTGCCCTTGGTTTGCCCTGCTTTGCATACTGAGTCTCCACAATGAGCCAATCGGCCGTGGTCCCACAGCTTGTGAGAGCAACACACGGAGAATGGCGTTGCGCTTCACATCGTGCCTGGGCTGCCAGATCACTGGTCGGGGTCAGCCTTGATCAGTGGCAGTCTATAGCAGCGTCTGACCGTGTCTGCTCAACCATGCTGACAACACTGGCTGCAACTGGCATCGGCTTGCAAGCTGAACAGGGGCACGACACGACCCACGGGCGGCTTCCTGAGACTTCGGAGGTCTTCTACAACAAACGCATTTGATTTTCTGACCCCATGCAAGGCACTGGCTTTGCAATGGATTTGGGGCATCAGGATCCGCTGCTGCGCGTCGGGCCCGATCCTGACAGAGAGCCACCTCTTTGGAGGCCCTGAATATTGTCGAGACATGGCCAAGATCTTGCGCGAATTCACGGCTAAGAACAGGCGCAAGCTGGCCGAGACCATGGCGTGCAGATGGTAGATGCGGTTCACCAGCGGCAGCAGATAGGCCTTGGATTCCAAGCGAAAATCAATCAGTGCCGTCGGCACGACAACACACAAAGGGCCGCGCAAGAGTCTTTCCTGAGCCAGTCTCTGCACCTTGGGCATGGCATCGCTAGAACCGCTGCTGCGTGGCGGTAGGTGCGCGGTTGTGAGCACCAAGAGCACTAAGAAAGCCAGCTCCGAGGCATCCGCGCATGATGACATCTTTTCCTTTAACTATCGGAGCGAATGCCTGGCAAAGAGACATTGGCGTTTTGTTGCAACCCCGGAATTCCGCGGGATGTCAAAGAGCACCAGGTCATGGACCTAAATGCTTGCCTGACTGCACCTGAAGCCCACCTGCCCTAACCTAATCTAACCCGCCCTAACCTAACTTGACCCACCTAATCCCAACCGACAGCCACCTCCCTACCTGTTCGATTTCTAGCAGATTTGAGGCCTGGTCTCACGGAATACACAGTTCAGGATGCATCAAAACATACATCAGGGTCAACTTCGGAACCCTTCTGGGAACCCTGCTTCTGCTTGAACCTCAAGAAATGACGAATTCAGAACTGAAAAGCTCGTGAGGAATCGTGGGAACCGGTCAAGACCGGCTCGTGTCAGAGGCACACTCAGGCATGCACCACAGTAGGCCGGAGAATATCCTGAACAGCCATGGATGACACCTGACGTGGCTCATCATCCTTTTCATGGATGCATGCCTGGACAATTGTCCGGAAGGAGCGCGTCAAAGAAAGTCTACGGTGGCCGGCCAGCGTTGGGTGCACCCCCATGGACTCGAACGTCGTGTTGGCCCAAAGCCCATCATAACCTTGATACTGGCCAGGCACTCACTCACTCACTCACTCACTCAGCGCCAAATCCGAAGAAAAGGTGCGCGGCACAGGTGAAACAAACTCGAACGTATAAACTACAGGGGGGTTGTAACTGTACAAGAGGCATGTAAACAGAAACTCGTGGCAAACCAGTGAAATACTTTGTAATTACTTTGCAAGTCCGAAGGCTGATTTGGACGCAATTGTCCAATCTTCTGTGCGGCGATGTTCAACATAGCGTGTGCTTTGGCGATTGTTTGGCTGTTTTGTTAATCATGTCTGTTTAGAATGGGGCTTGACGCTTCTTTGCAGTGTTTTGTAGGAGGGTTAGATCGAGATCTGACGGTATGTTTACTGGTGGCTTTCCGCATGCTCTCAGGGAATCTTTCGTTGTTTCTTGAAACCAGTCCGCTCTTCGTCTACCTATTCTTCTGCAATGATTTATCCGCGGTACTGGCAAGGCACTGGCCTACACAAATTCCGAAACCTGCAGGGGCAATCAAAGCACAGAAGTTAGTGTGCCGCCGCTGGTCATCTGTAGCTTCTGCATCATGTTAGAAATTCTGCGCAGCAATTGTTGTTTCACCTCGATAGTGAGGCCCGAGCTATGCCCACCAGGGATCCTTGGTCGGCTGTAATTGTCACAATCACCGCTCACAGGGACTGACGAGGCGAGCATCGGCTGGACATATCTGGACACGCTCTGCAAGATGACTTTCGAAGAAAAGAGGTGCAGCTCGAGGTTCCCCCTGCATTTCTTTAGCTGTGCACTACTGGTAGCGCTGGTCCCACATTGGTGGATCTCATTTGTGAGTCCCATCAACGCCTCCGCTTCTGAGCTGCCAGCGGCTCTTTTGAAGAACACGCCGACAAAACCTGCCTTTGGCGAATCTGAAGTTCGCATGAATGAGGCAGCACATTGGCTGCCTGCACGGATCACATGTGGATCATGAAGCCTTGCACACGAATTCTAACCTAGCTACTTTTCCCCAGCAGTGCCTCATCAGGCCATGCTAGGGCCGCTCTGTGACATTAACACGTGCTGCAAATAATTACAACCTCTACTGTATGCTCGCCCGCTACACTCGCCTGGCCTACTTTTTTCATGTCGCTGCAAAGCGCCCAGGACACTACTCTGCATGTTACCGGAGCATCACTACCAGCGCGCCGCCACCTGCATGTCAATTCAAAGGCGCGAGTGTCTTCGGAGGGGATTGGGTACGGAAGGAGTGCAATAGGGAGTAGAATCTACAGTGCCGTCATCGTTGCACATCCCTGAGACACTGGCAAAGCAGGGCCACCATATTCAACTTTCCCATCCTCGGAGACACAGTGACAGTGACCCAAATTGCTGCCAGGAGTTCACAACAAAAGCATGCTTTAGAACTGAGGTGGATCACGGCGGAGCTTGTGAAGTCGTGATCCATGTTGCAGGCGATCTGGCTGGTATCTTGGGTTGGAAGTCCGGCACGGGAAACCTGCCCATACAAGCAAGACCTTAGGGCCTTTGGACCGTGCAACTGGACAGCTCCACTGAGGGTGGCACATTGCCATCACTGAAGGATCGCCTTGCTGCTCTCTGGACGACGCAAGCACGCACGACAACAAAAGGCAATGCAATCAGATGTTTATCCGCAATGGTTTTAATGATGTACAAGGTTTGGGGGGGGACCCTGACTCAGGCACCGAGGGGGCGCGCCACCATCACTCTCAATGCAGGAACCACCACAGAAAATAAAAGAATGTTCATGTTGTCTTTTGCATACTTCTTAGCGCTGACAAAGTGCAAGCTCGTTCCATCTGGCAGCTTGCTGCAAACCAGCAATGCAGTCAAGCGGCTGAAGGTCTGGCAGTCATAGTCACCGCAGAGAAGCACCTGCCACAGCTGTGGGCTCTTCTGCGAGCATCTCATTTTCTGCATGTGGTCTCTGTCAAGCGGCATACCACTCGGTATTGATCGGTGCCGAAGTTGAGACGACCACTGGAAAATTCCTTGGTTTGCAAGTGGTTCTGTCGGCATGACAAGACTACCACCCCGGCACAGCGTGTGAGGCGTGTGAGCAAGTCACCACTGAAATGTTCCCGAGGCAACGGTTGTAGGCTCGATGTAGATTCGAACCTTGCAGACCCACACAGACTCGTCGGGCATATAAGGCACAAACACTTTCAAGTTGCAAACTTAAAAATTCAAAACTGAAGCTACACATAGCGATCAATCGAGATCCTGGCCCAGCGAAAGTTGCTCCAATCCCGCCACTCCCTCTCGATCGCCACCTATACGTGATTTCACCACTGTGCCGATACCGGGGGTTTCAGTGCCAAGCTTGAGAGGCAGCTGAGAGCTCTGCAAGCCTGCAAACAACTGAGGAGTTCACAGCCAAGTGAGTGCTAAGAGCAGTGCTGGAAAGTTCTTGTTGATATTGGCAAACCTCAGAGCTGCCAGCGCCCTCTCCCCGAGAAATTTGCCGAAGTCGAACCCCTCGCCCCCCCCCGCCCCCGGCCCCTGCCCCCACCCCGCCTAGCCCGCTGCACCCACTACACCCCACTACTGTGCACGCCACTACACCCCGCTATCCCGCAACGATTTTTGCATCTGGACGCTTCCCTGTGACAGTTCAACGTCAAGCCGTCAAGTAGAGACAAGCCGAGAAAACACACCATCTTGCGAAGTGTCGAGGCTCTCCGGTTATGCTGTCCGAAGCCTGAAGCAGTCCCAGCGGCTGGTTCTTGTGCTGGATGTCATGGCGATAGCCCTCGGGCAACAAGAAAACCTGAGTGTCAGGTTTTCTTGCTGCAAGTTGTCAGAGATCTGGGGCTTCGTGTTGTCGGCTGCACCTCAACACAGTGGAGCCGTGCTCCCAAGACCCAAGCTAGCATCCGGAGCGTCCGAATCCGACGGGTTATGACCACCTGCAAGTGCGACAACTGCGAGAACCTGCAGCCTGGCAGAATATTTCGATTTGCGTGCTGGGGCATCGCACCTGTATGGCCGCAGTGGCTGCCTTGCGGTCAAGCAAGCTATCCGTGGCCAGCATCCAGCCCGCATGCTACAGTCACTGGCTGAATTCTTAACATGCGAAACCCTCAAGCACCAATGAAAGAAAGGCATCGAGAGGGCACCTCGCCGTACTGCGGAGTTGTCAGCCAGGTGAGGGTTGGATTCTCAGCTTGGAGGTCTGGCCTTAGACAATCATCGAGACCGGTTTTCCTCAACTTCCTGTGGGCTTCCAACTCCATGTCGGTCCTACTTCGTCTTTCTACCATTCTACCAAACTGACCGCCGTGCGCTTTCACAGCACAAGTCATCGGCGCGAACATGAGCGACGGGATCTCCAGGGCCGCATCAACAACCACAAAGACCTGTTCAGTCCCAGCACACACGCGTACTGGGCATGGTGGGGGAAGTGTTGAGGAGAGTTCCGGCTGCGTTAAAGACTTCGGCCCGGGTTGCAAAGAGGAAAGGCAAGAGGCGCCTCGTCCAGAAGTCGGAGCTCCCAGGGAGCGAGGCTGCCAAGCACCAGGGGCGTTTCGATGAGCAACCTTGGCGCAACTTGGCACAAGGTTGGAAAGCCATGCGGTTCGTCATGACGGAGGAACAGTAAAGAGATGTTAAAACATCAGTGGGGGTGAGGCCATTTGGGTTTTGAAGTTTCGGGGTGTAGACGCTGTAGACAACCATAGGGCTTCAGGGTTTTGGTGGCACCTGATCTCTTCATCATTCTCTCGCACCTGTAAAACTGAGCCTATATCCGCCAACTCGCCCAAACCAAGTCAAGCTAAGAGACATCATGAAGAACACCAGGTCTTGCCCCTCTGGTGCTCCACTCTCCATTGTCAAATTCAACTCGGCTGCGCAAGCACGAACAAGCCGCACACGATGCTCTCTCTTATTCTTCTTAGTATTATTCTTATTCTTCTTCTTCGTCTTTTCATTCTTCTACTTCTTCTTATTCTGCTTCTTCTTCTTCTTCTTCTTCTTCTTCTTCTTCTTCTTCTTCTTCTTCTTCTTCTTCTTCTTCTTCTTCTTCTTCTTCTTCTTCTTCTTCTTCTTCTTCTTCTTCTTCTTTTTCTTCTTCTTCTTCTTCTTCTCCTCCTCCTCCTCCTTCTCCACTTGAGAGGACCCTGCAGAGGTCTCTCTCTCTCTCTCTCCTGCCGTGCCGCAGCAGGCATCTTGGGAGGGGTTGGCGTTGGCAACTGAATATCACACCGTTGTACCGAGTTGTACCCTTATCGGCTCGGGCACTGTGCGTGCGACTGGCAGCTCGCGTAAGTTGGGCGGCATTGCCTCTGCCAGCCTCGGCACGTGAAGGCAAAAGCTTAAAAGCTTGCGCGCCTTTCATTCTATGTGCAATGCCGGGTGACTGGAAGGGCTCACATGGCTGCGCCGCCTGTTTGCAGGTAAGTCCAATCCGCCACGGCCCACCCATCCTATCCCATCCTCATATTATGGGCTCAGCTATGGCCTGGGTCAGCGGCGGGCAGTTGACACGAAAGTCAGCTGGTGCAGTGAATAAAGCATATCTGGCACCGGCGATGCTTGGAGCCTCAAGGGCTCGGTTCACGAAAACCTCATATCATGGCATAGCACCAAGAAGCGCATCACCACAGGCCTTCCATGTCAAGGACATCCAGCCGGTGTACCGCGGCAGGGCACCATACCTGCCCGTCCCATTCACGCCTGCTGGAATCTCATGCCAAGACGAACGGCCCGTGGCAAGTTGGAGACCTTGGGGGGGAGGGGGGAGGTGCTGTGAGATCAAGAGATCCGGAAGCTGGAAATAAATGCACGGAACGGGATTCGAAACAGGATGCGGAATTGAGAAAGAGAACGGAACAGAATCGGGTTCTGTGCTTTGATTCTCAGACATAGCAGCTCAGGGAGGGGGAAGTGATTAAGCGCAGTGATTCTCTGAAGCTCCACATCAAAACGTCCATGCGCAGGACGTTGTGCGCCAGCGTTGGTAATCAAAGTGAACTCTAGATGCGTGGACTCATGCTGCGTGTCATCGAAGAGTGTTCAAGTTTAGCCAACGTGGTATACCGTCGCTTCACATCAAGCCTGGCCTGGCTTCCACAAAGCAGCCTGCCACACCAAAGCCAGGCACGGAGCCCCAGCCGACAATCTGGTCAGATTGCTGCCCTGTAATTTCCTTATTGGAGCATCACATTTTGGAGCATCACTTTTCCAGCTACTTTTTACAAGATGCAGAGTGAGAAGTGTGTCTGACGGCTTTGGCAAACTTCTTGCAAGAAGAGCTTCGTCAACTTCCAGGCTGCGGGCCAAAACAAACCACCGAGGATCGAGATTGGTTCTGCGTGGGGTTGTCCTGCATCATTCGCTCTTCAAGCATGCCCTGCCTTACCCTGACACCTACTCTGTCCCGAGCATGCACTTCAATGGACATGCTGAGGCAAGCTGAGGGACACCCGAAACCGATACGACATCTCATCCGAAAGCGGGTCGGTAATCTGGCGCAGATCCAGCTCCACCAGTGCACGTGCATTCGTCCTGAGGCATTGGACGTGTACATTTATGTTGATGCTGGTGGCTTGACTGCATGGCGGGCTTGTGCCACACAACTGAACTCTTGCGGAGCAGCGGAGCTATGGCCCCCAACGGCACAAAGCCATAAGGGAGGATGACCAAAAGCCGTTGGAAAGGCAATTGTCCCACTCCAGCCTGTAGCAAAGGCAGGGAAAGCATCAAGGAAATCGCGCGTGTGCGCTGGCCTTGACGGTAATGGTGATGTAGACGGCCTTCGGCGTCCCGGCAGATTTCAAACAACCCCGCGGTTCTTTGTAAGACTAGCTGCTTTAGCTTGCCGAGAAACAGATAGGGGAGGATTGCGCTCCACCTGAGTTATTGCAAGGATGTAGATCCGCATGTGAGTAAGGCAATCAGTATCTGGGCTTGCGGCTTCGGGCGTCAAAGTGACGGCCATTTCGGGTACTGCTCTGACAGCTGCTGTCTCTCCATCGTTTGAGCTGGTTACGAACCTCGTGCACAGCAGAAGATTGGATCAGCAGGCAGAACAGAAAGAAACTTACACATGCCATTATTCGCGGGAAAGCAAGTCTCCACCCTTGATGGTGTTCACTCAAGCAAAACGCACCAGCCAAAAAGGATGGCGGGTAGAAGCTGCATCGGGCTGGCTAGGAGTTGTTACTGGCATGATTTGCTTACGAGCTGTTCAGAACAGTGATGGTCTCGGCAGAGTAGGGCACAGCAGCAACCAATCAATGTCTCGCGTAGCAAAATCTCAAGGTCGAGTCCAGCGCTCTACGTATGGTGTAGTCGGAAACTGGCTTTAGCGTGGCGTGTACTGAGCGCATACTGCACCGTTTTGTGGGCGGATCCGCGGAGGTCATCATCGACGCCGAAAGTCCGAGTCATGCATGAGTCAATGAAGTGTGATGGGTGCTCAAGCCTCAGTCCGGAAGCGGCCTGTTCCGCAACAGCTGCGGAAGCGAGCTTCCTCGAATGGTCCCATGTGCAGGGCGGCAAGCAGGGACAAAGAAACAGAAAGACAGTGAGAGCGAGAGAGGACTACAAAGGGTCCGCCTCCCTAGGAGGGGGTTGGTCAGCTGACAGTGTTGGGTCAACAGCAACCGCGCACCCCATCCACATCCGAGATTTCGCTTCTGAAATGTTGGCTTGCCGGCAGCGGCCAATTTGTCTCTAGTGTACATAAGATACACAAGCAGGGGGGGCGCCCCTTTTCTCAAGTATGCGCTGAAACCATCCTCGGCCCTCCAATCAAAAAAAGCCCCCAGTAGCCTGACTGGAGGTTGATCCATTTGTCTCAGAATTGTGTTTGCCGCTCCAGACTTTCTTGCAGGATCACACTGTAAGAAAGCCACCACCTAGAATGTTGCGCAAACCCCCCAACTGACCGTCATGGACGCCCTCATCACGCAAGAAGGCGCTGGAAAGCTCGCCTTTTGGGTCTGAACGGTTCGTGCAGCCGATTATCGTCCGCTGGCTGCAGTAGTTCTCGTCATCTCGCCGCCAGGAGTGGTTACCATCGAAAGAAGGTGCTGCAACAACCAATGGGCTCGAGACGCACAGACGAGTAGTGCCACGCTCGGGATCATGCACCTCCATAGGGAGTTCCTCTTCCATGAGCTTTTTGTGTTTGCTTCTTTCGTTCGTCTTTTCTTTGGTTATTTCTCTCTGTCGTTACTCCTTTCTTTCTTCCAAACACCTCTGGAACGGCCATGCCATGTTCAGTACTAGCTGGGAAAATTTGTTGTTCATCCTGTGCCTTCCCCAACAGCTTTGCTACCCTGCACGGCAGTTTTTACCAAGGACCAAGGGACCCAGAGGTGTCCTCAGTCGAAATGAACCACTGTGTCGGCGACATGGACGGAAGGAGCCAAATCCGCATGCGGTAGTTTCTGTTTGCCTCGAGCGCCAGGTTCCGCTTGCCATCCGTGAGGTATGATATCCTGAGTCCAACAGCACCCTCAAAGGAAGCCCACAATCCTATCGGGCACAAGCCTGACGTCGCCTGCAAATTTAAGTCCCTGACTCCTCCACTGCCGACCGGTCCAGAATGTAGCGTGAACTCACAGGTAGCAGGGTCATTCTGAGACCAATTGGGATGTTAAAGTTGTCCCGAATAAGCGACATCCTCAGCTACGTCACACCATGGGCACAGAAAGAAGCCTGGATATTTTTTTGCTACCGGAACTGATGGCTGGTTTCCTGACCGAGGATCTGAGAGTAGTTCATGCTGACAATGTCGCTGCAATTCCAATTGCCCATGCTGTCTGCGCCTGCGCACAACCGTATACGAGCCGCAGCATTGACGAGTCTGACAAATCTGATCAGGACGTGTCAGCTGATTCTGCCCGACCTGTATCGGGACCGTTGCAGAGATCCATCCGTGGTTCATAACCCTCCTCGTTCATGGGCTCCTTGAACACATCATACCAGCCGCTCTAACAGTCTGGAGACCGTCACTTGTCATGCACAGTGCTGCCGCGAAGTGGCATGGGCGACTACGCCGTACGGCACCACGCTTCGGATCACAAGCACATCGCCCGCCATAACATAGTGCGAAAGTACGAAGAAGAACTCCTGGACACGCGGTCTTTGCCCGCTCACAGAAAGACCTCCTGCAGCGTTGCAAGGCCGAGTCTCGATGCGTGACAGTTGAAGCGCAAATGGCGGAAGAAGAGGCGTCACAGAGTCATGGATCTCACCTGTTCGCACATGTGCTGCATGATGTGTGGTCACCGCCATCATGCTGCCATGAAGCCACTACCGGGCGCTCGTTCCCCTAATTGCATAAGGCTCTGGCCTGTGTAGTGGCGAACCACTGTTTCGCTGAGCAGCAGCTGCGAATGTAGTGACACACTTGCAGGCTGCACGAAACCCTGGAAGAAGTTGACTCTCCTGACACAACGAGCAGCAGAATGAACGTATAGAGCACTTCCCGTCACTTCCGAGTCGCCACGCTTGATGCAACACAAGCAGTGACCATCACAATCTCAAGTAGTTTTTCAGAGAACCCTGATTTGTACTGCATCTCTCCTTGCAACTTCTGTGCTCATCATGGCATCTGTGTACAAGGCCAAACCTGAGCACTGTGTAGTCTGCTGCAAAAGCTGCCCATTGGATGTTGCGATATGTTGCGAATAACCTTATCCAGACGTGGCTAGGAGGCTGATCCGAGTTGGTCCACCTCCGAGACCAAGAAGGGCCTCGCCCAAGAAGACCTCAGCCTTCTCGTTCGGGCGGAAGTCCCCGTTGTTCAATATCACGCGGCTGCCCTCTGTGCGCAAGATCTGGGGTTTGCACGCGCATGCATGGTGAACTGAGCATAAACTGACCCACTTCAATGTCTCAGGCAACCTAACTGCCCCGCCAGGGCCCCCACCGCATGAACATACTTTGCTGTTGCCACCCACCAATCGTCCATGGTGGCATGAGATTCCCGAAGCTTGCGCTCAGCCCAACTCTCCTCCACCCTTCCCCCACCCTCTTGCCACCCAATGCGACTGCGACAGTCAAGCCGTGAGAGGCTGTGAGCATGAACAAACTTTTGGTTGAATTCACCGGGTTCCAGCATACTCCATCCTTCCATGCACCACGAAGTGTACGAGTGTACACAGATGTAACAATCCGATTGTACTTACACCCAGCCTGCGTTCGCTCATCTCGGAGAAGTGGTGCTCCCGGCCTAGACGGACAAAGTCGGACAAAGTCGAGCAAAGTCGGACAAAGCTGACTATTCACCTGTCGCCTTCCCTCGCCCGCCTGACAAACTCAAAGTTGAAGCCCTGCGGAGTGTGGATATTGATTTCCATCGTGCTGCCCCAGATTGTAGGAATGAAAGTGATGGTGATGTCGCTCTGGGATCCAGCACGCTTCCTGCAGCTGGCAGCGGTTCGACGATGCTTCTTGCTGTTCCCGTCTGCACACTCTGCATCTCCACATCCCTGCGCTCGCATCACCCGTCCTCCAGCCTGAGATGACGGCCGTCAAGTTGTTGAGCTGGCCATACACCGGCCAACTGGGCACAGAGCCAGCCGAGAGAAGCCTCACAAAGCCGTAACAGTTCATGCACTCGGGAGATACTCGTGCAGCTTCACAAAATGCATCCGCCTGTTGTCGGGTGCCCAGTGGGCCATCTTCCACCAGCCCCTCTTGTCAGGCCAATTCAGGGCAGCGAGAAGCAACAGAAAGACACACAAAGGCTTTTTCAAAGGTCATGCGAAGAGGAATGAGGCAGCCCATGCTCTGGAAGCCTCACTGGATCTCGTGTTGTGGCGGAGTTGATCACGGATATGGTGAAGCCTTAGGTGTCAAAGTCTGCCTGACAAGTCTCTTTACACATCTGGGCAAGATGGCTTTAGCCTCGAAGCTCATTTCGGTCTCATGCTCAAGCACAGGGTCGGCTCCCACGTGAGAAACGTTGACCTGAGACTCGCGAAGCAAAGCTCGCCATTAGAAGTGCCATGAGTTGCGAAACCACTGCAGATCACATCAGATCACCAGTCTGCGTTAGTGACAGCTGGTGCTTGGGGCACCGGCAATCAAGAAGCACTGGAGCTCGTCCCCCTGGCTGCATCGGCATTCAGGCTCCACATCCTCTCTCAAAGGTCTGAATGTACTGGGCCACCTGCACAAGTTTGAGGGCCAATCAGGCAGGCTGCAACTAACAACCTGAGCAGCAGGACCTGAAGCCTTGAACAGTCCTACGCGACAGGCCTGAAGTCCAAACATCTCCTTGAATGGTACGAAACGCAAGACAACTATCTGAAATCCATCTTTGCAGCTCGTGGGCGTGCTACTTCTTCTTTGCATCCTAGCATCCCCCGACTGGCGTTTGGGTGACTGGAGTTGCCCAAAGACTCTCGCAATTCCACGCCCGGTGGAGCACTGATCTCCTCGAGGGTCTTCGCGTGTTTCAGACTCAAGCACCATCCGCACATTGAGAAGGGCAGTACACGCTCTGTCACAAACTCGCATCCGGGATGCTATGGCATCGCCCAGTTGGAGAGAATCTGCAAACATGGTTGAGATTCCAACCCCAAAGACGATTGTACTGGCTTCATATTCCAGCGCGCCTTCGCAACAGATCAGCTAGACACAGTTTGCAATGGGAAAAGCAGACAACTTGGCGGCTTCAGCCGTCACAGACATCATCAGATGCCGCAACTAACAGAACCGAGCTGCTATTCACCACCTGAAACGATTGCACAGGCTTCAATATCGGGATACTCTCGAGATAGAGCTTGTCCAATGCAACCCGCTGACCCGTCGCGATGAAGCCTTTCATCAGGAAATCCAAAGATCAGACTGCACGACCCAACGTTTCATGCAGCACTGAATCGTTGCGAGTTTGCTTTCACCGTACACGCCGAATCACGCAGCAACGCCGAATCACGCTGCAGCAGCGAACAAACCCAATTGGCCGGGTTGTGAGGAAGGCGAGAGTGTGTTTGTGTGACATGCTTGACGTCCTGTTCAGATTGCACAGGCATCATCATGCACTCAATGTAGTCTGATGTGGCTCCCAACAGATCAGGAGTCACTTGAGGTTCTGTCTTTTTTAACCAGTCGCCTCACGATAAGGGGAGATACGTCGGAATCGTTGGCGAAGGTTCAGGACATAGTGCCGACAACCCCATAACTAGCAGCAACTAGCACGCGAATGGAGGCAACCCATGCCCGAGGCGCTGGTGCTCGTCCTGTGACCTTGCCATGCCTGTCCTGTGCTTTTCGATGTGTGGGCTGGTGCAGGGCAGGTTCTGAAAGGTCGGGAGATTTCCACCGACGGTCCCATGCAGACATGAATTCTCACGAACATGCTGTAGAGTGTGACATAGTTGTTGGCACCTTTGGGATGTAAAGTGTCATCATCACAGCACGCAACAACTGTCAAGCATGATGGGGTGCATCATGGCATGGCTTGCGGCTTCGACATCAAATTCCCGACAAGCTTTCTTCTGATTTGCCGTCCCTTGAAACTCACTCTTCATGCAGTCTCGATGTTATCGGTACTCTACATGGTGCTGTGTCAGCCGCTTGGTGAAAGATGGGAGCATCCCGATTCCTCGCGAAAGGTCTTTCCAGGTGGCCCTAGATGGATCCTAGAAAACACAGGCGAGGACGTACTATAGGATGCACGAAACCCCAGACGCAATACCATGGGCACGGCCGTCCAAACAAAGGTTGGGCCTACGATGATGTCATGCTGTGGCGGTCTGCGGTCGTTTCCTCGGCGTGGGACTGTTAGATGTTAACTCAGCTTCTCCTTGGCCAGGTCTGCTGACTCCTTGCCCGGCTCTACTGGCTCGGGCGACAGACTCCGGAAAAGCACACACACACACACACACACACTTTTAGACTTACTTACACACTTTTGGATACCCCTGATTTAACTGAAATGGAAAAACAATGCAACATGTCAAGAAGTTGCCACACACACACACACACCCGCACAAACGCACCAACGAAAGCGCGCACACACGCACACATACACATACACCGAGCCGAGGCGCCCCGCACCAATGCACGTGCAACAACGCACATGCTGCTTCAGCTAGAACCAACAATGTCGAAAACCTAAAGCGACAGCCTGAAACAAAACTACCTCGAAAGCCTAGCTTTCGATGCGCAGAGAGTCTTCCAGAACCCCCATCGCATCCAAGGAGCGTTTGCGGGTTTCAATGCGCCACTGCGCAGAGCCAGGCCATGTTGGGACTGATGGATTTCGCACCCGGCCCTCCAACGTATATGCCACTCCCTGCGCGCTCAAGGTGAGAAGTCGCGAAACTTTTTGCCGATAAATAACGAATGCTCTGGTGGCATACATTTTGAATGTTCTGCAAGTGGCTTTTGCAACGGCATGCTAACGGCACCTCGACAATGGCTTTGCGACCGATGAGGACAAAGATCATCGATACGGGGGCGTCTCCACCTCCCTCCACTGATGGCACTCCGGCTTCATCCCCAACGCGACACAGTGCATCCAGTGCGGTGTACAGCGCGTCAAGGTTCCATGGATCTCGCCCCTTCACCTGCAGAGATGGATTGGCCTTAGGCGCGCGAATGAACCCCACAAATCAGTGCGGCACAGTATAGGCCCAAACGGCGCAACATGACAGAGGCATGACAAAGGCGAAAGACACAAACGTCAAAGTCCAGCTTGGCAAACTCGAATCCCGCAGACGCGAAGACCATAACACTGCCATCCTCGACATTGTGTAAGCATGGCATGAGAGCGCACGAGGCACTGGTAGCAAATCGAGCCTCCGCATCTGGCAACAAAGGATCGCTGCCACTCTGAAGCCTGCTGCTACGTCAGCATGTTATAGTAATATTCAGTAATATCATGTGCTGGCAGTCATGGGCACCCCTTTCAACCTGCGTTGTCGCATTCTTGGCGCCGGAACTGTGGTGTACGGCATGAAATCCTTGGCGCACGCAGTATTACAATGGATTGAAAGCATCAGGAAATCGACGAGAACGCGCGTGTGTGAAGAGAAGCGTCGATCCGAAAGGACAGAAATTGATCCGGCACAGCAGTCCACCACGTGTGTGAAGCCACCCCGGTGGCCAGCTGCAGGTGGGTCACACCCGGCACAAATGTCCTAAAGCGAAGCAAGATGAAACAACATCTCAAGACCCAGATTGCACAACACAACACAAATCAACACAGTGTACTGTGTTGACTAATGGTATTGCAGGGGCACCGTATCTGCACCGACTGGAAAGGCTTTGATGCCTCCACGCCGAAGTCCATGGCCCACGAATTATCTTTGGGAGGAAGCTCCTCGGAGCTGGGGGAAGATTGAAAGACAAAGATCGGATAAAGAGAAGCAGGGGCCACGGACGCCAAATTGACAGTTCCGAGGCTCTGGATTGAGAGCTTGGATCTCAAAGCCATAACATGCTCCATCTCGAAACCCGGAGATCTGGGTCTCGGGCAGCAACTCAGACACATACAAGCCTTGGGCAATACCACGCAGGATAAGCCCAGCCACTTCCAGACGACACAGACATGCAAGGCACAAACCCCGACAACCCTGCCAGCCAAGCTGCTGTTTGGAATCGAGATGCGTGCAGTGTGCTGCAACCCAAGGCATGCTACCGGGTGGAGGTGCTCTGGCCAAGCAGACAACTGTGCTGGGCACCAAGGTTGCGAAGCGAAAGTTTCTGTCCCACAAGGGAACCTGGCAAAGGATCAACACCTTCTTGTCGCTGCATGCTTAACCACCCCCAATCGTGGTTGCAGAAAGCTTCACTTATGCACTTAACAACTACATGGAGCCTGGTATTTTCGCCCTGGCTCGAGAGACCTCTTAGGCCACCGGAGCAGTCCTGCGATGCTTCCGAGCGAAACGGGCAAAAACAAAAGCAATGGCATCAGTTCCCCTCCTCTAGAAAGTTAAAACCCGAAGGCCCCCGCAGGGCCAGTGGAAAAGTCTCGACACTGACGGCATACTGCGGAGCTTTGTCTATGCCTCAGATGCAGCGGGCATGAGGATATCGGGGGAGAGGGAAGTGGCTGGAGGTCCATCAGGATAAGCTGGACAAATGTCACTCAAGGACTAAGCTGCAGAAAAAGAAGGTGAGCGTGTTCACGGTCAAGGGCTGATCGTTGCGCCCGAACGAAGGTGCGTCATAGTCGGGAGGCTGTAGAAGTCCTGCCTGCATGCGGTCTCAAGCAAGCATATCACACAGCAATGCTGACAGATGAACTCATCCCTGCCTCAGGCAAAAGTCCCAAGGTTTGCGAGCTCGGCGTATCTTTCCCAACGTCCAGAACCTGGTGTTTCGGGTAGATGTCCAATGCACCTTACAGCCCACGTTTTGACCGAACCTCGTCCGCTGTCACCTAAAAAGACAAGCAACTGAATGTTGCCAAATTCCAGTAAGCCATCTTCGTCGCAGGATGTGCAGGGTTGCGCGAGAGCCTGCATGCTAGACGATGTGCAAGAGTCTGCTGTAACACAAGCATTTAAAGTCATCGCGAGCAATGCTATAGATCTCGGAACATGCCTGAACCGAAAACCATATTCTCCCGCTGGAAGCTGCCCCTCTTTCAGCCAGAGCTTGATCATGGGCAGTAGGCTGGTCTCATGCTCAAAAATCAAACCTCGATGCATAAACAGATGTTGTTTCTTCGGCTTCGGAAATGATTTTGAGGAGTTCCGCGTGTTGACCAGCTAAGCCACAGTGTCCATTCTCGGGAGTAATGCCGAGCATCCCTGGCAAGACCTCCGGCCAGCAACGAAGGGCAGCCCCGCGGGTAAGTTCATCACCTGCAAAGATGAAGCCATCGTTCTCCTTCGGAGCAGCGGCAAGAGTGCGGCAAGAATGCCAGAAGCTCGCGGAAAACCACAACGTGTAGCTTCCCTGCAACTGGGAAAACAACCCTGTCACGTCAATTCACAGGAGTTCAAGTTAACCGCTGTCGCGCGTCCACAAGTGGTGAAGCAGTCCGGAGGCTGAAGTCAAGGACATTTTCCGCGAAGCCCGCCACATTGCACAAAGATGCAACGCTCACGTCGTGGACCACTCGCAGGGGCGGTGCAGGAAAGGCGCCTGCCTGCATGCGGTCCAGGTTGAAGTCTCCAGGGTTGTAGCCCATCCTGCCGACATTCGCCAGGGCATTCCAAGATTGCCCAAAAATCGTTACTTCCAAAACAACACGGGGCTGGTTACTTAATTCTACTGGAGTCAGCCGAAAAATGTCCGAATGTCTCGCCGAATGGCTCCAAGAAGAAGGCGTTCGTGGACCTCGTTGGAGGCCTCATTGGCACCTTCAGGCGCACCACGAAGCCGAAGTTTTGGTTGAGTCGCATGATCAGCTCCGGCAACAGGAGCTCGTTCTCAAACCTCACCTCTGGTGTGACGTAAAGATTGCAGAAGCGGCAGGTAACGTTCGGAACATAGCCAAGCCATCCGTGCTCTGCATGTGGGATCCAGACATACCCCACAGGAGCTAGCACGCGAACGTGCATTGGCTGTCCATCAGTCGACGGCGTCAGAGGGTACACTGTGAGAAAGGCGCTCATTTCGAAAACAACCGTAGGCAACAATCCTTGCAACGCGGCAGCACACAAAGCTCAAGTGGTCACTTGCAACTCCCTGCAATCCTGTGTCCTGCACAGACTACCCTGGCTACACAAACCATACATGAACCAGAAGCACTAGCATATGCAAATAGGTCTCTGCTTCTTTGTGCATATCCGAGGATCGGGCGGCCCCGAAATTGAAGGAGAGGGGCAGCTTCATCCCAGAATCGTAAACGGCCCAGCCCTGGTTGTGTGGCAATATGGGCAGAGTATCAATACGGGCTGCATTGAACTGCACGGGATACCTCAGAGCGAGCATTCTACCCTTTCTTGCTCTGGGACGACAAGGGAAAGCGCAACCAACATGAGCTAAAAATATGCGGAAAGTCGCGTGGAGCCATCAACCATATATCCTTGTGGACTTTGGAGCCAGAGTCGCCATTCGGAATGTTGCGTGATGTTCCAGCCCGCAGCATTTATAATACTTATTTGAAAAGCATAATACTTTCCTGAGCGACAGCTGCAGCTAACGCTACCTCAGAAGGGGCCTTGCGTGTACCTACCTGCAGCCGGACCTAACCTCTGTTCCCGACGAAGTTTCCCAGCAGCAGTGTTCGCCCGATTCGAAGGAAGGCCCGTGTGAATGGGGCTGTCGCAAGAGGAATGTCTGCTGGCCTCTGCCAGTCATCCTCGGATGCGACAAAGCGGCCTTACCTCAAAGCTCTATTGGCATGTCAATGCCAACCATGCAACACTCAATCCTCCACGGAAATCTCCGAGGTCCAAGATGCCGTCGTGCAGTTGACATCTTGCCCAAGAGAGCTGGTTGTGGCGCGAGGTCCGATTGTTTCCGTGCCCCAGGGAAGGGCTTCCCAGTCCTTCTCTGGCACCAGGCTCGGTTGCGTCCAACAGGGACAAAACTCACGCCAAGAGTTTTCAGATGCAGCAAAAGGCCAGTCCTGGTAGTAGGCTGGCTCCAGGTCTCCAACCGTGCATACTGCCGTGAAGTCATATCCCGGTGGCGAATCCAGGACTAGATAAGAATTGACAGGCATGGCTTGGGTCATTTGGACAAAAACATTTAAGGTGTTATTGCCGCCTTCGCTCAGGTTCAATGGTTGAATAGACTCGCCCTGGAGCCTGCCAAGTACGGCAAGATTTCCCGCCCATCCAGGAAGCGACTTCTCCTCTTCAAGTGAAATAAACGGTGCAGCGCCGCCAAGGTTATCACCATCGGGCGCGATTAGACTGATGCTCCAGACATTTGAAGGGTCGTCTTTACGCAGGGGCAGCCGAGGATTCACGACGGAAACTCGCACATCAACAAATTGATTCCTTAGCTTGGCTGCCACCTCTGCCGGCACCCTCCCAACTCGCACAACCGACACCGTCTTCTTTTGACCAAGATGCGCAAAAAGGGCTGCCGTGCCCTGCAACGTAAATGTGCAAACAGCCCCTCTCGACCTCTAGGGCAGTCTGTGTGGGCGCGCTGAAATTTTCATTTGCAGGTGCAAGCCTCGAAGCAATCATCGCTAAGGCCGCCACGACCATGTACCACTGAGGACGGTTGCCATGGGATTGTCTGGATAGCCATCGTTGTTCAGGTCTTGCCTCCGATACTCTGGTGCAAGTCCGAACGGCTGCAAAAACTTCCCTGTCTTTGCAAGCGAGCCGCGTAAAGAAACTCTTGTTGCCATCAGGATCTGCTGTCCCATTGCCAACCACATTGCATTCATAGCCAGGCGGCAGCTGAACTTGAATTTCCGCAGGTACCAGAACTTCGGTTTCATTCCTCAGGAAGTTCACATTTTGCTCGAAATTCAGGATTCACACCAAAATATTCTTGAGAGAGCCTTGCTCGTACTCGACCGAGCTTCTCGTCCATCTTCACGTCGCTGCTGGGCAGATTGCGTAGCGTGGCGCCAAGAATAAGGCGGAGAATCAGCTCATTGTCCCTATTGAACGCAAACGGCTTAGGGCCGTTGCCAGCCTGGCCTTCCACCTGAACACCCGGTACTTACAAAACATGCTTCTTGCACACGCAGCCACCACCTTGTCTGAATGCATCTGAGTCGCTAAAATTCTTCCAGAAGTGGCTCCGGATGTTGGCGCTTTCTTTGCACAGGGCATGACTTCCACCATGGAGGGTGGCCTCAAATCTCTCGAAGATCATCTCTATCGAAGACATCTATGACAGACGAGTCACATCTACAGATGCTGTGAGAAGCTAGTTCAGATGGGCATGAGCGCAGTGCAAGGCACACATCTGGTAGGTCAAAATACTGCACCAGCATGCAGATTGTAAAGAATCCTTCCCTGGGAATGCGAAGCCCATGCAGAGCAATCAGGTGGGCCTGCCAGAGGCTGCGGATGCAGTATCGCTTCTGAACTTCGGGCCTCGGATATATGAAGGCCTCGTCAAATCGATCTTCTGGGATCTCATCCATTGCATTTGGGAACCCAAACTCGATGACGTTCTGCTGCATCGAACCGCTCCTCACGAGACAGCATGGCACGCCCATCTTGATTAGCTTTCCTAGGATCAAACGCTCGCATGAAGCCTCTTGTTTGTCTATCATGGATTGGTGGGCGCAGGGCTTCAGACGACATTGATGCGGTCTGTGCAAAGTGAGTGGTTTGGTGGGTGCGTGGGGTGTGGGTGCGTGGGTGCGTGAATGCCTGACGGGGATGAGTCAGGTGGGTGGACCGGATTGCAAGGACTCATGGGGCCGCAGAGGATCCAGGAAGCCTCGTATCCGCCCTCCTAGCTCATGTTATGTGTGGCGCAACACTTCCGGATTTCAAGAATACTCACAATGCAAGCTGGGTTGTTGCAACCGCTTCTCTGGTCATGTTTCCAACTGGGAACAATCTGTGTCTACTGACTGGGGCACCAGACAACAACACCAACACTTTTCAGAACTGCTGTCGCGCCGGTCGAATCCACCAATGCCCTCACCTCGCAAGGTGCCACTGGAAGGCCACGCACATCCACACAGCTCAAGTCTGGAGCAGCCGTGCAAGTCGCATTGCAAGGCTGGCCAGAGAAGTCCGTCAGCCTGCACAGGCAAGGTACAGCCCTGCAGAGCCTACAACACTCCACGTCCTACGTCACTGATTACTTCGCGTGTTGAGCTACAACATGCTACAACCAACATCATCAGCCGCGCTTTATCAGCCACACCTCCAAAGCGTCAAGGGCTGAAAGATCAGCCGGAAGCGGCCACTTGTCTGCAGCGGAAATTCTGGCTCCAGCGGCCAAGCACGAAAGCCCAAGGACAGCACCGGGAATTCCAACCCGGGGCCAGTCTCACCAGTCACTGTCCCTGTCGCCTACAGCCAAGACGTGCCAAAACTATGGACAGGGACATTGCAAGCATGAGAGATCGTTGCGTGGATTGACCCGCCTCCAGAGACAGCACATCTTCCCAGGCGTCTTGCACTTCCTTAGGCCATCGCGGGCAGCAGAGATGCACAGCTGTGTCTCCAATGCGACACTTCACCGTCGAGAGTGGCCTCTACAGCCAAGCGGCTGGTCGCAAACCTCTAGCACCCACGGCATTTGCCCGTTCCAGCGGCAGAAGCTCTGCACGGCCAAGCTTGGTGGTGTTGGGCGTCGGCAGGTGGACCCGACTCCTTGGAATGACCTGCGACGTAGCATGACGTAGCTGCTAGGTAGCTGCTAGGGCCTCGAGGGCTTCGAGTCTTAAGCGCGAACAGCCACACACGTATACACACGATTACACGTCACACGAGCTGCCTGTCCATACTCGATCACGCTGTACCGTGGTCCACAAATGGTTGCGTACCCAGCTTTGCCCGCACAGGTTGTGTAGAGGCTGATAAGTTCGCGTCCAAGTATAAACTCATCATACAGTATTCTCATGTTCAGCACCAGTTGGTATACGCAGCTTGACTGACCATTTGGACCAGAACATTCCTCCTTCAAAGCATGCTTGGGGTCAAACTCGATAAAATATTCTCGATATGATGCTTCAGCATTTCCACCAACCTGCGGCGCATCTGTGTAGAGTGGGCCATAGTAGCACCCACGCGGCAGTGGAAATCCAGCTTCATCGTTCGTCCACATTTCAAGAAACAAGCTCCCGCAAACAGCCTGACTCAAGCCTTCAGCCGACACCGTCTCATTGTCCTCCATCTCTGCACCTGCAAAACCTGTTCGACTGGTCTTCAGCGGTAGAATCACACTAGGGATTTCCCTCAGAAGGATTCGGAGGACGATGGCGGTGTTTCGCAAGTAGTCCTGCTTGCCTCTGGTGGGTGAGAAGGATATAATGACTGGAGCCTCAACCCCACTCACCAAGCTCGTGAAATATATGCCCGCATCCGCCATGGGGGCAGGATGGCGAAAGGTCAGGACGCCGGATTGGCTGTAATACTCCTGCCGCATTGGAGAATCATGCATGCAAGTGTTGTGCGTGTCTTGCATCGGGGTTTGAATGCAAGGCGTGAAGCGCTACCCAGCTGTAGCATCTGAACAGAAACTTTCCCTCCTAGACCCTCTGCGTTACTATGCGCGTGCTTGGATCACTGCACCGAAGGGTTCGGGATGTCTGGGCGACCTTCATGAACTTGTCTCAGCCTTTCAGATGTCTTGGCTGCGTGCCCAGCCAGCAAAAAGGTGAGGGGCTGATGCTGCTCGCAACTTGTGGCCGCCGGTGATGCTGAGAGCTAGAGGCTCGGGACAGCAGGGTAGTGGGACCATGGACAGAGAAGTCTTTCTCCCAATAAGTGAGCAGGTTGCCAACTGTCGTCCAAGTGCGGTTTGTTGGGCGGTAATGCGGGAGCGATCTGCAGAAGTTCAGTGAGCACCTAATGGCCCGGGAATCCGGGAAAGCACAAGCCACTGATTCGCTTCTTAAACGTGTGTGTCTTGTGTCTGTGTTTTGTTCCTCAAACGCTGAAGGGCGAAATGACGGGTGACGTGTACAGCGAACCATCTGCCACTGAAACTTCTGTTGAAGACTTGATGGCCAGCTTCATGAAACTGAACCAAAACTGGATCGAAACTGGGCCGAAACTGGATCAAGACTGGATCGCCACCATCCGTGTTTTTGCATGTAATATATGACTCTTTTAAATTGTTTTACGAATACCATCTACTTTTTCTCAAGAACAATAACTTTTTAAACAACACCATGCATGTCTCCTCAAAACATACATTCATTTCGAGAGACAAAATTTTGTAAATACGATTTCCTGGGTGCCGAAATATGTTGCTTTGCTTTTTGGAAAACATCAAGAGCCAGCCCAGAAAGCAACGCAAAGCAGAGGTGTTTGATAGATATCATCCAAGTCCCTCAGCCCGAAACCCTTAACCCCCCCCTCAAAAGAAATAATAAATAAATAAAACGAAACCCTTAACACTAAACCCTAAACACTAAGCACTAAACCCTAAACACTAACCCTTAAAACTTAACCCAACCCAAACCCCTTAGCACAAAACTCCAAATACTTAACACTAAACCCTAAACACTTACCACTAAACCCTAAACACTTAAACACTACACCCTAAACCCTTAACCCTAAGTATTAAACATTAAGCCCTCCACACGAAACCCAAAACACTAAACCCTAAACCCTAAACACTAAAGCCCAAGTCGTCAACAACAAGTCCAGAACCTCAAGCTAATTTCTAAACCTGATACCAAAAACCCGTCGGGGTTTCAGATGCTTAGGGTTTGCATTTTGGAGTTTAGGGTTCGCAGTTCGCATTGTGTAGGGTTTTTGCCAAGGCGCTTGACCCTCATCCCTAAGCCCAAAAACTTAACCCTAAACCCTAAACTTAACACTAAACCCTAAAAATCTAAACCCTAAACACAATACACTAAACCCCGAAACTTAAGCACTAAACCCTAAACATCAAACCCGAAACCCGTAACAACAAATCCTGAACCCTAAACCCTAAACACTAAACCCTAAACCCCAAACCAACAACCCGTCGGGGTTTTAGGGGTTTTTTTGCCGCCCGTCTAGCCATGCTCCACAGGGCAACTGAAGAGGGAATGCTGTGTTTTAGGGGTTTTAGAACTTAGGCATTATCAGGTTGAGGGTTTTTGGTATTATCCAAGTCACTTAACCCTCTCTCACTTAACCCTAAACCCTAAAACTAAACGCTAAACCTTTAAAAAAACAAAACCTAAACACTAAACCCTAAGCACCAAACACCAAACCCTGAACCCTCAACACTAAATCCTATTACGTTGTTTTGTTGTTTGAAAGCATCAATAAGTCAGCCCAGAAAGCAACGTAAACCAGAGGTTTTTGATGTATAACTCCCGAAACACTAACCCTTAAAACTTAACCCTAAGCCCTTAGCACAAAACCCCCAAACACTTAAGACTAAACCCTAAACACTTAACCACCAAACCCTAAACACTAAATCCTAAACACTTAACCACTACCCCCTAAACACTAACCCCTAAACATCAAACACTAAACCCTACACACGAAACCCTAAACACTAAACCCTAAACCCAAAACACGAAACCCCAAATCCTAAACAACAAGTCCGGAACCTCAAGCTAATTTCTAAACCTGAAACCAAAAGCCCGTCGGGGATTCAGATGGTTAGGATTTGGGTTTTTTTTTGCCACCCGCCAAGCAGACCCCCTCTGGGATCACTCCGCAGGATTTGGATTTTAGTGTTTAGGATTTGTATGGTTTAGGGTTTAGCCAAGGCGCTTGACCAAATGTATTCTCTTGTATGTTGATTCTGTTGTATAGGATAGGAGTACAGTACACATGCATGTGTCTATACCTTTACATCCATTAACGGTGTCATTTTGTCCTTGAGATTCCGGACTTCCGGAGTGCATATGGAGAACACGGGCCCCGGACTCCAGACTAGTGAATCTGGAGATATAATATAATATAATATAATATGATATAATATAATATAATATAATATAATATAATATAATATAATATAATATAATATATAACATAATATAGTATAGTATAATATAATATCATATAATAAATGTACATACACATATATATATATATATCTATCTATGTCATTTTGCAGGACTTCAGGATGCCCAGACATGACACATCAAAGCAAAGTCACACATGGGACAATCTGCAAGATTCTGTGAGCCCAGGGTGGTGTCTGGCTATGTGCTGCCATAAGCGTGTGCTCAACCAACACCTGGGGGCCTGCGAGCCACCATCAGACGCGGCCCAGCAGATTCTCAAGTCCGCCGCCGCTTCTGCCTTGATCTCCTGGTTCGTCTGCAGCCGATTCCGCCGATGCCAGCCACCTTCTTATCAAACGCGCCCCAGGAAAAGGAGCTACAAAACATATGATACCATGCACTGCTGCGAGCCATGTGCTCTCTCTCTCTCTCTCTCTTCAGGGAGACATGTGCCTTTGCCGTTCACGAAAGTGAAGACAGGCTTGTCTGCTCCTTCCGGCCAGCCCACTGGAATGCTGAGCTTATTGGTCTCGTATACTTGCCCAGATCCCGGAGCCGCATCCAGAAACGAGATACGATTCCACAACATTCGGCTTTTGTCGGGTTCGTCTGCGAAGTTGTAGTACCCTGAGATTTTGGAGACGAGGTACCGCTCCGGCTCTGTCCACATAGCTTGCCCACGGCCGTTAACCAGAATTGTTGCTTCGTCTAGCGTGATCGCATCGCCATCCAACAGCTCTGAAGTCACATCCCCACTGAACACCAAGATTGTCCTGCTTTCTTCCAGAAGAATACTCTCAATGTAAAACCCAGTCATTTCTGAGGATACCAGGAACACAGGGATATTTTCCTCGCCACGAGGGAAGCGACACGACAGGCCATCAACACCTGGACAGCGCAATCGGTACGTATCGAGGACGCCTGACGCAGGGGTGCACGACCCAAAGAGCTACGCAGATCCATCACGGCACTGCCAGCCTCCGGGATTGTTGGCGTTCTCAAAACAGGACTGTGTCATCGTAATCAACCGAAGTGAGTCCTCAACTGCATGCTTCTAATTGCCATGTTGCAGTAGATGTCGGCCGTCCTGTGTTGTAAAGCCCCAGCCGTCCAAGTCAATCCGAACTATGAAATTGGTTGGGAGCTGCCTCAGCTGCACAGATATCACCTAATGTCACACAGAAACTGAAACTTTCAACAGGACCCATCGTCAGCCAAGCTGCACAACTTGGCCCGTTCGGGTACCCTTCACCCTTCAGTACAGGCAGCATGTGGCAGCATGGTCGGCTTACTATTCGTACTACATGGACAAGACGTCATGGCGCGACTTGATTGATGACTGCCAGGTGACATTATCTTTGCAGCCCATATGTAATCGTTCGTGTCTGCGCAGTTATCCTCGCCGTCTAGGAAAGCGCCTCAGGTGAGCCACCCGAATTCGGTGAGACAAGAACACAAGCGTGCATCAACTTGCACCACCTGCACGCAAGGCACAGTAGCAGACTGCATATGTACCGGCTTGCAAAAAGAAGAAGGTCTGATCATTTTCTAAACCTGCCAGGGGCTGCAATACAACTGCAAGTAGACACGGGAAGGCTGCCTTCCAGCAGAGACTGGGACAAAGGCACGCGCCTGTGAAAGGCAAGTACTGCGAGGGTTCTGGACCAACCCAAGCCATGAACTGCTTCGCGTTTTCTTCTGAATTGGGCCCGTTGATCGTTGCTTCGTCGGTGAGGTTGTTGGCGCAGGAGTCCTTGTCGCGATGGCAACGCCACACTCTGGTAGCAAGACCAAACGATAAGGCTTTAGAATGGTATAGCTGAGCAGCATCCAATCCCCTTCTGCCCTTTGCGGTGTGCTCCCGGTCTAGATTCCAAAACTCTTCCATTGTGACCATGGAACCTAGGCAAGGAGCGATGTGTTGACAGCGTGTGAGGGAACAGGGCTTCTCCTATACTGAAACAAAGAAGCCGTCAGGGCGTTCGTAGACTGCCGAATTGTCGAAGGCAAGGAGTTTCAGCGCGGTCTTCCGTCGCCAGGCCAAGCTATCGTAAGGATGCACGCCTCGAAAGCTGACGAGCATGCTATTGAAGGTTGCCAGAGCTAAGCTAGGTCCGCTCACAAGTTTACAGCCTCGCTTAGAGGGCCTGGGAATTCTGTTGTGTGAAAACCTTCCCGAGTCTGTTGGATCACAAGTTCGCTTGTGCGCCGAACGCTTTCTAGCAGAGGGACCCGTTCACGATGTTTCATTGGAGTTTAACATTGAAAATATTGGTGAAAACGCTGGATATCGAACCTGTTATGTTGATCACGTATCACAAAGATAAAGTTTCTGTTATCGTGGGAGAATTGACATGTCCATCAATCCAACAGTATATATTTGTGAGATGACGGCCGAAATACTTGCTTGTGTTTGTGAAAGATAGAAATGCAGGTTGTGTTGTTCTTGGAACAATCACCATGATCAAAAACACTGTCCAAAATTGACAAACTTCAGACGCATTTTGAAGCAACAAGCAAATCAAGTTGCAAATAATATCCAAATAATGGTACAATTAAATGACAAACAATACAAATCCAACTTTCTGTCAACCCATATTGGGAACAGTTTAATGGCCAATAGCAAAAATGAAAAGACATTATTGCTGCAAAAGCCAATAAAAACCCTGCAATCATTTTATATCATCAATAATCCCACCAAACGTCCAATCTCATCCTATAAATGCAGGACGAGCCAATGGTTTTCAAAAGCCAGCAACGGCTCATGCGCCTGCCCTATGCGAGCGAACAATTTGAGTGATGTGTGTAGCCCACATCCGAGGGGTTGTTCCGTCCGCGCACTTCTTGCATACAACACTGTGCTGCATCAGTTCAGCCATTCTTAAAGCCCGGGGACTAAGTAGGCTACGTCCCCCTGCGCTGAGCATGCGACCTTCTGATATGTTTGAGCGAATTCCGCCGAAAAGCCTTAGCTTCTCGGGCTTACAAACATGACGTGCCACCTGTCTGACAGCGAAGTGTCTTTTCGATGCTTGCCGTGGCGCGTGAGGCCACCGGGCTTGGTAACATATTCCACTGTCTCAATCGGCTGGATGAGTTGGAACTGCTCAAAGGGCTTGGACCACCTGTCGTATTTCATACCAAGGGGCAAAACTAAAAACGTCAGGGCTCTTTGCTCATCACTATGTTCTGACTATACTCGTCTTTATAGTATTTTTCTATTATTGTAGTATAATCATGTTTTGCTCAGGAGCCAGGGGCGGCCTTGCCACACCTGCCACGTCCGCAAATCGGATTCGACCCACTTCGAAGTAATTGTAGAAGTTCCAACCTGGGCACCGAGGAAGCAGAGTTACAAGCAAATTTGAGTGTCTTTATCGCGATTAAAAAACACTCAAATTTGCTTGTAAAGAGTTCCATGCAGTCGATTGTATGGCACAGCTCAAGCCTTCAATCTTTGTGGAGGTATCTCAAGAAGCCCTGGGAGCCTGCCAAGAGGCATTCTGCGTCACAGTAGCAAACTTGCACCTGCTCGCTCATGGGCAACCTTCCTTGGGTGGCGAAGACACAGATGCCCATTGACCAGCTCTTTGACACTGAAACGATTCCTTGAACATCTTCATCCATCCATATCCTGCAAGGGGCCTAGAAGGCTCGGGTCATCCCAGAATTTGAAGTCGCGCCTGTCGCCTGCCAGGATACGGGCACACGTGCGAGCTTCTCTGTCCAACTGAAATCGGCCACCTCCGTAACGATATGTGGCGCGATCTACTTCAACCCCATTTTCGTCATACTGCGGAGGGTCGAAGAACAGCTGCTCGCTGACCTTTTTGCACCCGTCATGAGGTCAAGACAATATTCCCGCCCTTCTTGTGCCAGGAAGCCGAATCCCCAGCACGGCAGCGCGAGTTTTGATCCCAGATTGGCAAGTTGTTGATTGCTTCACCCATCGCGCAGACGGAACAGGTGCCAGGAATGAACTTGATTCTGTTCCTCAGCTTGGGGAAACAGCGAGAAAGGTCGCCTTCAGCAGCCCGAGGCAAAAACGAGCTGCATGCTCTCTCCACCTCAATACCCCGCTAGCAACATAAAAAGTGTAAACGCATGAACGAATGATTACAAAGAGTGAGTGACATGCACTAATTCCGAGAGGACCAAATAGTAGACCTCAAAACACATCCCTTTGTTATCTTGTGTCTTTATTGTTCATGTAATCCGTGCGCTCATTCTCTTCTTTCACTCGCTGATTCATTACACTCTAGTTCGTCCAATTTCATGGGTCTTGTAGTAGTATTCTTTATGGGCCTTTTCTTTGGTTAGTGTATACTAAGCCCGTACAACTTTCTAAACTTTAAAAACTTTGAAATTACTTTAGACACGAAGTGAGCTCACTTGTAATAAGACTACTATAAGTGAATGAAACAAGCTATAATCAGTAATAATGTGCATTCATGAACATTGCATTATGAATATAGTCTTCTTGGAATTTCTATTTGCCTTTCCTATTTTCGTGCATTTCTATTTCTTATCTCCATTCGCTTCACTCATTTTAATGAACAACTTATAAACTCACAGACTATAATGTAATATTTAATGCATCCGTTTCATTTACTAGTTTACAAGGAATATTTAAGGGCCCAATTACAGTATTGTTCGCACATTTATTGTTGCAATTTCCCTCTTGATAATATTTACAAGCGAATAGTACTTGATTTCTAAACCACGAAAAGACCAGTAAGAATCCTTTAAAATTATCAAGTTTAGAAATTTCGTATTTCATATCTTTCTTACTCCTTTTTTTATGTCTTTCTATTGAATTCAAATCTTTAATAGGGGCTCACGGCTTGGGAAAAGAAGTATACTAAATACATATAACACCATCGATTAATGATTTCACAGGCTAACTTGATATTTGTATCGCCCGTGCACATTCATATAATCATTTCTGTATCCTTCATATTCATATCTGTCTTCTAATTCTGATTAATTATTGCCATTTTAATGCTGTTTGGTACAATTCTGTTATGTCTTTCTCACGGTCCAGTAGGTGACAGGCGCTTCCAGAATGATATTGTTTGAGCAAATCCGCAATCTATTGTTCTTCAATCTCGGTTAATTAACTCAATAGTTCTCGTTTACACCCAAAATTTCTAGTTCACCAGGTAGAAGATCAAAGGGACGTGGTAATAGAAATAATATCACTAACAATAGACTCCTACAGAATCGTAAAGATGTAAGGGCCCAACAAAAGTGTTATACATAGCGGCCCTTCACACACACCAAAAACAACTTGTGAAACGAAACCCTCACTACATTCCTTCGCTATGTCGAGCTCAGCCACTCCGACCTTCCCAAGCAAGAGGTGCCACCCGGAGGGCACTGCAAGCGCAAGGCAAAGGGCTGCTGCGGCAGCACACGCAGGAAGGGCTCTGCCACAACACCACAGGATGCAGTCCCACCAACGTCACCTGTGTAAGTAGAGTCGACCGCAGATACCCCCACCTTAAAATATCTCACAAGGTTACACTCCCAAGCATTCCTGGAGTTTCCGATCATGCCCAAGCTTGCCCTTGATGAGTAGCCCAGATGTTGAGGGCAGGGAGTTCTGAGGTTGGGGTTCTGTGCTAGTCCGGCACTGGACCGCAGTTCACCTTGTTTTGACACAAGCCGCCAAGTGGCAGACCCTTAATAGCCAGTAATACAGCACGCCAATTTGCTGGATGAACTCGCTGGCCTCGCGAGCCCCCAAAAACAAACTTGCAGTTCGTAAGTGATGTGGGCTGCAGCATGAAGTCAACAACACTTAGCTAAGTGGCATGGTCGCACGGGTCGTTCGTGGCATCAACGGGACCATCATAACTGGGGCAGTAGCACACTGACATGGTGTAGCCGTCTGTGGCAACTTCTCTGCGGATTGCGGGCATCTCCAGTGCTGTGAACGCGTCGGTAATGAAGCCCATGCCGGTCGGAGGTGCCCAGGTGAAGTCCGTAAAGATAGCTGTTTCAGGCATGATGTACTCTGCAGTCACCACATCAGAGCAGCGCTTCGGGGGTGCAGGGATGAAGTTCCCAAAAAGGAAGGTGTCTCGATCCCAAGCTGCTGTCCACGACGATTTGCTGGAAGAACCTGCTTCGACCGTCCAACCCTCCCGGCCACCCCCAAAAGCACGGAAGTCGATCAAGCAATTGCTCGTATCCTCTCCGAAATATGAGACGTAGCAATCCCAGCGCTCTTCTGCGATACACCCACTTCCCAGGCATGCTGATGCGACTCCTATGACTCGTATATCCACTGGAATGATGGTATTCAGAAGCTCGTTGCCTGTCATGCTCCCATCTGGGCTGTAACATACCTTGTAGTACCCACCATTCATGAAGGTCAAATGCGGGAAAATGGTCACTGCTCCCAGGACCGTGTCATCGGCTGTTTGCGAACTCAATCTCAACAGCCTAAACAAGGCTTCTGCACAGAACCATTAGTGAACGACAGGCTTGAATTCAACACTTCGAAACAGCGCCTCCCGTCAGCCAGGGCAGATGGTCCATATGTGGACTCGAACCTTGGGGTAAAACGCATGGGCTGCTGCAAGCTTGAAAGTTCAAGCCCGCAGCCGATACAAGACAACATAAGAGGCGTCGAAGTCGCGACGAATTCCGCACGAATGCCATGGGAACTGCGTAGGATTGCCTGCATGCAGCAAACAAATCCCCTACCTAATCTGCGAAAATGCGTGCGTGACTTCAACTTCTATCTGGCTGACATGATCTACCCGAATCCATGTGCCTGGCACAGGACTCACGCTCCTGGATACTGGCGTCCACCATCTTCACTACGGCCTGCTGTGGTACTGCTACAGGGACAGCCTCAAATACTGCAGCTCGCCCGTTGCCTCTTGGTGATCAATGCCAAAAGCAAACTCGGAAGGCACGCTAACTGCGATCATGCTGTACCTCGGCAGAAGTAGGACTCAGCAGGACGCCCTCCAGCTCTGCACTGGCTCAACTTCCAGAAAAGTCGCCTATAACCGGCCAACGCGACCAAAAACGAAGAGGCTGCCCCGCTGCCAAAGACAAAATCCTGAGAAGACAACTTTGAGGCGATATGACGTAATCGGAAATCACGTCTCTCGCTCACTGCTCTACCCGGTCCTGCAACGGGCTTTGGAACTCCAGGCGTGTGCCAGTTGGGAACTCCCATCCCTTGGATGCCACCACGGACTGCACATGTCTTAAGCCATCCGAACAGAGCAGACAAACTGCACAAGCGCTGCGCAAGACTCGTCCTCCGGAATTATCGACTCCTGCTCCGTATCTTGAAGATGCCGAACGCCCGCTTCTGCCTATGGCTGCGCAGCAACCAACATGCAGAAGTACACCCTGCGATTGCTCCAGTCGCTCTTACAAGCGCGGAACAACTCACCACGTAAAGGTACTACGTCACGCCTTCGATTCTTTGGAATGAAGATGCTCCCATGCCCTGGTTCAGTGCGAAATAAAGGCTTGTGATGCAGCAAGCTGCGTCAAAGGCCCGCCTTGATAAATCTTCGGCATCAACTTGCGAGTACAACTGTCTACCTCCGGCCTTGCCAACAAGAAAAGAGGGCAACACCACCGAAGCTACTCACCTGCAAATGGCAGCATTGTCCTTATTTTCGAACCGCGGACTGGGGCAAGGTCAGATCTCAGCTTCGCTCAGCCAGTTTTGGCGATGAAACTGAAACCTCCGGCGTCTTCTTGGCGGACACCACCAAGGCATGCCGTCGCTCTACAGAAGTCAGCAACTGCTCTGACATGTCGTCATGCGATGGCAGCGCACAGTATCAAAGTATCAAAAAATGTGGGCAAAGTGGCTATGGCACCTATTCCTAGATGCCATGCCCACATTGCCAACACACGTGACCAACCCTCGTTTGGCCAGGACGATCGGTTTTTTTGCCAGGTTTTGCCTGCAAGTGCGAACGCCGGCGGGCCGGTCAAAACCACGTGCCAGATTTTGCAATTCTCGAATTATGCTACGTGAGGCCTTCAGCAGCATCGGCCGCATTTACAGGACAAGTGGGTGCAACTGTGCTTCTATGAAAATGCCACTGGTGCTGCACGTCTCTGGGCCTCTTTATTCATATGGAACGGTTCTTCCACAAGCTGCATCCAAGAGCTCAACTTTGTCGTCAATCACAGTTGGGTCCACGCAGCAGATGCTGAGGAGAGGTTGCTCAGCATGGTCCTGACAATCCGAAAGGGAAGGTGAGGAAGGTCTTGTGCTTGGTGGGTGCTGCTCAGCAACCTTTCAGGAGGTGGCTTGGGGGAACGTGGAAAACATTCGTTTCAGCTGGTCAAGCTGGTTACTTGCTCTGCCCGGCCCTGACAAGTCGTACCCGGCTCCAGCGCTGACACCCATCACACCCCAATGTCCATAGCTTATCCCTTCTTTCTCAATCGGCTGACTAGCGTTCCGCACGTGCTGCCGCAGCTTCCCTTCCCTTCCTTCTTTCTGCATGCTCTCTTTCACTCTCACTCTTACTCTAGCTCTCACTCTCGCTCTTGCAATCTTGCACTCTTGATCTGCTTGTCTAGACCTGCATGACTCATGGAACCGGCTCGGTTACTTCTGTCCTCCATCACTTTGGGCAGGATCTCTTGTGACTCTTTGACACGACTCCTGCAGTTATTCGCTGGTAGGTCACTTGGCTTTCAAGCAGAGGCTCGGGCTATTCCTTGCTGACTCTAGCTATGCTTTTTTGCGTGAGCAGCTTCAGCATCGCCTTCAGCTCTCTACAGTAGGCCCCAGCCACCAGAAATGTCCAAGAGTCCATAACAGCGTCCAGGATATGGCTATCCAACACAGAACGCAGGCATGTGTTCTCAAGTCAAGCGTCTGGCACTCTGCAAGTGCGCATGTTACACACACGAAAACGAGGAATGCCGCGACGACGATGCTCACAGCACCTGAGTCGGCGGGAGCGGTGCAGTCTGCAGAATGTCCCGCTTTGCCGCGTCCATCTACTGGCAAGGCCCCTGCCGAAGAAAAGCTCCTGAGCCGCATTGGCAGCTGTACATCTGGCAAGCAAGTCCATCACCTCAGCAATGGACGCACCACTTGAAGGCCATCAGCACAGCCAGAAAGCTAGACTCTGGCAGAGCCTAGATGCCATCTGCGGCAGCAAAGGCCCCAGAGAGTTGCCAATGAAGTTGTTGGCACCCTGCACAATGCCAACGCCCAAACTCCGCACATTCTCGTTCTCCACAGAGTTGTTGCAGACAATCCTTGGCAACTTGCAACGGTTCTACGATCCTCCACGTGGGCCATGCTGTCTTGGCCAAGTCTCTGAATGAGCCCCGTTGTTGCAGCAAGGCCCATGCAAAGCACAACGATGCCGCCCCAGGTCAGAGCCAACGTTGCCAAAGCAGGAGACCCCGTCTGAAGCAGCTGCACAAGCAGTCCTGTCGGAGCCAAAACGCAGATCTAACAGCCAAGGAGTAAAGCGGAGCTCTCGGGCCGAACAGCCTGCGACAGTCATCAGCGCACCCAAGCATGAAGCTGCCATCGCTTTCTGCAGGAAGATGAGGATGCGATGAATGTCGTTTCCCTGCTCTATGTTGCTGCTGAGCGCTATTCCAATAGCACCGCCTGCCAGCCCGACAATGACTGAATAGACAACATGAAAACAAGACGCAAAGATGAGGCTCTGGTGTCGAACCGAGGTTGCAAAGGGCCTTGTTAGCTTCAACAGGGGCGGAGATGTGTTTCGGGCTTCACTATTTGTCCCCTGCAGTGAAATACCGAGGTGCCTGACCATGGCGAAGGTGATGTTTCTTTTCCCGGCTGCAGAACATGGACACAGCCCCCCAAGAGCAAGCATGCCCGACTTTGAGACAAAGCAGAACCAGTGCGGAGGATGGGGCAAGCAGCCCCTTCATTTGCAAACATATCCGACAACCATTTGTACTACGCTCAGCCCCATTTGCGCAGTCATAACGATCACATGATAAGCACTGAAGGATTGATGTTGGATCCAAATGAATTCATATAGTTATGCTCATGGCCTGCTGTCCTTCGAAGCAAGCATGTTTCGTTACATGTATCGAATGTTTTCACCCTGAACCTGGCGCTAGCAGCTGTGCCGCGGTGCTCTGGCGTGACATCTCCACGCTCCATTGCACTGTTGCTTTGCTGCGTCGCCCTATTAAAGCCTTCTTGCCAAAATTCTCACATAACATCTTGATTTACCTGCATAGCTCTAATCGAAGATTGGGTACAACCCTACAACCCTCAACATCCCGCAACCTTAAAAAGACTCATACCCCAAAAAGGAAAGCAAACCTTACAGACCATTGAGCCCGTCTAAACCGCAAAATCCTACACGCTAACAAGAAGCCTACACACAGTCTCTTGACCTCAGCTGCCTTTTTTTGGACCCGTACCTTTTGCAACCAGGCCGCTAAAACTGCACATTTTGTCTTCCTCTATGCTTTATGTTAACTTTGTCTGGGATGGTCAAACTCATATGCTCTATTCTTAGAAGGACGCCTCCATTTCCATGTGTTTAGGCGGGAAACATCTGTTTCCTTTACAGTACAAAATACTTGAAAAACCTTAATTTCCTCTATATGGGCCCCCTCCCCCTCCTTCAAATAGGCTAGGCAAGCCTCCGTTTCCTGTGTATGTTGAGAGGAAAACTTCTGTTTCTACTTTAATCGGTTTCTTTTTCGTCTACTCGGAAACCCTCTATATTTTGAGAAGAGGACGTGCAACCCAAAAAGTCTCAGTTTGGAATGTGGGACCATGGAAGGACTCATTGGAACGCACAGACATTCTACCACTACGGCCTTCTAAACCTTTTGAAACGCGCAATCGGTGCTTCATCCTGTGTTCTGCATTGACTTGTTCTGAAGTGTCAGTACTGTTGTGTTCCACAACGACTCTCAAAAGGCAGAACTTCCCGCAGCGATGGCCTCCACCGGTTATCGCCAGGAAGCTTACAACCGAAATCTGCTTCTCCATTGTCCAGAGTTGGATGAAAAGGCGAATCCAAATGAAAGCAAGACCTGCATTGATGTAGTTGGAAGTGGCAAACGCGACAGTTGCCCGGCAGAACAGCGTGTTCTGCCAAAGTAGGGTCAGCTGCTCATGAAACGGCACGTCCTCTGCGATTCTGATGGTGTTCAACAAATTGCCGGGACGGGCTCGCGGAGTAGAAGGCTGGCTGGTTTCCACGTTGTCGCAGTTTCCGTCTGGCACATTGGAGTTGGAAATCTCAGACATAGCACGCAGGCGCTTCTCCTGTGGTCAGGAGGACTGCTTTTGATGATCAAAACTGGCTTTTGGCCAATGCTTGGAGAGGTCAAAGCTGGATATGATTCTCTGCTATTTGCAACCAGAACTCTGAATGAACGATCTCGTCTTTGACTGCCGTCCCTTTCTCAGCACCTTGCTGACTCACTGTCTTAAGGGCAGCCAACTTCGAAAGCTTTGGAACTGAGCGGCTCAGACAGTCTCAGCTCTGCACTACTAACTGCGAGGTCACTGGCGGGCGTCAGTATCATCGCTGCCAGCAGCAGGAACAAAAAACACGCCTGGAGGTGTGCTCAGGGCAAGCGCACTTCTACACTTCTAGCAGCTCCACTGGCTGCAACGGCACCTCGATCTGGAAAGGAATTGCATAGGGAAGGCTATGTGCTGTGCTGAAGCCGGCAATTAATATGCCCAGGCCTGCCAATCAGAACAAGTCAATGGTCTGGACAGTTCAATACTTGCAACCCCTCTTGACATGACATCCCAGCCACAAAAGAACTGCAGCTCATACCTCGCACGCGTTAGTTGCAGACCCAGCGGCCACTGCCGACACCGGCTGCCACGCAGCCGGACAGATTGATCCACAGCGGCAACTGTTCGGCCGTAGCGCACTTAACGACCCAAAGCGGCATCCACACCTCAAGTTGGACTAAAGTCGGAGAGCTGCAAAGCCACTAAGGGGCTCTGCGTCCCCGGCACTGGCCACTAAGAAACACCCGCAGCGGCTTTTGCCCGACGCTCCGACATTGTGACGTTGTACAGACACATGATGGGCCATGATGGCGAAGGCCGCAAAATCAATTAGGTTGGGAGCAAGAGTGGGCTACTGTAGTGCGGGACCCCGTGCCTTGTGATGCGGGCACGTTTGCATACTTGGACTTATCGAGGCGATTGGGCCGCCATGGGGCGGCGATGACGTCATGAGGTGGCGAGACCATGCGGGCTGAAAGGGAAAAAACACGCCCAACAAGATTTTGTAAACAAAAACACACAACATCCAGGAGCAAGGCTACACCATGTCAAGCTTAACATGTGCGATGCTGAATGCCAGGTCTCCCATTGAAGTCCCTCAGACAGGCCGATCAAGAGCTTTGCCGTGTACATCACATAGCCTTGGCAAAAGCTCACGCAACAGAGCTCCCGCGGTTTTGGCAAACCAGCTGGGCGACAATTCATGGTTACTGAAAAGATAGCGACCGCGACAGCGTTCACCAGAAGACCTAGCTCAAGAGGCCCAGGGCCCAAAGTTTCTCAAAGAGAATTGCGATGCCCAATGAGCCCACTGTTGTGCACATGGACACAAGGACACCGAGCCTGTCGTGAGGAGTAGCTTCGCAGGGACCATCTGCAGCACATAGCCCCAAACCCCAGCTGACAATGTCATTCCAATCCTAGGTGCTGCACAAAGCCGGTGAAAGGATGGCAAGTGCATCAGATGTGCGGTGCTTCGTGGCCCTGGGTTTCTTGCTTATCCATCGCGCCAAGAAGACCCAGCCCTGTCCGACTCCATCCACCAGCCTGGACTAGCACACGCCCCTGCTTGCGGGGTGCAGCACTGGACTGTCGGGAATGTCTAAGGCCTTCTGGATCGTGTCCACGGTGCCAGCAGTGGCACCACCGTTGTATGCCATGAAGATCGGCACCCCCATGCAGAAGAGCCAGAAGATGACGACTTCGATCTTGAAGCATTCCATGGTGGCACCAGGGAGCCATCAGCGACGAGTGAAGGAACGTTTTCGCAGCTCTGAGCGAGATCCAACTCTAAAGTAGTCAATTCATACTGTCGTTCAAGCTTTCGTTTTAGCCGTGCTCGGTCCTTCGGTTGCCCTAGCTGCCTAGCTGCTTCACACCGGCCTTGCGATTTGCATTGCGTCATATTGCATCTGTCAACATCTAACATCTGGAGAAAAAACTGCAAAGGTACGTGATGCAGTTCCTGGGACGTGCTTTTTGATGGCGGACGCAGGCTCGGCAAGGACAAAGCAAGAGCGTCGTGGCCTCGATGGTTGGAATCAAACAGCAGAGTGACGATACCACGATCCAGGTCAGACCTGCCAAGTGCGACCTTTGGGCATGGAAGCGTCAAAGCACTGTCGTCACTGCCTCGTCTGCACATCTCCCTGCATCATCCACAGCGAGCAAAGAACATCTCAATGGCCTGCCACATTTTGCATTTTGCATACCCGGCATACCCAGCCCCACAGAAGACCGAAGCTTCCAAAACGCACTGCTGGCAGTGTAACAAGAACATGAAGCACAAAACACATGTGTACAGAAGCATGCTAAGTTAATGCTAAGCCGAGGAACTCTGAGAGGCATCATGGCGCTCAGCCGTCGATCAGAAAGCCCCGCAAACACCATCTAAACCCCAGATGTTCTGTCAGTTCTGTCCTCTCACCGCGATACTACTGTTTTTGGACCCGTGCTATATCGTGCTATGCTACTGCCTGAGACCGCAATACTACTTCAAAGCTGAATTGCTGACTGAGTAAATTCGAAAGCGTTGCAGGAGCTACGCGTTTCCTTCTGGAAAGCGCTCCGCTCTCCCCAAACTACGGAAGCTGCGGTGCTGCGAGCATCAAGTCGAACCATCCGAAGCTTACGGCACAAATCTGCGGGCAATGACCTGCCCCTTCTTAATACTTGCCCTCTGTACACCTTCAGCATGGCCACCTACATTGTGAGCTTCGTGCGGGCGGTACTCCCACTCTCTTTAGGGCGGTGCGTCGCAAACCTCCTCCGTGCGAAGACGACGAAGGTCTTACACGACCTGCAGCGTGCTGCGCAGCCTATGAGTCGACACAAGCTGTGTGTGCTCCATACGGCGAAGCAGCCACCGAATCACTGAAACATGAGGGTGCTGGGCTGCTGCAGAAAACTCCTGCCCCACCTGGCCTGGAAGCCGTGAAGGCTGCGCGTGAGGCCATGGCATGCTCGAAACTCCTTGGCCCCACGAAAGTCAAGAGAATTGTCACTGAGGCGAGTGCCTGGATGGCCACTTAGACGTGATGACTGTGGCTTCCAATGAGAAAATGTGCTCTTGCTGTTGCCCTGACCGGCTTCTTGACAGTGAAGTGACACAAACTGCAAAAAGACATCTGAAAAGCTGTCGCGCCGAAGTACTGCATATTACTACTGAATCTTTGTGTCTTCATGCGAAAACTTAAGCATCGTGTTCGGAGTTCAGACACTAGCGCGGGAAGGTATGGGTTGGTGCGACCGAACACATCCGCAGGAACATTGAACAGCAAAGACCTCAAAAGTCAAAGAGATGTTGAAGAAACAAACGGCAACCAGTATGCATTTGGCATCTACGAAAGACCATTTCATATATCGAAAGCACGTCTTAAGTCGCTGTGAAACGTGGGGCACACACGCAAACCAAGCAGGACAGATGGTGAGGGCAAGCCACACATCAGCTGGTCCGCCACAACCTTCGCCGCCATGGCAGGGCACGCAAGCGTTGAATGCCGAAACAGCGTGACGACTGCATACAAGGCTCCAAAAGTTGTTCGACCAAGGATGATTTTTTTCTGCTCACAGCACGTGCTTGGGTGCAGATTTGGCCTTGGAACGGCTTCTCCGTTTGAAGGGTGCGCTGCTTGCATGGAGAGGAGCGTGCGCTAGTTTCTAACCCCCCTCGCTGAGGGAAAGCCTTGGCGTAGCGATGAACACGGATGCTTGGTACCAGTTCAATGTGTGCAGCGTGAAGAGGCATTGAAGTTAGTTGAAAGAGATGGCTAAAGAATAAAGAGCGAATGCAAATGTCCAAACCGAAAGATGAACATAGGAAACCAAGGGAGTATAGAAGGTAGTGCACGGACAAGGGCTAGGAGAACGTGACTTCCCACATTGCAGAGAAGCCTGCAAAATGCAGTGCAAGTCAGAATGTCGGTTCGTTCCTCAAAAACAGAACGACATGCTTAGATGTCTTGAATTCAATCACAAAGCTGAGACCAAACGGGCGATTGACTTCATGGCACATGCACCCTAGCACCTCCGCCCCACCGCACCAAGAGGGCCTTGCGAGTCTTGAGGGAGGCCATAAAAGACTTGGGGAAGAAGATGAAGAAGCAATCCTTGCACCCATCTCAGGAACGGTGCCTTTTTCTGGAACCAGAAGTCGCTCAGTTAGGAAAATAGGCATCGAGCGAAAACGGTTGAGAAGTCCTTCTGCTGCTTTGGACACGGCGAGATCTGCAGTGAAAAATTTGTGCCACGCTGTGTGATGATCCCTCAGAAGGCCCCTCGCGAATCTCGGCTCTTTGTATATGATGATTATTCTTTATTTGTAATATTTGTAGATTCTACTGTTGCTGCGCAATGCTCTTCCTGCACCCTCTGAAGGACTTCCCCGCGGCGTCCCGGTGTGGGAGCCAACCGGCCTACAACAGCCTGCGTTCACCGATTTTCAGACTATGTGCCCATGCTTCCGCAGCAGGTCCTGCAATCGCTACGATGATTGCCCTAACCAATGATGAGCATCCGTCAACATACTGGCACCCAGTTCACGTCCTCCGCATATGGTCTCCAATACTCAGCAGTGGAAACCCTCACACCGAAGGCCAAAGCTGTGCTGCGAAGTGTAACCTTAGATTCTCGAGCGTATGGGGCACAGTCAGTCACCGCACAGAAACCCTACCTCATCCACCTTCTGTGGCAATCTCAGGCAAGATTCTGAACATCTGCACGCAAGATAGTAACCCTCAGGAAGCGCCAGTACCGGGTCCTGAAGCCAATCATCGACAAGGGATGCACCAGAGTTGTCGACATGTTTCGACGTTCAGTTGGTGAACTTGTCGGATCAACCTGGGTTAAACTGAGTCATTCTGCTGAAATCTACTGAACCAGTCCGGTTGTCTTGACAACATGTTCACAAAATGTTGTACACAGGTTGACTGAGTTTTCTCATCCCTCGCCTGGCGGGATTCGTTCCGGTCACTCTCTTTGGTGACTTGCCAGGTGAAACTAAAGGGGCCACAGCCCTGCAGGTCTTCTGCAGCTGCATGTGTCTATGTGTCTAGAATCTGCAATGCCATGAGGCCCTCACGAAGCCCTCACAAGCTCATCCGAAGAGCGTCCTCAGACGCCGACGTGGCTTTGATCAGCGCAGGCCAGTACACGTCTTCCCAGCTCCTCAAGGTCGTGGACAGTTGCTGTATGTGATATAACTGCTTCTGCATGTCCAGAGCTGTGGCGGAGCCCTTGATGGCCATGCAGCCATCCACAAAGCGATCAATTTCCACTTCCTCGTTCTCGTTCGCGACAATTCTGAAAAGGTACTCTACATCATGTACGCTCACCCCCACGCTGGACATGTACGCCACAATCCGAGGATTCTTCATGCATTTCAAAAACTCATCGAAAGAGATGAGGCCTGAAGCGTCGAGGTCCAGGCATGCGAAGAGATAGCGCAACTCATCTGCCTGCTCAAGCAGCTTCTTGCGTTCCTGCAAGATCTGCTGCTCTCGGTCCGGCATGTTTGCTGCAACCGCCCTTTCTACAAAAATCCCAGTCAGAATGTTGTAAATCGCAAAGGCGAAGAAGAACGTGTAGGCCAAGAACAAGTACTGGTAAATGCCAGTTGGTTCAAGAAGATCGAAATATAGAGCCCAATCATTCCCACCCGTCACGGCCATGTACAGGGACAGCATGGTCCGAATGACAGAGCCAAAATGGTCCCTGACCTCAGCAGATGTGAATGGCATGTGAGCCCGGGGAAGCAGTCAGGTCAGAAGTCTGCATCACTCGTTCATGCACAAGTATGCAAAATCTCTCAGCGCCAGGAGGACCGGCCTCTACAGTCTCAACACTCGCACTACAGGGCAAGGTTTCTTGCTGGACTCTGCAGGATCTGATTATCCTCGCGACTCGTTGCTGCTCATCAGCTGCCATTTCTGCATCCGTCAAAGCATCAGACACGCCTTGCGAAAAAAGAAGCGCACCTGAGCTGCCAGACACGGGACTCTGCAGGCGCGGATGCGGCACGAAGACTTGGATCTGGCATGCAATGGGCATGTGGTCCTCCCATCCCCCTTTTGATTTTTGCCATCGAAGGTGCTCATGTAAAGGAGGAAGAGCGTCAGCACAAGGCTCCAAAACATTGCCGCAATGCACGAGCGAAAACTTTCCATCATCATGGCCAACTCCTGAACAATTGCTGCTCGTGCGACACAACAGAAGACGTGGTCTGAAGTCAATAGCGAACCTGCTACAGTTCTTGTTTCCGGGTCTCCTCTGACCCCGCCATTTAATCCTCTACAGGTTCATGGTCATACCCCGCATGTCATGTCGCGTGTGAGAAAAAGGGACTGTTGACAGAAGCCCGAAACTCAGAGTTTGTGTTTAAACTTTTCAACTAAATTAAGGACCAAATCAAAATGTTCTAGTCCTCAACAATACAATTATGTGGCCCAAGCCTTCGGCAATGCAATCCATTTCAACACTTGCCGACCCCCAGACAAATACTTCGAGAGCAGGACGGACGAAAGCTAGGTCCCCAGGATGGGCTGTCTTGTCCAGTTTCCGAAGTAAATATCCTCGCACATGTCCCTACAACTTCCAAGGTCATATCCTTCCGCAAGTGTCCCCCATGTGTCCCGACGGCTTGGCACGGCTTCTCTCAAGAATCGCGTGACATATGCTCTTGCAGCCAAGAGGCTCGAAATGCAGTGATGACCCGAAGGCTTCGAAGAATTGGAGCAAATTTGAACAATCGAAAGACACGCCTTGAATGACTCTGCAGCACCCAGCCCCACACCTTTTTGTACGGCCCGCCCGGAGTGACAAAAATAAACTTTCAGAGAAGGCCAAGCATCAAGTACATAATAGTTCCATTGCCATTCTTGCCCGCAGACCAGCTCAACGACAGCTCGAGGAGGCTGAACACGACCAGCGCGAAATCCATCCAGTTCCTTCTATTTGTGCTCTGCTTCTGCTGCTTGCTTGCAAAACAGCGCCATGTTCCAGTGATGTTTACCAATTGGCACTGATGTTAGATGCTTATCAGAGGCTTGAGCCTGGGGGACATGCTACTTGTGCCAAGAAGCCACATTGCATTTTCATTGACAAAGAAGTACAAGCGATGCACCCACAGGCGTAATCCAACCTCCAGAACGAAGAAAACCTGTTTCATCTCCATGGGCGAAACATGATGCGCAAGGACGATGTGATGTGATTCTCGTGCTGACCGAAGCAAAAACCGCCAAGTTGCGACGAATGCCAGGTCAGCGTACTCAAAGGTATCAGGGATTCCTTCCAAAGCGCACTGCGCGCAGATCCAGGTAATCATCAAACCCGGACGCCACGAGTCAAAAAGCGCCTGCCTTCCTGCGGATGCTGCAAGATCCAATCCTAAGCAGGCAACGTGTCCGGAGGCGAATTCCCTCATCAAACAAACTATTTTACTTCGGACATCCCCACCCTCTCTGGGAATAGATACTCTGGGGTTGGGCACTCCAGAAGCTAGGCGCTCCAGGGACACTTCAGGGTCGGGGCACTCCAGGGACACTCCGGGTTGGGCACTCCAGGGACACTCTGGGGTTGGGCACTCTAGGACTCTAGGGACGCTCTGGGATTGGGCACCTTGGGGTTGGGCGAGGAGTAGACCGGGCGAGGAGAAGAGTTGAGTTCAAAATCTAACAGCCCCACACCGAGGGTGGGGAACAATTGCGCAACACGCCTCATTTCTGCTCTCACCCACGGAAGCTATGGCTATCTATGGCTTCCATACAGGAACTCAGCCTCAAAAAGGCTCAGGGTCCTGCTCGGCTAGATGCCAATAATCTTCGCATGAGCTTCTATAGCAACTCAACGACAAAGCTCTTGGCACACCAAACTGTGAAATGGGTTGAGACTCCCTCTGGTACCTGGGAGGGCGGGTGCTGGCTATTGCCTTGGGTTGAAATGAAAAACCTCCTAAGACTCTAAGTTCTCTACTTTTTCTGCGTTGCGAATGGAGGGCATGCTTGCAAATGGCTCTGAGGCTGCAACCCAAAAAGCGCAAATGGAAAGGAGATGTGGGCCTACCCCATCATCGGATCATTCGGTTTGCAAATGGGGGGCTGCAACTCCCCAATCCCCCCTTCTTTGTGCCAAAAAACTATTTCTGTTTGTGTTGAAAATGGAGGGGCCATGCCTGCATTATTCTGCTTGCAAATGGAGATCTGCCCCTCGTCCTCGCATCATTCTGTTGGCAAAACAGGCTTTTGCAAGTTAAATTTGTGGACATAGTTTTTGCTTTGTATGAAAGTGCAAAATACGCAGAGGTTATCCCACTGACACGGAGAGGAAATGGAGGTTCTTCAGCAGAACGAGAGGTGTTCATTGGGAACTAGGTTTTCCTTTTCAGTTCTACAGACAAGGGAGGTTTTTTCAAATCTAGAGAACTACAGGCACTTGCAGAAATGAGAGGGCTTTTCCGTCTGATGGAAATGTTGAGACATTAGAGGCTTCAATGAACAGTTTCCGTTGAAATTCAGGGATTCGACAGGTTTCATATTGTCGAGTTTCCCTACTCAGAATAATCTTGACTTTTATGAAAAGCCGGGTGCTTGGGGAGGCACAGCCCCCGCCTTCCCCATCGGGCAAAACCTACATCCCCGTTCCATTTGTTGCAGCCCAGCCTTTTGCAAGCGTAATTCACAGGCTTACAAAACGAAAACAAGGGGGTTTGGGGGGGGCGGGGGGGGACAGCCCCCCGGCACGACGAGTGGGCCCACGCCTTCGTTCCGTTCTCGTTTTGGGTTACAGCTCGGAGCATTGCAAACAGCATAACTTCAGCATAATGTGAGCATCCCTTACAAACCTCGGGTGTCCTCCACGTGGCACCTCATGTCTTGATAGAAACCTTCGCTAATAAGACTTTATTGAAAACACTCGTATTTCATAAGTGCCCTATGTAGGATGCAACCCTCCATAGTTTGATAGGAAAGCCTTTGTTGTCCGCATGCTTCAGAGGACAATGCTTATTTCCTACTCTGCAAGGTCGTGGTTTACACTGTTTGGGGTGCAACCCTCCCTCGCGCCCCAAATTGAAAACAATTCGTTTGCCCCACCCCGTTTCCCCAGCTTCCCCCGCCTCTTGGGTGGGGGGCTTGCCCCACTTGACCCACTAGTCCCAGTTGCCATTGCCCCACTTGCCCCACTTGGTCTTGGGAGCTGATCTACAGGGGGAAGCGCCCCATTTGGCCCGACGTTTTGCGCAAGCAGATGCAGGCATGCCCCCCTCCATGCGCAACACAACAAGAATAATCTGGTGTATGGAAAGAAAAGCAATGGGTCAGCCCCCCCCCCCCGGTGCGTCCGGATGTTGCGTGGATGAGTGGCCCCCATCTTCTCTCCATTTTGCATCTCGGGTGCAGCCATTCGCAATCCAAAAAGGTGATCTGAGGACGAGTGGGCCAACGTCTCCGCTCCATTTCTCGCTATGGGTTGTATCCCCAGCCATTTGCAAGCAGCATCAATTGGGGTCTAACTTTCAACTCGGTTTTCCTCCAAGTGTTGGTTGGAAACCTTTGCGATTTGCCCTGTTCTTTGCTGAAAACTTCCGTATTCTAATACAGGCTCTTTTTGTATCATGGTTTAAAGTAACAAAAACACCTGGGAGGACAGGGTGGGGAGTGGGGGGGAACGCAAACAGAAGGATCCCAAGTGCCCACATCTGCGTTTGATTGCGAGGGTTTTTCCTTTAATGCATGCAGGCATGCCCCGTCCAATTGCACTCCAAAA